TGAGGGAACGAGAAAGACATCTGACTGATTTTGTTGCTTGGTCACCGGTCTGCAAGACCCGAAGCACACCGCCTCCGGCATCGGAAGCTCCCCAGGGGTCACGGTGAAGACCACGCCCGGAGCCAAGTGCCCTGGAAGGCAAACGGCCTGGCAGAGATCGGCAGACTGTGGCAGAGTCTCCGACTTCTGCGGGCGCCTCCATCAGCTGGCTCAGGGCCTTGAGGAACCACTTCATGACTTCATGACAGGCATTCCGTTCCCCGTCTTCCCACTGGCCTCGAAGTTCGCGAGCACTTGCTCAGAGACCTGGTCGAAGCAAGGCCGCTCCCTCTGTGTCAAGCTCTGCTGCTCTCTTACATTCAATGCTCCAAGTGCCCCATTGGGAGGCCTGGCTCTCATCATCGAAGGCACAGCATGCAGGTCGAGCGCCCTCCGGCGCCCAGCCCAGGAGATCGCGCAGCGGGCCCTGGCGCGGAAGCAGAAGGAAGAGAGAGAGCGAGAGAGATACAGACACAGGGACCCCACTGCAGAAAGAGTTCCCCGAGCACAATGCAAGTGAGTATAATGTCTATACGTGTGCTGTTCACGGGTGTATATGTCTATGCTTTATTGGATTGTCGTCTGCATTGCTCCATGTACATCATTGTCTGATGTGTGAATCCATCTGCAAGTACCCCTCCACTAAAGAAAAAGAAAAAAGTCGCAGGAGTGTGCCGTGCCGTGGTTGTCGATGTATATCCAATATGTCTGTATGCATGTCCGCGAATGATATTGTAAAATATAGATTGTACGTCCGAGTCTGCATGCATGGATGCATGCACGGGCCTTAATCCAACTTCGCTCATCTCCAAACAACCTGATTCGCGAACGGGTTCCTCTCGCGCAACTTACGCCGGACCATCGCAGACTCATATCTGAACGTGTGAAGATGAAACTTGACAAGCCAGCGACCCAGAAGTGGCAGCGACTACATTTCTTCAAAGCAGGAGTTACAGGCCACAGTGCGGTGAACTGCTTGACCTCTCACGGGGGTCAGCTAAACTCTATTTGGGCAGAAAGCGCATATGGAAACAATTTTCCTGCAAGAGCTAAATTGCGTGAGATGCCAATCATGTACAGCCATGCTGAACGGGGTCCATCCTCCCCGACTACATAGTATCCGCGGTAGCGATAGCAGCAGCAGCAGCAGCAGCAGCAGCAGCAGCACGTAGCAGTAGAAGTAGAAGTGGAAGTAGAAGTAGTAGTAATAATAATAGCAGTAGTAGTAGTAGTAGCAGCAGCAGCAGCAGTAGCAGCTAGTGGTCAGCAGCTAGTCGTCAGCAGTGAGCCGTTAGGAGTTAGCAGTTAGTAGATAGCAATTAGCAGTTAGTAGTTAGTAGCTAGGAGTTATCACGACAAAATAGTGTACTTGCTCTGAGCCATCGCGTCCCAATCGTCCCGTCCCCGTGGTACACTCAATGGGGGACGGCTGGCTGGCTGGATGGAGGCGGGGACCGATGGAATCATTTTTAGATAGGTAGTGCTTGCACATCCGCACTTGCGAGCACGTCATCCACGGATGAACAAGAATGCGCCCACACATTCCCCATGCGAGGAATAGCCTCCGCGCAAACTCTCTCCCCATGAAGAAGCAGAACCCTCGCACTCTCGTCACAAGGATCTTCATCCACCCCACCAACCAAACAACAAGCCAAGAATACCCACAAGTACATTCCTCCAAGTACCCCCCGCATGTGCATGCACACAGTCACCACCTAATAATCTATAATAAATGCATCCGTGAATAAGTTGATCCACGCTTTGTCACATGTCCAGGAATCCCGGTCCTCTCTTGCCAAGCACAAGCGAGGCCGCCGTTGCGAGATGGCACAGAACGGCTGTGAGACCTTGGCAAAATGGCTGCACAGGACCTGTCTCGGTACATCCTTGCCTGGGTCCGAGTGCTTTCTTTGCTCCTGATGCACATGCTAAGATTCTTAGTCAAGATCTGCAAGTTCGCCTGTTGGCTGCCGCAGAGGATGGTATTCACCCTTCGCGGTTGCCATCAGCTGCGGCTCCTTCTTCTCCGACTTGTCCGCTTCCTGGACACAGTTTGTGGCCTCAGCTGGGCTTTTGAGCTGCGGGGTGTCATTCTCCTTGGACTCGGGCTGGGATTGTTCGCCCTTGGGCCCCTCTGGCTCATGCATGATCACAGACGGCTTCGTCACAGTCTTGCTCGTGCTGGTAGCAGACTTCGGCACATCCTCTAACAGACCATCCTTGCCATGCACCTCCACCGCCACCGTCTCAGCATCCTTGGCTGCCTGCTCCTTGCGGCTCATCAAGATCGCCTGGACTTTGGCAAGGACTTCCTTGTTCTGCTCCGAGTGAGACGGATATCCTCCAGCCGGTGCAGTAGTAGGTCTCGTCTTGTCCGGCATGAGAACATAGCCCTCGGCCAATACGCCTCAAATGAGAACATGGACGGGGCGAGACAAAATGCTCTTCCGAACCTTCTGCAAGGCACTGTCAAGCGCTGGGGTGCCAGGCCGGTCTTCTCCATGTCGGCTGCAGCCTGCTGGCGCGCCGCGCTGCGTGCCTCTTCAGCCTGCCGCTGCGCCTTCGCGCGCTCGGAATAAGCCTCCAGAACACTGCATGGCGTTTGCGACACGAAGTCGAATTTGTCAATATCCGAGGAGTCACTCAGAGGGGCCTTCTGAACGCGCCGAAAGTTCTCGAAGCTGCGTTGCTTCTCGTCCTTCTCCTTTCGCCAAAAGTCCTGTGCCACTTCGCAGTGTGACCCATGGTGCAGCGGCATGTTCATACAGCCAGCAAACAGAAACTGAAAAGATCGTATCATGAAACAAGCATAACCCACCCTCCTGCTTGGCACTTAGCTCTGCGTCCTTTCCTCCCTGGGCCCAGGCTTCACAGCCGGCCCTCTCCTAAATTGACAGCATTGTTGCCCATTGCACAATGGGCACTCACTGTAGCAGTTCCAAAGCCGCCCTGCATTGCTGCGAAGCGGCAATGGCGGTGACAGGACGCTCGTCGATCCAGCGAAGCTTTGGCAGGGTGGACACCAAGCGCCCTGGGCGGCGGCACGACAAGCTGCAATGCCCAGGCTCAGTCAAGACTCAAGACATGAAGCCAGAGATATTAGTTCCGCAAGGCTAGTTCGTCGCAATCCACCCACCCCGAACCTGCACCACAAATCCGACGCCACCCACTGTCTTGCCAAGGGTCTTCTGGCGTCTTTGAGTGCCCTCGAGCAAGGGTTGTGATGTATGTACACGCATTCCACCTCAGGGAAGGGGAAATTCTCCGACGGTGTGTCGCACCGCTCGCACGAGCCAGGGTGCTCTGGCTGCATCTGTTCTGCAGAAGACCCTCTCCGCTTCCAGCTTGCCCACTAATGACTAAGAAGTTGTATGTCACAGCTAGCTTCATCGAACCTAACGTTGCGACACTATGTACCTGTGGGAGATGCTCGCTCCAGAAGGCAAGGAGAGACTCGCCATCCTCGAAGTAGTTGCCTCATGACACGGACCATGGCAGCGTCTCTCACAGGCACCAGTGTCTCTAGCCCACCCGTTCCCCTCACGACCTCGTAGTTGAACCTCGCAAATCAGATCCAGCTGCTGTTTAAGTTGATCAGAAACTGAAAGTCAGAGGCCCTCTCCCGAGACCGCCTCTGGTCTGTATGTTTTAATATAGGAAGAACAAGGTCAAAAAAGCGTCCGAGGAACAGCTCACGTCCACACTTTTCAGCGTTGGCCGTTCCGCGAGCCCAGCCTTGGCAAGCTGCCCAAAGCAGCTCCCTCCCTCAGTCATCCTACGGCCCGGCCCTACTGCATATAAGAGCAACAAAAAAAGGAGGGCAAGTAGCCAGTGCAGCGACGTCCTCCAGCTTGTTGGCCTGACATGGCCGGAAACTTCGCAGACCGGCGCGATGGCTCCAACATCTCAGATGCACTTGCCTAGCTTCCGCGGGTGCAGCCAGGGTGCAGAAAGGTTCAAGGTTTCCAGCCGATGCAGGTTTTGTAATCCCTGCACCCGGCTAAGGCTGTTATGCGAGAGGTTGAGGTATTGCAGATTCTGCAAGGTCTCGAGGCCCTCGATTTCAGCGATGCAGTTGGACTGCACATACCTTGCCGAGCAGTATGCGGCAGCAACCCAGGGTCCAATTGAACAAGCGGACCAACACATCCAAGTGGCAACGAGACGAGTTCTGGCATGCATTCCAAATTCTCAAGCTTTCTGATGCCGTTGCATTCGAGGAAGAGCGATCGCACATTCCAGTAAGCCTCCAAGCCTTCAATTTTGCGGAAGCCTCAGCTGGTGATTCACCCCTGCTTCTGGGGCATGGTTTGGGCATGGAGGGGGACGGAACCGTTCGGCCGCAGGGCCCTTGTAGTGGAGAATCAGAACTTCGTTGAGCTCTGGCGTCTCGTAGCCGCGATTCTCCATGCAAGATTTGACCAGTACTTCTGGCGTCATCCGCGGGATGCCTCGACAAATCTCGGCAATCATTATGGGGACAATGGGCAGTGGGTCAGCAGCAATGCCAAATATCAGTGATTCGCGCAGTCTCCTGGATCAACCGGCGCCATGTTTGCATAGCCCTCCTTTTTGGGGCCAGCATGCTCCTGTTGCAGCCGACAGCAGAAATGCACTGTGGCTGCCGTAGCAGCATGCCTCTCCCAAAACCGCGCTGCCCTGTTTACTCACGGAGGAACTTAGCACCAGCCCCGCCTCGTCTGCTAGAACCGCTGACATGGGAGACATTGGCCGCGCGAAAGCTGTCTGCGACTTTGTGTGTTTCTGCTGTAACAGCTCGAGTGTGTCGGATGTCGACATGCAGAATGCAGTGCGTGTTGTTCGGTGGCTCTCACCTCTTCCTTGCACTCTTCTCAAGAGCCCGCCAGCAGGAAGCTTTGTTTGCGCCCCGTTGCTTCTAGACAGGCAGTAGCTGCTGAGTAGCAGAACTCTGAAGAGATACGGAGGGCTGGGGAACCAGCGCCGTGCATGACAGCTGGTGCGGTGATGGGCGAGCAGCGGCCGAGGCCAGGCAGGTCCTGACAGCCAAGGTCAAGGCTCAGATCTGAAGGACCAAGGCTCAGCGGTCTCCTGGATCAAGACCACCTTAGGAATACGGCGCCGATCCCACCGAGTGCGCAAGCACGCGTACATTCAACTTGGCTCAGGCCCGAAGATGTTCTCACTCTTCGGCGTTTCCGGGCCCAGTTTCGTGCAGTCAAGCTGCAGAGAAGTCGGCCCCAAAGCCGATATCTTCCTCCAACCAGCCGCACACCTCGCCTGCCTGGCAGCCAGAACAGCACAGCTCTTCGTCTTGACAGACCAAGCTCTTTCGACACTTCCGTCTCTGACAGTGCACCAAGCATGTCTCAGCTGAAGGGAGGATCAGCCTTCGTCCCTGCTGGGCCGACCTTAAGGGCAGCACTTAGCGTCGTCGGTATTACACTGGAAGCTTGACCAACACAGTCGGTTTGAGTAGTAAAGTACGTGTCCGGCCCTCTTTTCCGGCAGGATTAGACTGATTACACGATGAAAGCCATCGCTTTATGCCGAAACGACCACAGGGAGCGTAAGAATGAAGCAAGTAGCCGCCACCTTAGTTTCTTCTGCTTCGTCTTGTTTGGATTCGCAAGAAGACTATAATCGCTGGACCAAGCCCGACTTCATCCTCAGCAATTGGCAATGGCAAGCTCAAGAACCTCCAAATCCGAAAAACATTGCCAACCGAAGATTAAGCCGATTGGGAATCGGGCCCTGGAAACAATGCTTCCTGGGGGGTAGCTCGAAGACTGTCCCTCAGACACAATAATGAGAAACACAGGACTACAATATTGTTCTCAGACTGTCGACGTCTCACACACTACCGGCTGCACTTCAACCGGGCTTAATTCCTCAGGAGAGGGGGCAGGCGAATGGTTTGTCACCATTAAACCCAAATCTCCCATTCCAAAGCTTGGTCTCCTGGACAACAAAGCGTCTTAGTGCTTGAGGCCCGCTCCAACTGGAGCTCGCCAGGTGAGAGCCATCTTGCCTAGTGCAAGACTAGTGCCTCTGCCTGTACACAAGTAGGCTCGTAATGAGGCTGGTCTCTCCAACCCATCAGAAGCTACCTGGTTGTTCCAAGCGTGTCGAGTTTCCGGATCAGTTATGTAGCGAGGCATGCTCGTAAGTAATGGACTTCGGCACTGCTTCCGAATGGCTCTTGCTAACTCGTTGTGCCTATTTATATCTGGGGGAGTACCATGCAGGACCATACAGTCTGCATACATGCATGCATGCATGTGTCCTTGATGTTGTCCTGCCCCGGAGCTGTCTCCCAGTGGCAAAGCCACGAACCACCAAACCTCGCACGGCACTGCAGAAAGAAGCTCACGGAGAGCTGGAATTGACGAAAAGATACTGAGCGCACCAAAGCTGGACTTGAGTAAGCCGTCATAAGCCGTCCGAGGTACGTGGCCGGTTGCATGGGCGGCAACGGGTCTAACGGCCACCAGCGCAGGAAGCCGACCAACTGCAGAGCAAAAGCTTTCTATAGTATCTATAGTTGGCTTCTGGCACAAGAAACTGTCAAACCTGTTTTGGGAAGAAGCTACGGACTTGCTCGCCCGCTAATGCGCTGCCATAAACAGTTGGGAATAGTTAGAAGCGTGACTGTTCGAATGGCTTTATCTTCCTTGCGGTTTGTCTCGCCTTGTCCTGCCTGATGTGCTGGCAAAGTAACAAGTTGGCTTCGTCGGGGTTGGTTGGTTGTCATTGTCGGCAGATGGCTCCAAAGAATGGGTCTCGTTGCGCTGCTGGAACATTTTCTTCTGGCTTGTGTCCTCTGCCATGGCTCCACCTCTCCCATCCTTAATGTAGGCAGGAATGGAAAGAAAGTAATGTCGAGCAAACCTTCAAGCACCCCGAAACCGTCAAGATTTCCCCTGTCTCTCATAACTAAAAACGTTTGGTCCATAACCGCCATCCAGAGAACTGTCGCTGCAAGAGTTTGACGATGTCCAGATGCCCGGCTTTCTACGGGACAAACGCCAAGCATGTTTGGCTGTTCGAAGTGTGTATGTATCGGCTTCGTGCCACACTTGTTCGGTGATGTTGGGTCCCCATGGTCCCCCCCTTGGTGCATGTTCCCGACTGCAATTGCGTGTGTCTGGGTGGCATTGATGCAACCTTCTCGTGGCAGAGTGAAACAGGCTTTGCCTGAAGCATGGTACTCTGAGGCAGCCTGACAGAAATCTCTTGATGTCCTTGATCTGAACACACAATGCTTTGCTGCTATGTCTGGTCGGTATGGTGCAACTCGATCGGCATCAACCACGACCGCCTCCTCGGTACTTGAGTCTTTTCCAGTCCAACTCCCAAAGAAAGAACAACGTACGGCCTGGTACGGTGCACAAGATGCTATCAGATTGAAGACGTTGCATCACGCCCTTGGGACGGCCTCTGGGCTCTGTAGCCTCGTGCTGACCGATTCTCGATATCAGAATCATGCGGTGCGGAAAACGGGGCGGCTGATGCATGTGCCGTGGTGCACGATCCCATGTTTAGTTTGCTGTCTCCCTCACAACAAGAGTTGCAGAGAACATTCCCCCGATTCGATCGATCTTAGCACAAAATTTTCTTGAACCTGTCATGCCCACAACCCGGAAACACACGCATGCACAAACACACGCACACACGCACACAAACCCGGCCTGCTCCGAGTCAAGAGGGCACTCGCCGGTCGTCAGGGGACCCCGAAGAACCGGAAAGCCTTTGCACCCAGATGATCAGACTGGAATACAACTGAGCAGAGTCCTCACCTTGATCCGCCAAAGGCACGAAGCCCCGAGCAGTTCTGGAAGTGGCCTCATTACCGTTAATTAACGAGCGAGACGACTTTCCAAGCAGCAACGGTTGAAAGCTCCCGTACACTGAATGCCTCACGATAGCCCAAGCAAGCCCGTCTCAGGAATCTGCTCGGCAAGATCTCCAGAGCTCCAGCAGCGTGAGCCTTACGATGCTCACTGCCGTGCTCGGTTGCTACCCTTAGAAGCTGGCCGTCAGCTGTGCACGGCTGAGGATCATCATCTCTCTGTGACCCTGCCTGATCCAAGAATTGCCATCTGCATCCTGCTTTCGTCCAGGCCGCACCTCTCCATCTCAAGAGCAGAAGCGTGAGGAATCATGGCCTCTCATCACCCGTGCCTGTATCCTCTGGCCAGCCACCAGCGAACCACGCCGGGCAGCGCTCTCACGCGGTGCCGCACGCACCGCCACTGGTTGCAGCACACAGAACCAGTCCTCAACAAAAACGGATCTGAAGACGAGTCCCCCGATTCTCCGCTTCGTTCAGTGGGCCGGGGCCCCAACAGCATCCTCTTCCTCCTCCGAGTCCATGGCATATCATGGCATGGGCGCGCGAATACCGTACGTACTAGTACCGGCTGCCCGGCCCTGTGCAGAAAGTGTGAGAACGGGCCGGGCCATGTTGCGACTGGAAGTTGTGGAAGTCGCGAAGCTCACGCACACTGGATTCAATATAAGGGCATGACGACTGCTGCAGAAGATAGTCTATATAATAAATATCGTGCACTAGGTCTAGGTTGTTCTGTGCATGCTTATTGCGTCCGTGGTCATGCGGATCCAGCAGCACCTTTCGAGCCAGAGGATAGCGCTCTTTTGCGTAAACTCTGCTGGCTGTACCGCTTGAGAGCTGCAGTTGTTTTGTGAGCTTCGCATGATGCATCGTCTTTCGGCGGGTCCAAGCGGAAAGGTGGCACAGCTCAGAACTCGTGTTCTTCTTGATCCTGCGGATGCAGTCTGGCAGGCATGCCTCTGACTAGGGCTCAGCATGGTCCTGGTTGCTTCTTTCTGTGCCAGTCTCTTCGGGCGGTTTCCCTGCACCTGACAACTGCTCCCCAGGCCCCCAGGGTCTTCGTTTGCAGGCAGGATCTAATCTCAGAATATCTCAGATGCCGACCTGCACGCTGGTGCCGCAGAGTCGGAGAGCCGGGGCTGGGACGGCTGGGTTGCGATCTTGCAGGCATTGGCGGTGCCACGGAGGGGGCGGCAGGCGGTGCCACGGGCGTCGTAGGCATGTTGAGCGACACCCTCGCGGCACCGGCAGTGGCAGCGACTGAAAAAATTCAAACGTCCGGTTTGCACTCACACATACAAGGCTCCTGGACACGACGATCTGCGGCGGTGATGGCGGTGGCTCTGCGGCCCGGCACTCCGCTTGCTCATAAACCTGCGGAATTCGCTGCTACTCTTCACCTCTACACTCTGCACACCTCATACCTCCAGCCCACGAAATGCCCCTTTTGTGACACGACTGCTTTCGCAAGGCTCGGAGGGAAAGGCTTGGTGCAAAATGCCGTCAGACACTGCTTCATCGATCACATCTCTTCACTTACAATTAAGTACCGGCTGGCCGGTATGACGGTCATGCGGCTGTAAAGCTGGCATCCGCCTCGTGTTCAAGGCCCTCCTCAAACGCCGGATCGGCATCATCCAGGTCAAACACCTCGCTAGCACACGGCTTGAGGTGGGTCCACGAAAGGGCCGATCGGTTCTAAGCTCGACTACAGACAGCCGAAAGACTGGAAGAAATTGGCCCAAGACTGGACAGCACGGACTGAAGAGAGCCATGGCCCAGCTGAAGAGCAGCAGTGCTTGATATGCTTGATATCAGTACTTCTCGTGTTGAGGAAGAACGCGTCCCTCCTTTCTTCCTGGGGCTGTGGTAGACAAACAGTGTGCTCTGCGAGCACACTTTCGATCGGGTGCGGGAGGGCACTTGTTTACCCAGGTTTCAGGTCGCAACGGCGTTGCGGAAAGGATATTGGCTTGTGCAGCTGATGATGCAACAAGTTTCCGTCTGGATTTTGCATCGAGATTGCATTCGGAATTTGGCAACTTGTGATAGTCTGGCAAGGAATTGCACGAGCGTGTCGCTCTTGATCTCCCTGGTCTTCAGCAGGTACAGTACTTCTTCTCCTTCTCGAAGGTTGAAGCACTGCTACCCTTCATCTCCTGCTGTCTTTGAGACAATGGTCGTCGGTACAGTAGTTTTGTTCTGCCTGCTCCGGAAGGTTGCGACTGCGAGTGTCTGTGCATGTCTCTACGCCGGCCTCTGGGAGGCAGCCCTGGTTTGGTTTGATGGGAGCTTGCCCTTCGGCCTATTTGTGCATCCGGGAGCGACGCCAGAAAGTTGGGATAAGTTTGGGGGTCGCTTGTTCGGCCAGTCGCACTTTCAAATTTAATCCTTCCTCTTCCTCCCGGTCGGCGATGAAGCATGCAGGCAGGCGTATCACCCCCACCTGGACACCTTCCCGACAAAGCCATGAATGGCAGTGCGAAGGTCCAACACGACTGCTTCCCCAGTGGAACTATAATCACTGTGTTCGGCTAGCGCATCGTGGATTCGCAGAGGACTGAGACGGCCGCTCTGTCCAACGGCAAGTTCGCCCACAAGTAGCCCTCCATGCCATGGAGGGACCACATCACCACAAGCCTGACTTTCACTCGCTGTGTCGCCGCGCCCTAACGCTCGTCATGTCAGGACAAGTTTGTGCAGACACGCCGAGCAACAGCAGGACCACCAGAGGCAGGCTAAATTCAGCGCCACGTGCGCCCAACACTCCCACCATGAGCAGCACGTATATCATCAGTCCCACGTGAACCTGTTGAAGAAACGAAGGAAAGGAAGTCTGCCAGGTCTCAGTACAAGCACGCCAGGTTCGATTTGCCTGCTTGAGCGCCTGCACAAAGATTTCGCCTCCTGCAGTCCAACACGGAAGGCAAGTAGGAACAGATGACATCAAAAGAAACTGCTCCTGTATCGCCTTGACGAGGCTCAGCAGCCATGAACAGGTAGCCGTGGGCGAAACCTGCCCAGCACCATGAGCATCTACTGCAAATGGTCGCGGCCGGCGTAGTGCAGGCCATGCAGGCTGGGCTCCCCGCGCTCTAGCAGGAAGTAGACAAAGGCAACGAGGAGGACAAGAGGGCAAATGGAGCAAAAGACCTCAATGTCTCTTGTTAGCACGAGCAATGTTTGATGTGATTCTAGACAACTCTAGTGAGTTCTGGGCCAACGCAATGACCAGCATGAAGGTCGATCTTGCTGCTCGAGTCCCCATCAGCACTGAATCCTGCATCCACGCTATTAAGCGAACAGCGAAACATCGTCGAGCGAGTGTCGCTGCTTGTGCAGCTCAGTCCTCCTCTGCCCGGATCCTGGCGTCCTCCTGGCTAGTAAACTCGCGAAGGCTCAGGAAGAGGACCTCTGTGAGACGGAAGTCAGACACCGCAAGCTGCTTGCCCCACGCTTGTCTGCAGCTGCGCTCAGGCCCGAGCAAGCGGGGCAGGTCGCAGGAGCTCGCACATGCACGAGCCCCACCTTGGAAGCGTCCCAAGCACTGTCACAGGCATGACGAGAATCAGGAGGTTTTGGATGATTTTGGAACCCGGAGATTCAGTCTGAGATCTCACGGCTTCGGCCTCCCGCATCGGATTGGATAAGAGCAGCATGCTTGCCGAGCCCCGTGCCCAAGCACCAAGTAATTCACCTCGGCTTCTCATTCTGTGAGGTGTTTGTCAGATCAGAAAACGGGCCATGTCAACTGCAGAAAAGAGATGAATATCCATCGTGACAAGTCCCGGTATGTAGAAAAACTCATGCAATGCCTTCTTGCCTCCAGCTTGCGTAGAAGCGAGATGTAAGAGGCAATGACTTGGCCAGCAGCGGAACAATAGCTGTCGGCTGCTGGGCTACGAAGAGCAGTGTCGTGATGAGGCCCTGGAAATGTGCAGAAAAGCGCATCTACAAATGCCCCCCCGACGGTGGGGTCCTCAAGCTTTGGCATCAGACTTTCGAGGTCCGCAAGCTAAGGCAGACCCTCGGGCTTCCTGCGCAAAAGAGGTCACCAGCAGAACGAAGACAACCAGGAAGGCAAAGTAGGTGCGCTGGAGCTGGAGCTGGGCAGATGAGTTGGACACCTCTGCAAGCTAGGCTTCCCCCCTCTCGTTCTTCCCGTTGTTCCTATCTTAAAAGTCTTGACAACTGCGTGCAAGCCGGACCGGACAAAGCTGGTGCTGACGAGCCGCTGGTTTGGAGAACGCCCTGACCAGTCTCCTCGGCTTCAGGTTGCTACAAAAATTCTATCAGATGAGGCTCAAGAAGGCATATGTTGGTCAAGGTTCAGTAGCACCGCTGGGACGAAGCTAAGCATGAGCTTGAGACTCAAAGTCGCCAGCACACCTTCCAGCCTGAGATGAACCGCACGCTCCGTCTCAGTGTCTCGTCTTCCTGCCCTCAAGTCAAGCCACATCTCCATGGCGATTGGAACCGAGTGCCTCAGCCTGCAATGAGCATGACTTAGACTGAGACTCAATGCATCGAGATACACATGCTTGCGACGTGCCTGCCGATGGCCGGAAAAACCTGCTGCCAGGAATTCAAATTCCTTGGATGATAGCTGAGTCGTCTCGATCGGGTAGGTAACAGAGCTGTGGTACGCTGGAGTCTTCTTCACATTGCCAAAGCTCAACAACGTGGAGACGAAGACTACCTTGACTGGGCCATTGTGCGAAGTGGCTCCCGCGGCACCATGCTTCTGCTAGAGATGCGCAGAACTGATTCAGACAAGTCACGGCCGGGACAAAGGCTAAGAACACCCCGAATGTGCCTGAGCATACCACTTGCAATTCCAAAATGTTCCTGGGGTATTGCACAATGGTAACCGATGCAGCAGAGGTCACTGAGGGCTCCCAAGCGCTGGAGTGTAAAACTCGGACGCGTAATCAGCGCATCCTCGGCTTGTTGAGACTGAGCATGTCGAAAGCTCCTGGTAATAGGAGGAAGAGCATGTAGGAAATGAGCTGATTGATACCCCTACCCGATTCGAAAGTTCGGGCGTCTTCAATCCCTTCTCGACCTGTGATGCTTACATAGCGACATAATTTCCAACTTGGGCACGTAGGACACATCCATAGGCGATGGTGCCTGTGCAGGGTACCGGGTAAGGAGAAACGCTCATGCTGGCTCTCCCAGTGGCTCTCACCTGCTGCAAGACAAGGGCAAACGCATCCGTTCCGAGTTGTTCCCGCGCTGCCTCAGCTCGTCACCATGAGTGGACACTGCGCAAGGCGTTCTCTTCGCCGAGTTTCGAGTCTCATGTCCAGTCGGGTGCGGAAGGTCACGAAGCCGGTGCTTGTGCAGACCTGCAGAAGTCTGCTGATACTTGCCTTTCTTTGAGCTGTCTTCAATTGCCATACGTGTCGGCCAAGGTGCATCGGGGTCCAGTGCATGGCTCAGCCGCCCCAACCGAACTCTTTCGGCAGTCACCTCCTCCTGCGGGAATAACAACAATCAACATGCCTCGGACTGGTGCATTCCAGGCAACCCGAAGGATTGCAGCAAGCAAAAGTGCTGATGCAGCAAAGCTCCTTGATGTCAGCAAGTGACTCGCGCCGAAACCTCAGGAAGGGCTCGTTAAAATCATCTTGGGCTCAGCCCCCTCCTTGCAGCGGAGGCTCTGCACCAACTCCGAAGATGCCGGGTCCGAACCTCCGGCCTGGGTCCTGCCCGCCCCGTCAAGACGCCCACGGAGCCCCACGGAGCCCTGCTTTCAACTTTCCCCCGAGCCTCAGGACTGCCTTTGCAAGTTCCCGCTCGGCTTTGCGAAGCCTGACGGCGTTGGCATCGTCCCGAGTCCCGAAAAAACAACACCGGATTGGCTTGCGAACTGGCCTCTCCAGCTTCCTTTGCAGCAGCCGCGTGTTGCGCACGACATAGCCTGCAAAGGAGCATCCCGAATCTCACCTGATTATGGTGAATCATAAGAACACCGCATGAGAAGATTCCTTAGAACGACCAATCAGACTGAAGCTTCGGAATGGCTTGGGCCGATTTCGCCCAGCAGTTTAAGGAAGCAGAGGTTAGGAGCACCCTGCACTTGCTGCCAGCCCGTCTGCGTATCTCTAGTTTGTATGTCGTGGTTCCAGGACCCAGGAGGGCTGAATCCGCCAGATCATCCCTTCCGAAGAGGCGAACATTGGTACATATCTGCGGGCAGAGCAGCAACGCACGACGGCATTGTCCCCAAAAAGGCCAGCAAAGTAAGACTGTAGGCCTTAAGGGAAGCTGGGAAGCGATACCGCAAAGCGGCTGCAGGAGCGGAAAAATGAAAAACACCTTGTAGGGTCGGGGCGTGCATCTGAAGACATGGACTCCGGCATGCCCTGCACCTCAGACAAGACGAGCAACCTCAACAAGTGCGATGTTCACTTGGGAGGTATTTGTTTGTGCTGACCCCGATACGCAAATTGCTGTACTTCTGTCTGAATCTACAGTTTGTCTGTGCAACCAAATCTGGAATATGCTGTTGTGCTCTTGAACACTGCAAAGCTGCACAGCTCGTACTTCTTTCCTGTCAAGTAATGGAAATTTGGAAGTTCTATACTTCTGTACTGCAACTACAACGCTTCCATGCTATGAAGTCAGCGAAACTTGCGCATCAGCATTTCCGACTTTTGTGAATGCTATAAACTGCAGGCCTGTCTGTGCTGGCGATAGTGCGAACTCCCCAGCTCTCACCATACTTCTCCGTTCCTTCGACCTTTTAACTCAACACCTTGAAAAAGCTGCAAGCGATGTGAAGCATTGCACGGCTGCTCTTCCCAATACGCGGATATGCACCACATGATCATGCAGTGACGATGTCTAGTGTGGCCCAAACCCACATTCCTTTCTTCCTGTCTTCCTTCCTCCCTCCTTTTCCTTTCTGCTCCCTGTTGCTTTACTCTCGTTAATCGCTCCTTCCTTCTCCAATTGACGGGAAGCCGAGCCAAGAGAGGCGAAACCAAGCTGCATGTGTAGAATCCCAAAGGCACGAAAGTCATAAGCTACACGGCCGACAAAAACAAAGAGAGAATAGCTCAATTCTTTTTCGGGAGCTTCTGGCTCGCTCTTCCTTTAATGTTGTCACTATGTGTCTGCAGAGGCTGTCAGCTAAAAAAGAGCGTCAAAAGCTGTCGTTGCAGGAGCATGAGCAGCATGAGCAGGTCTGGACTGGCGGCGTCAAGCGAGATGCTGCCAAGGGACGAGCTCAAGGGTCCCTTCCCTACCATAGAACCTCTTAGAATGCTGGCGGTGCTGCCACTGTCACACCAAGCAGGCGTCTTGGAACAGACGCCGAGGCACCAAGACGGTGGTGGATTGCGGGAAGTCCATCTGACTGAGCCAGCGGTATCGGACAGGAACAAACCTCGGAGGAGTCCAGAACAGCGAAGACTCCGTCTATGCAACAGTGCTACGCCGCTGCAGCTTCCATGCCGTGCGGCTGCTTCATGGCCAAGTGCAGCTGTCCTTCAAGTCATACTTGTGACGTGCGGTCTTGACTACAAGTAGTACTATTGATCCATGGGACGAGTCGTCAGCGTCACCACGGCCCAAACAACTCCGACGTGGATCCACAATACCTGAAGTGAGGCCAGTTTCATGCGGCCTTTATTGTTGGGAGAAGTCTGCCTTGCCCGAAAACACAACTCGGCGAAAGGGTCGAAAGCGGCTGTCGGTCACTCCACATTGCACGGAGCTTGACGTGCAGCATGCAAAGACATGCAATGACTCTTTTGTCACTGCCAGGCGGCGAAGTAACGATCCTCGTTGACCGCCAGATTAAACCGTGAGAAAAGCTCGGAGCTTTGAGGTTGGACGTGGGTCCAATGCAATGGGCAGACGATGACCTGCCGTCTCTACTACAGCCAATTCAAAAATCCGTGCCGACACTATGATCAGATCGAAAAGCAACAGCTGAGTCGCTGGAACCAAACACAGGGATGCGATGATCCGCAATGACAGCCTCAGCCAAGCAGCCGAACAGTTGGGTGACCCGTTTTCACAGCCGGATCGGCCACCCCATGGACGAGCACTAAATGCAAGCCCGGCAACCATTGAAACTGCATGTGCATCCACGCGTCCAAACCCTGGACTTCCAGGACATCCTCCTCCTTCAGGAACATTGCCTTCGTTCTTGCGAACAGCGCTCCAAGAAGCCCTTGACAAAAGCTTCAGTGATTCAGCGCAGAACTCCAAAGTAGCTGCAAACAAACCATCGCGACAGGCTGCAACGGAAAGCTGGTGCCACAATGACGTTACATCCTTGGTAAGGCAAGCAGAACTTTGTGGAGCGATGCAGCTAACCACGCGGGGGGGCGGGGGTGACTTCAGCCCGTTGAGCCGACCACATGTGCTGGGGAAAGCCGAAACCCCGTTCGGCCCATGAGTGTTCGTGCCAGGGCTCTGCGATGGCTTCGGCAAGTCCGACACCTTCACTGCAGCCTCTCTGCTCAAGCTCTCCTCAGAGGCACGTTGCGAAGCCAAGCGAAGCCCCTAGCAGCCTTAGCACCACAGCAGGCAGTTCTCTCCGTGCGGACAAGTCTCTTTGAGAATAGAGTGCAGGGTAAAGCCAGCTTAGGATTTTGAAGGCGGCCACCAGCCACACCTGTCGAGACTCGAGACGGAGTCACAACGCATATCGACTCGAGATATTATGTCCGAGCGGCACATACTGTCATAGTAAAAATGATGGTGCTCACAATCTCCAAGGTGTCGCCTCAGAAGTGTCGTCTTAGGCTGTCGGTCCCAAGCTCCTTTCGTCGGCCCAGCTGCCGTGACCATCGAGACGAACGCGCATCACCTCTGCCGAGGAGACGTCGCCTGCGGTCGCCGGTCGCCGTAGGTCCGCACCGACTTACGTTTCGCCCATCAGCCTTGCAGGTGATCAATGGAGTTCGTGACATTCGCCAGCTCACCGGCCAGACCGCCTCAAGCTCACTTTGTGCCAGTAGCTCGTGAGCGGCCGTAGCAGAGAAAACTCGCCAAGGAGCTGCTCACGTTTGCTGCAATCGAAGGCGAAGGTGTCGAGCGGCTCAAGCCTTCAGCAACGTTCTCCAAACGCAGCATGAAGCGCAAGCTTTCTGTGATTTCGCACTTCGAGCGACTTGCGTGTGCAACTTCCAGTGTGTCTGAACCATCAGACATCGCTGGGCCTTTCAGCGCTATGCTTTGCCGGCGGAGCAGGCTCGCAGAGGGCCCAACTCAGCGAGGGAAGAAGGCTTGCCAGTATCTCTCAGTGCGGCCAGCATGCGGCCAACCCTCCAACAAGGAACTCCAACCTACACTCACAGAAACGAATTCTCAAGCCGGGCCACGGTGAGCATGAGAGAAGGCGTGCACGGATCCATCCGCGAGAACCTGGAATCGAAGGCAACTGAAGCCTGCATTCCTTGTAAATGTACTAACGCACTGCTGGCACATACACACGAAACATCCTTCCATGCTGGACGCAGCAAGTCGTCAACGAGTGGGTTGTTGCCTGCACTTGTCGAGGGAGGGCGCCGAGCACGGGAGCTGTGAAGGTGGCCAACGTCCAGAACAACATCCCTTGGATGCGACGAAAGCTTCCAGTTCCTGGTTTGCCCAAAAGAACGAAACCACAGCCTGTAAACAGCAGCCTTGATTTCTCTTGCCGGGATGCGCTCTGCTCGACTACAGTGTTCTGCCAATGCGATGCCGGACACATGGCAAGCCCACGTACGACTGTTCACAGCCTGCCTCAAGCATCCCTCAGGAGTAAGGGGTGGCCGTGGACCGCTAGCTGCTCGCTCTACTTGCAGTCCCCAACTCTTGGCAACTGTCCCTATCCTTCCTTGCCCGGCTTATAGTGGTGCTCGAGGCAGGTGACAGGCCTGATATGCAAGCTGGAGCCACAAGTGGCTGCCGTCTCTCCCCAAAATCAAAATGCACCAAAGCGAACGGCATCCAGACAAACTGCCCATGTGGTCGTGACATTCGGAGAGCAAACAGGCCAGATGGATTCAATGATCTTCATGTAAAGTGGACATAGCAAGCGCAGTGAGCTACTCTCACGATGGGGTTTCGGCAAGCAGACGACGCAGTCTGGTCTGGAAAGTTATGCTAGCAGTAGCATGTGCAGATTTTGACCATCAGGAAGACAAGCTCGCCAAGCTTCAACTCGAGCAGCTCTTCTTTGTAAGCCTGAAAGATCGCTGCACCAATCTTGCCAAATTCTTTACAGCCAAACCAACACGTCCGAGAGAAAGAACTATTACAATTTAACTTAGTTCATGATCCGACCGGACTCGGCCAGTCTTGCGCGTGTCGTGTTTTGCCGGAGGCCTCTGAGAGTGCTGGCGAGGCACTGCTTCAAAGCGCTCCAAAGGAACACAAGAGCAACCTGCATGCTGAAGCCACAGATCTGCTGGTTGCTGATGGACTCCTGATTGGAAGTGAACCGTGCTCATAAAATAGAAGCACGGAAGCGCCGTGCGGCTTTGCAGCTACCTCAAAGTTCCGCTGCGATCCGTTTTGCTACGACTTAACGGCGAAGAGTTGGAAGGATCGTCACATCAGCACCCATGATCCGGGCAGGGCTTCGCATAGTCCATACTTTGCTGCCGGGCATCGTGCATGAGCAGCGCAGACATGACCACCTTCACAGCCAGCACCATGCATACTACGATCAGGCTGTTTGCCTGGCCCGCACGCATGTTGCAGCCATGGCACGATGGCAATGTCCTTCACCTGAGCCACCAAGCCATCGTTGCTACTGTTCCGCTCTGAATGTGTGGCCTGCTGCCGCGGTGCAGGCCAAGGGAAGGAATGGCTCGAGCTCGAAGACTCAGCCGAGTTGCGTTGCCGGTGAGGATGTAGGCCACCGGGGACAAAATCTTCAGGAACATGGCGATGAGCACATTGAGAACCTCATTCTTCTGCGGTACGCTGCAACATCCTTGCAGCCACTGCCTCTGCAATCCTGTTTTGTCGGGGAGCAAACGCGTTCGCAACATTCAAGGCCAAGTCAGAGCCTGGACTTCAGACGTGGCGTGGCATCTGCCAGCAATGCGTCGGCCGCCACGAAAGTCATGGAACGAATGCTGCAGCCCAGCATCGAAGCTCGAAGATCTGGCTGTACGTCGGAATGGTGACGAAAGACAGTTCGTAAGCCTGTCAAACTCACAGGCTACACTGCCCGCTGCCCTGATCCCAAGCTTGTTTGATGTTGTCGGACAGGCTTCGTCTACCCGTGGTGCTACAGATGCAAGCATCGCTTTGCGAGCCAGCGGCATGGCAGTGGAACAAGATCACCATTGCCAGCAGGAGACCGCACAAAGGCATGATCACGAGCACCTTGTCTAGGGAGGGTTTCCTGCTTCAGAGATGCCACAACTCGCTGCAGCCGCGACACTGCTGACAGTGGATCCAACTTCTTTCCGGAGCCATGCGCCAAAGCTAAACACTGAAAGATAGTCTTCGCCTTGGAACCACTCAGCAGAAGATCGACCGATATCGACCGACACAGTGCGAGGCTGCTGCAGTCGTTTGAATGCATTCTGCTTCCATGTAACTACGAACGTGATTTGTCCTATTTGGTGGGCATGTTTCTTCGGCACAAAAATGGAACACAATTGGGCTAGGGCCGGGTAGGGATGGCTGCCCTCGTTGACAAGCTGACAGTCAACCCGAGGCATCTCTATCTCGGCCGTCATCAAGCCTTACCCGCACTACTGGAGATGCATCCTGCCGATTCGGTCTGGACTTTGCCTCGCCATGGTACATCTTTCTTTAAACACTTTTCCCACAGTTCCGCAAATGATAGACTGATAGACTCGAACAAGCATGCACAATCGTTCTAACCTGGGACTAAGTTCTGTTCCACCGGCTCCCAAATCCAACTCTACCAGAAGCAGGCTGTGGCAAGCATGCCGCTAGGCCATGTGGCATTCTTGAGCCTCTAGTAGTCACTAGTCTGTCTTACACAGGTTTGATTCGAGATGGAGGCCCCGTGCACGATGGTGCACCTGTTGCGCTTCAAGCTGGGATAGATGTTGCCAAAAGCTCGCCTTCGATTCAAAGGCAAGGGTCGTGTGGCAGAGGCTTTGTCGGAAATTTCGACCTGCTTTTCAGTCCGCCTGTTGTTCACATCGGCTGTATCTTGAAGAGAGTTTTGGAACGCAGCTGAAACCGAGGCACCGCTTCCGCCAGGGAGGAGCTGGCTTGCAGCAGCAGGTCGAGCGCAGAGAAGTGCAACTCACCCTGGACGCATGTCCTCGACTCTTTTAGCACAGGAACTTTTAGCAGATAACAGGATCAGGACGCTGTGGGCGTGGGAGCTGCCAAAGCCTGAAAAAAAGGAGTCTCTTGACTGAACTCCCCCCAAATCTTGTCCATGGCTTTAGCGGACTTTAGCGGTTAGGGAGCACATGCATCAAGCTTCCCGACTTTGCCCCAGTGCGCTTAAGTTGTCAGAGGATCCAGGTTGCGCACACCATGGCAACCAAGATCATGGACTGAACCTAAGATCCCAAGGGCAGGTCCTACTTCGCGGAAAGTGTAGCATCCGCAGCTTGACTGAACAGGAACCGGACGGGGAATCAAAGCAGCTCGAGACTGACTTAATCCTTAAGCTCTGTTTATGAGTTTACAGCAACTTCGAACGTCGAAAGACCTCGGACATGTGCACTGGCAAGGGTGCAAGTCTGCCTCCACAAACGGCGAGTCTGGCTACGTTGCCGTTGAATCTAAGCCAGTCGCTAAAGAGAAGTTCTCGATGCCGGCCGCCACCGACATGAGATAGATGGTAACCTGATCTATGACAAGAGCTGCTACAGGTAGAAGCCTTCACAAGTTCCGGAAGCTTCAGTCAGAGGTTCTACAAGACACACTTAGAGTTGCATGGTGCGACATGCAATCGCAGCTTCCGGGTTCCTTTGGCCATGTCGCTATGTTGGACTCCTTCATCATCTGGAGAAAAGCAACAGTGCAGTACTTGTAGGCCATGTTGCTGGTTACCTTATAGGACGCCAACGAAGCATCATTGGCACAACCCGCAGATGGGAGTTCCGCTCTGCATGCCGATGATGGGTGCACCAGGGGATGCTGTCAGCCGGGCATCTCTGCCCAGTTGCTAGTGACACTGCAAAGCAGCCCGCGATGGGAAGTATTTCCCTGCCAGGCCAAGCAGTGACCGGATGCCCATGTGTATGTGCCCACACCTACATCTGTGCAGCATGCTATATACATATGTGACATGTGTACACAAGTACGTTTGCATACAGGTAGGTATGTATTTGCATCTTATTGGTTTGTACTTGTGTGTGTGTGTATATGTATATGAGTATATGTATGTATATATATAATTATATGTGTGTCTGTATGTATTTATGTACGTATGTAGCTAGGCCGGCCAGGAAAGGAAGGTGGGAAGGTTGGTTGGCAGGCAGGCAGGTAGGTAAGTAGGTCGGTAGGTGGTAGGAAGGAGAGGTAGGTGAGTAGGGAATACGTGTTTATATGCACATGCACATTGTTTTGGAATCGACAGGGTCATTGTATTCCACCAGCATGGTGTTGCCACACACACCCATGCACGGACGCACACACGCACTCATGCGCGCACACAAGCACTCACTGACTGCCTGATTGACTCACTCACTCACTCACTCATCTAATGCAACCCACTAGTCCACATGAGACCCACCAGACTTCGGTACTTTCTCCTCCATCAGACCCACTTTCGCTGTGAGTTCTTTCTGCTGCTCTTCCTGCCTGTCACCTTGCAGCTTCACCTGTGCAAGCTGGCTCCCAAACATCTTATCGAGCTGCTCCTTCTGCGACGACACGGCTTCAACTACTTGCTAGGGGAACTCAGGAACTGTGTGGTCGACCTGTGCGGACACAGCACAACAAGGCTTGAACCGCTCGTGAGCTTGAATTCCTTTAGTGCTGCACGTAATTCAGCTGGACACATTACTGGGCCACGGTGCTTCACCTAGCTTCACGTAGCTGTAGCTTCTGCATGGCCAGACAGTCTGTCTACCATGTGTGTCACGCGAGACGCTGGAGCTGTCTCGTACCACACAGGCCGAAGGACTCGCTCACGCACTCACGCACTCACTCGCTCATATTAATTTTGCCACGCACTCGGAACACAGACGAACCCTCACGTGACGCATCTCAGTGGGCATCCTGAGGTAGTACTGCGGGGTGATGTCAACCATCTTGTCTGGATCCTGGCGGTGACGGTGGACTGAGTGGACAGGCATCTTCGATTTCTTCAGCGGCAGAAACGACATCAACGAGAAAGAATGCATCTTCAACTCGGCTTCAATTGAAATGGTGAGGCTCGGGGGCTTGGGGAGGGCTTCGGATGACCTGCTCACTTGCCGATGCCATGTTGGTTACTGGAGGCCCCATAACATGTTGCAGAACAGAAAGAAACACCCGCTGCGGGTCCGTCAGCGCAGGAAACAGCGATGGCTTGCAAAGCAGAAGGGCGCCGGAGAAGAAGGAACCTGGGCGGTGGGCACTTTCACTTGTTCTCTTGGTTTTAACGTCGCGCTGTCCGAGTTGTGGCAGGCTGCAACCAGGCGGCAACAGAAGCAATGCATCGTCACAAGCACAAATGGATGCGGGAAAACGGCAGGTTGCATCAGGTGCTGGTTGCTACCTTGGAAGGGGAACCAGGCTCCACGAGACTGCATGTTATCTTGGAGCAGCAGGTACTACGCCAGCGAGTTACTGGGGATCCGCACCTTGCTCACTATCTTTCAGCGGATGCAATGCACCTGACCTGGACGCCTGCAAGCTGAAGTCGATGCCTACAGTAGGATCGACAAGCCGAAACTGCAAGACGTTCACAATGTTCCATGCCCCCTGGCTCCCTGCAAATGCCATCTTACAATTGTCTTGGTCGGGTACGAAAAGACGAAGACATTTAAGACATCCGAAGCTTGGGGAGCAAGACCCGAAGCACAGCTCCGTGAACGTTATTTATGATGGGGGGGGTTGAGTTTGAATTACGAACCTTGTCCCGCAAAGAACAAATGGCACTGAAAACGGCAGTGTGAATCGCGAGAAGCTGATGGAGACATTACAATTAGAATAGGGTTTGGGCTGGTTGTACATTTTTGTGCAACTGTAAACGGACAGTACCGGGAAAACGAATCAAATCTTCCGGTGTGTCACATGTGCCCTAGATTCCCCCATATATGCAGGCGTAGGAGCGGATCAACGAGGCTGACCTTGATCTGTGCAGACAAGGAAGACTGGAGAGTATCAGGGCTTGGTATGGCTTGCAAAAATACAGACCGTGTGACTTCCACGGACTTGCTACGTTTTGGGACCAAGATTCGCCAGAATCATAACCGGCGGAAGCAAGCACGGCAGTAGCCAGTCCCGAAGGATTCCACGTGTCCTTCGCAAGGATCTCTGTCATAGCGGCCCCGTCTCGTTGAAACACCGAGTCCATGGGGTGAACGAACGCCAGAGCAATTGCTAGAAGTTTGAATAGTTTGAAGCGCGAAGTGGAAGGCAGGGAACCACCTCCAACTCAACTCTTGCAGGCATGCTGCGATCTCCCGAGCAGCGGGTCAGCCTTCGGGTCGAACATATGCGGACAAGTCGTGTGCAGCATGGCTACCGACACGAGTAGTAATGGATGAGATAGTGTGCGACAGCGACCGGAGCCTCTTGCTTGGAGAACGCGGAGTGCATTGAATTTGGTCTGCATTGCCTGTGGTTCTCGAAAAGCACCAGGCCAAAGCCCCTCTCTGTTGGCAGTGTCGTCCCCTCTGCAAGCCTTTCAGTGCCAGGCCTCATCAGATCTTGATCGACAGCGCTTTTCGGTGGACATGGAGTCATGAGCAAAGCTCGGACTGTAAGATGCTGCGACAGCTGCTAACACTATACAGAACCCATAGAATGTGGCGTGGTGGTAGCATGTTGGTAGCGCGGTCATGGATGGTCATGGACCAGTCGAGCTGCTAGGTCTACGGCTGGTTGCAGCTAAGCAGGGGAATGGACAAAGCTAAAGAGGTAGATCGTCAAGGCTGCGGCAGGAAATGAGCCATGCCAATCCTCACAAAATAGCAAGGTAATGAGCACAAAGCTATCAGCGCTTGCTGAAAACGGCCACTGGAACTTCAGAGTCGGCTTCCTTAGGCATGCTGCGGGCACTGCGGGAGCAAACCTTGCTTCCTTGAGGCGGTTGACCCTTGACCAGCAGAATCAACCTGGAGAGCCGGACTACGAGCCAGGATTCATCTGTTGTCATTGGGTCTCATATAAAGCGCACATCGACATGATACGGCCTCGGTGAAGACCGGTCGGGCATCTCCTCTCGCGAAGCAAATTCGCATGACAAAGCTTCCATTGTCGCAGCTTCTGGTCTCCTGCTCCTGTTCTGCGGGCGGGACTTGCTGGGCCTTTGCTTCTCTGGCAGCATCGTGGCAGCGTCCTCTGCAGGAAATCATCTGACCAAACCAGCTGTATGGCACTGTGAAGGAGCAGGTGTAAACTCGACGTAGGTCGTTTCGCGATGCAGTGATGCTGGGAAGCCCGCGCAGCCGACCAGGCTTCTGCCCCATGTCTCGGGTCGGCAATTGGGCTTGGAGAACCGGAAAATCCTAATGCATTATTGTTTTATTTCGTGGCATGGTACCATGCGTCGAGCAGGCTCGCTGACTGCAGCGGTTGCTCAATGTGCACGAAAGCTGATTGTGACTCTTGAATGACTTAAGCTTCCACTGATTTTTTACAGGGCTGTGGGAGTTGTGGTCATACAGCTGACATCCTGCTGTGTGCTGCTGTTGTCTTGCTATGCTCTGACCAAGTGTCAGCACGCTGCGTGTGGGAAAGAAGTGCAGGACAATACATGTCAAAGATCAGCCAAACTGCCCGTGCCAAACCGACATTTTCTCTCCGCCATTGTCCAGCTGCTGCGCATGAGCGCCTGCAAGACAACCGCCCTGCAGCCTTGCTGGAAAGCTTCAGATGTCAGCAGCACGCTAGACAGCCTGGTGCAATTCAAAGGCTCGAAAGAGCGTCTTCATGCCGTGGCCGCTCTGGCACTGGCTCTCGAAGTGCTCGAACGACTTTCTTCCGTCGGCGCTCAGCTGCTGGAGGTGGAACTGGACCTCAGAAATCTTGATCACATGGAGCGGGCACAGGTCGGAATTAGGAGTCTCCTTTGAGGACGAACAGCCAGACAGGTCACCGTAACAGGGGATTCCAGCACATTCGTCGAATTAACTAAGTGGAGCTGTGTAGCAATGGGCCGACTCATTCGAATTCGCACAGTTCGGCACCCCATGACGCGATCCAAGCCTGAAGCCCTGACATTTGCATGAACTCTCTGACATCCATGTCGAAGTCAAGCACTACGCCGTCTCAATCAGGGACTCCACTCAGTTGCTGGGTTACTCAAAAGCTTAATATCAAGTAGAGAGTGCTGCGGATCCGGCTTTTGGGATTTTTTGTTTTTCCTTTTCCTCCGCTCCTACCGGCCAGCCAACTAGTCTGACAAGGCATGCACAACACTGAACGCGTCAAACAGCACACCTTCAGGCGTTCCCAGCAGCTTTTCAAAGGAAAGCAGGCAGTCCTTTTCGCGCTCCTTTCGCTTTCTGCGCTTCCGTCTGCTGCTTGAGCTGCTGCTGGAACTTCGCGACGACTTCTTCCTGCGGTCCCTCTCGCCGTTATCACCTTGGTGCAGAATCAAGTTACTTGAAGCTTGCTTTACTGCCCTATCAGTGATTTTTTTGTGCCTCAACAACCACACCATCTCTCCAAACCGCACGCCACAGCCTCTGAGCCACGGGCTGTGCTTTGGCTTGTCTTTTGCCTGGGAAGGCAGCCAAGCTCGGCGGTATTCAGCAGAGTTAAGATCGTTAAGGAAGCACAGGGCGCACAGAATCCCTCGTGAAGCATGTCGAAGGACAAAGCTCTCGAAGCTGCTTTCCAAGCGCAGCCATTGAAGTATGCATCTCCCGCCTCGGACTTGTCGTCTTTCTTCTTAGCTTTGGACTTCCTGGCATTCTGAGGCATGCTGGACTAACAGCTAGCGGTGACAAGCGTCATCGAAACTCGGCTCTGCTCTTCGCTCTGGCTTCCCGCTGCCCCAGCCAGGAAGGACATGCAAGTCATGACATGAGCACGGAAACCCCGGGGTGGAAACCTGGGCCGGCTCGAGGAAGACGAGGAGGTGCTGAGCAACAGGAAGCGGTGTTATTGCGCGTGAAATGTGCGGCAGTGGATATCGGCGGATGCTGCAGCACTGGCCTGCGTCGCTTCTTCGCTTTGTCCTTCTCCTTTTCTTTGTCCTTTGACTTCTCCTTTCCCTTCTCCTTGTCCCTGTCCCTATCTTTGTCCTTCTCCCGTTCCCTCGCCTTCTCTCTTTCCCGATCCTTCTCCTTGTCCTTTTCTCTTTGTTTGTCTTTGTCCTTCTCGCTGTCCTTAGTGCTTTCCCTCGCCTTCTCCTTGTCAAGTTCTTTGTCCTTGTCCTTCTCAGCATTTTCCACTCTTGCCGTCTCCGAGGGCTCTTTGTCCTTCTCTGTATCCTTCTCCTTGTCCTCTCTCTGGTGGAGCTTCTCTTCCTTTTCCTTTGTTCTGTCCTTGTCTTTGTCGGCTTTCTCTCTGTCCTTGTCTTTCTCCTTGTCTCGATCCTTGTCTTTCTTATTTTTGGCCTTGTCTTTGTGATTATTCTGCTTGTCTTTGCTATCCTTGTCCTTCTCCTTCTTTGATTTCTCTGTGTCCTTGTGTCTGTCCTTCTTCTCCTTCTCCTTCTTGTCTTTCCTTCTGTCGCTCGCCTGCTCCAGCACGAAGATGCAAGCATTGCCGTGACCAAGTACAACAGCTGCAGGATCGCAAGAGCACCTTGGAGCGCGTGGCTGAAGTACTCGATGCTCGCTCCTGCCATGTTGCAAGCACCGCCGGTTGTCGAAGCAGACCCCTTGAACAACCCCAGGTGTCCTTGCGTCGGCTGCTTGAGGAGCTCCTGACAGGATCATCCAATATTCTTAGCAGATTCAGGGCAAGAGTTCACGCCAATGCCGAATCCAAGATCAAACAGCCATCAGGTGTTTTAGCTCTACCTACCCATTTTCTACCCTCGAACTGGAACTCATCGGGCCTAAAAGCTGACGCAGACGTCATGCGTAGCAGCTTTTGTACATTCATTGTATGGCACGCAGAAGCGACGTGGACACTAAATATACTGCGCAAAATATCTTCGCCTGTTTCGAACGAGATTCGCTCGTTTCGTTTAAGGGTTTGTTTGGGGGAATACACGCTTTGCCAAGATGATTAGTGCTCCCAGAGCCAAGCGCTTCAGATTCCAAACGCCTCCACGGTTTATTTCTGAATCGTAACACGAGGCAATGCCCATCTGAGTCAATGACGCTTCTGAAATCTTCTGAATAATTCCTAGGAAGACCTGTGCAATCCCACAGCAGACAGAGAAAGCTCCAAACACGGGAAGGAGCCGGGCTCCCGACTTCCTCTGCTTCTTGCTCTCTACCTGTGCAAGATGCACATTGCGACGCAACCATTTCAGCCATGAAACACTATGCCTTAACCAAGCTGCTATGCGCTGACAAGTTTGCCCTCCGTGCAACAACGGTTGTGAGACACTCCACATGGCTTCGCCAAGTGCTCTGGCCCACACAGTGCCGGAGCTCTCTTATAAGCCGGCCGAGCCGGTCCGAGCATGAGCATTGGTCATGCCAGCATCGCCGACAAAAATGTCGAGTTCACGGCCATTGTCTATCTTCGAAGAGCAAGCGGGCAGTTCGTGTGGCAATGCTAAATGGCTCCATCCAGTCAGCTTCAAATCTGCATCAGATGCTAACACATCGTGGCCATGATCCCGCTCAGAACATTAAAAAGGCACGGCTGCAACTTAGGCAGTTGAAGACTGCTGGAAGCTACACTGTTCGGTCCCGCCCAACTCTCGTCCAGTGAGGCTATTCCTGAAGGTTGCTGCTGCATTGCCCAAGCCATTTAGCTGAAATGCCGTGCGTGACGAGGGTGCGGCGAGCAACTGGCTCGAGTCATTGCCTACTCGATGATCCTTCGCCTGATCCCCAAACGACCAACTGGCAAAGCTGAACCGCACCTTGACAATTCATTGATAATGACTTTTCTGCATGCAGGATCGACACTGCAGGCAGTACAAATCATGACCAGGTGCAGCTACGTAAGGACGAGTTTCTAGATCTGCACAAGGGCTCAGGCATGGAAGAACCGCCTGCATTTCTGAAAAGTCAGAGAAGATCTTCAACCGGTGACGGGAGGCACATGATCCAGGAGCATGACTGAAGTAGCAAAGTTTGGCCGGTTTTTGCTGTGCATTCTGGCCATCTTCGTGCCCTTGGGGAGTATGGCTTTCTTGCTGAAGTATCTTAGCTTGGAGCACACGGCGCCACGAAGTCAAAACCCGGCCGCCATCACTGCAACAAACTCACTGCCGGCATGAATACTAGCCACCGTCCTGCATTGAGGACATCAGTCTCGGAGTCATGTTCTTCAGGACCTCCCCTTTTTGCTGATCTGCATAGATTTGGGCGCCTCAAGGATCGAAGCAGGGGCGTTCGAGTCGCAGCCTTTGCATGTTTCTCACGGTAGTTTCAAGTCTAAGGCCACGTCTTCCGTGGTAGGATCCATCCACCCAGCTCGAAATTATAATGTTACCTTGCAGGATTGCACGTCAGTAGCTCGAGTGGTCTGCATTTTGTTAACATGAGTCACTACATGAAGGCTGACGCTAACATCAGCATCGCTACTCGCATTCCAAGGTGTGAGGAGGAGCAGGAGCAGAGCAGCAACAGAGGAAAAACTGTTGCTGTTGCTGTTGATGTAGCTGTTGCTGTTCCTGGTGCTGTTCCTGCTGCTATTGTCGCAGCCGCTGCTGCTGCTACTGCTGCTGCTGCTGCCGCTGCCGCTGCCGGTGCCGGTCGGTGTCGCTTCCGCTGCCGGTGGCTGTGGCTGTGCTATTGCTGCTGCTGCTGCTGCTGCTGCTGGTGGTGGTGGTGGTGGCGGCGGCGGCGGCTGTTGTGCTTGCACTCGCTCATGTTGTTGTTGCAGCAGCAGCAGCAGCAGCAGCAGCAGCAGCAGCAGCAGCAGCAGCAGCGGCAGCGGCAGTGACAGTGGCAGTAGCGTTAACAGTAGTGGTACTGGTAGTGGCAGTGGTAGCAAATGCAAAGAAGTAAGACGGGTAAAGAGAGAGAGAGCTAAATGAGAAACAGCAAACAGAAAAACTAATTACACGAGATTCAGCGAGCAAAAGAGTAAACGAGTAGAAGAGCTATAGAGTACGAGTAAGTGTGGGAGTAAGGGTCAGTTTCCCTGGTCAAGCACTCGTAGCAGCACTGATGTACGTAATGAGACCAAAGCTTTCCAAATTCCGCTGCATCGACCAACGGATCCAATCTGCAATCCGACCGGTGATGAATTTGAGCAAAGGGGCAGTGCGCTTCCATGCAGATCTGCAGGGACGCCGAACCTCCACTCGTTTCGGCATGGAGCTGGTTTGTGAGGTGGGGCAACATCAGGGAGAAGCGCCGGAAGCTAGGAAAGGCGAGGGAATCGCACCTATGGGCTCCTTTCCGCGATCCACACGGAGCGCATTTGTCCCAACGACCACAAAGTCTGCGTCGATGCTTTCTGCGTAGCCTACTCACACGGGTGCAACATAGACCGCAAAGCATGCGTCTGGAAGCGTTCAGAGTGTTGAACCGTGCAGGCTGTCTGCCTGCGACTGTCTGCGGTATCAATTCCCCCTTATGCTGTGGAACGATGCGAAACTCGATGTGACGGTCGTAGAATTTCCTCGGTCTTGAGATGTAAGCAAATCACCCGCTCTCTGCATCTCAGAAGCAGCCTGCATGCAACGGCACTTCCATGCACTTCCCGACATGCTTTTCGAGTCTGGCACATGAATACTAAAGTGAAAGGAACTGAAAAGAAGGTGTTGAACTCCGTCTTTTGAATGGAGCCAAGGTTCTGAAGAACGTGGTGATCTCCATCGCCCAGGCCCTGCGAAGCAGGAGTCGTAGTGGGTAGAACTTTTTTTTGCAGCAAAGCTGAAGCTGTCTGAAGCTTTGGCATCGCCGATTGAAAGCCGGCGCCTCAAAGAAGTGGCAGTAGCGGTCACGCATGATCTTCACCTCTAGCGCTACTACACCGAGCATACTCTCGTAATATGATTCTTGCGCGGATCTTTCTTCTGTCGAGGCGACATGATCTGACTCCTGATCCTCCGTGAAGAACGTCACGTAGATCAAATGAATCTCATCTCCTACACCACGAGGGGCTGCTCACAGGAATAATCTTGAATGCAAAACAGCTGACTCTTGCCCTCGGACATCACCCTAACTACAGAAGTTGACTCTGGCTTCCCAAAAGGGCAGGCAGTCTTGGAATCACCAGCCGTCCTGGCTTCGAAAGTCGCAATGCATCAAGAAACGCTTTTGATGCGGCTTTGTTGAGACCTTCGCGAGATGTGTCGGGCTGCAGAGGCTGCAAACTCCACAACAACGAAACGAGCAGGGAAACGGCACCAGTCTCCTGAGCCTTCGGCTCATCGAAACCACAAATTTTGCCTGAGGTCGAAGTGAAGATGAAGACAGGGGCTCTGGTAAAAAACTTACAGGCCGCCACACTGCAGGTATGACGTGATGAGACCCCAGATGAAAAGCGTGACGTTGACAGCCCCAACAGCTACCAGGCATCTCACTCGCTGGTACAGTCAAGGTTACCGGCCGCCCCATCGGAAGCTTCTGAATGCTTGGCTCCTTCGGACGGCAACTGTTCACTGCAGTACGGCGACGTCTCTGCATGTCTTGACTGAGAGATGCCGGAGTAGCAACCTACGGAGACACAGTAATGGAGCGACCAGCACAGAAGCTAAGCTATGCTTGTTGATTTGAAGCTGTCCTTGAACACCACCAAGCTGCACCTTGCATTTACGGTGGCAAGACTCCTCGTGCCACACCGCAGGTGATGCTTGAAACAAGACAAAGGCCCGGGCATGCCGAGCAAGGTCAGCTTGCGTCCAAGCCGGAGAACCTCAACTGACTGCCAGCCCGCTCCGTCACCCCTCACCTCTCAGTACTTCCCTATGTGGTTCGTAGGTCGTCTCGAGACAGTATCTAGCTGGCCTGCCTCATAGATATTCGAGGTCATCATTCGGACGTCCTTCTTCCCTGACGGCGCATTCGGGTAGTAGCTCTGGTGCCAAATGCCAAGGGCGATGCAGAAGTGACAAATAGTCTAGGTTCTCTAACTACATTGACATGCGGGAGCTGGCTTCGATTGCAATGCAGGTCTCCGGCCGTTTCGATCAGATAGCCCAATCTTCGTTCCAACTCATGCCGCAACGCTCGGGAAAATGGATTGAACCACGATTGCGGGCATCGCCTCTGAGATTGACATGACAGGGTTCGACAAGTAGCTCCACTTGTTTCAAGATGAATGCTCTTGGCCACTACCACGGCGTTATCACTGTTCAGATTTAACCGCTGATTGCTGGAGCTATTGAGCGGCGCTCCTTATGCTATTTCTCCACTTGTCACTGGAAAAGCTGGCCGCTATTCTCCACTTCGGGTTCTCCAAGTGAGAGCTTTAGGGCAGCCTTCAATACGACTCCACTGGCCGGGCATGGAGATTGGTCCAGAGGCTTGCATGTGTTTATCCACCGGCAGTGGGAAAGACTTGCCAGGATATGGCTGGATCATTTTGCAACAGTTGCCACGGGAAGCCACCGAAGGCCAGCCGGCAGTCCATGACAGCTCCGGCTGCTTACCCTGGTTCAGCTTGGGGGAATCCCCCAACAGCATGGGTAATAGCCGAAAAGCCCTCATAGTCCTGTTGTGTCCTTGTACATCGTTAGTCCGAGATTGCTCCTCCTTTTCCACGCCCCACATAACGCACGGCGTCAATTCTAAGCTGTCTCAGGCGGCCGTCCCTGATTTACTCCTCCTCATGTTCTGCACATACCTTGTACAGTTGGAGCGGGCTGCGACGTTTGGCCTTTCGCCCTCGAGGAAAAGCGGGTGAGAAAAAAACAGAGAGTCTGAGATCTTAACTGCTGCTAGTACTCATGTCATGTCCTGGAACAACATAAGTCGGGCCTTACGGCCACGGAAGCCCATGCAAAGAAAAGTGGCCGGATTCTCCACGAAATGGTCGCAGATCATCTGGCCAACCTTCAGTGAGAGAAGTATGCACATGTCGTTGCAGGCTACATCAGCCAAACAGAAGGCAAGACGGATGGTCGAAGCATGCTTCAACAGAGCCTGTCGTGTCGGCTTACTGTACGCCTGCCTGCGACGTCTTCTCCTTCCAGTTGAGCACGAAGCGGTCGAGGCTTACCCACCCTAGTAACTTTGCATAGACCTCAATTCAGCAATGGAGCTGGGTCATGAAAACAAGAATGATACCTTTAGCTACAGGGCACATGCGGAAGCATGGGCCAAAGAGTGCTTTCGAGTCGCAACAGCACGAAGATGCTCTCTTCGGTACTCTGGTGGCAGATAGTCCTCGTGAAACCATGTCCGAAAACTTTACATGTATGCTAGTGTTACATTTCATCGAACTCAGCTCTCGAGGAAAGCAGAATGTCGTCAACTACGTCAAACAATGGCATCCTACCACAGTGGCGAGAAGAGCAGACAGTGCGGTCTGAAATCCTTGCCGTCGTCGTAGACATGTAGGACCTCGTCATCAGCAGCATGCCGCTCGCTGCCGGTCGGTCCTTGACCTCCCCACCTCTATGCCACTTTGCCGAAACGACAGCCCGATCCTTCTACATGCATTCTAACCTGATGATACCTGATGTAAGATGCCCACATCCAAGAAAGCGCCGCGCTCACGCACGGACAACCTTGATTGCAAGTTGGAGACATCAGTAGAGCAACCGCGCGCGATGCGACCACGCTTCGCTGAAGGAAAGGCCGCAGCGGCCTCTTCCAATTTGCATCCAGGCTGCGTAGTCGAAGGAAGCCATGGACTCCGGGCTGCCGTCCACAGCGAGAAGGAATTTCAAAGGAGCTCCCAAGACCTCAAACTGCACCGTGGCATCAGGTTCTCACACAATGGAACCTTAGGCCTTAGGCACGGACTGACTCGCATGATGCTATGTCGATCACACCAGCCTCACCGCCAAGAGCGGGGCATGTCGAGCACTGGAACATGGTACTCTTGCATACGGTTGAAGACACAATCTGTGTCCGAGACCTGGATCACCCCACACGGATTCATCGATGTGTCAACTTGGAAGTCTTTGTGTTGGAATTCGACTAGACATGGCGCGAGATGGCACAACAAGTTGAAACAGCAACAACGAGCCCCAGTCCGTAAAATGCGCGACAGTAGAAGTGATTGCATTGCACAGAGTCTACCGGGTCTACCGTGTATCACCAGCTTGCTTGCATCGGAAGTACACGTTGCAGGCTTAGAACAAGTCTATACGCTGAGTCAGTTCGGGCCTGGCCTGAATTTCACGATGAGTATCCATTCGCACCGAACCTCAGCAAAGGAGAAATTTGTTCCTTCCTAGGCCGGGATGGAGATGCTCAGGTCCTCGCCGTTGCCGGGGCAGAATTTGTCCACTCGCTTCGAGCCGCACCGTGGCACACAAGCGGAGCACCGAAAGGTAATTCGGACTTCGGACTAAACCTGTTTCCGGCCTAGACCCAACAGATTTTGGCGCTTGTTTTCGTTTGGCAAGGCTCCGGCGCTGTGCAGCTCTTGTCAAGCCCCTACTTCGTGGTGCAGGCAAACAGGCGAGCTTCATGGCCTGAGGCCGCACGTGCTTCCGTTGTGGGGAAGGCGGCGATTGAGGAGCAAGGCTAAGTAGGCTCTATTTCTTTGCAGCTGGTATCCTGTGTTCATACTATGACACAGCATGCGGTCACAAACGATGACCAACGAAATGCGTGAATCCCTTTATCTCTTTTTGATGCAGCACCGGCTGCCCTGCGCCAAGGCTACCAAACCACCACTAACACAACCTCCACACCCACCGCCAGCACCGGCACCAGCACTACCACCCGGACCACCACGACCACCACAATCACCACCACCACCACCACCACAACCACCAACAACAACAACAGCAGCAACAGCCACAACCACACCACAACCACAAAAGCCACAAACACCCCCACAAAAACGCAACAACCACAACAACAGCAACACCACCACCACCAGCAACAGGAGCAGCAGAAAGCTCATCATGATTGCCAAACTGTCGCGATCGCTGTCCACCATCGACACCATCATCACCAGCATCATCATCATGAATCATCATCGACAGGATCACAACGATGGTCGTCGTTGGATTCACCATCATCCACGACTGCGCCCTCATCGTACTACCATGCCCTACCATCTGCGATGAAATATTTCGCATGCTGTGTTTTTGCTTGGGTTGATGCTGTATAATCAGGCCTAGAGACTTTACGCGCCCGCGAAGTGGGGCTCTTTATGGGGATTGATCTTGTCCTGCTGCAGGGAATCAAAATGCATGGCATGGCTTGGAAACCGTCCGAAAGGCCGTGTTGCACATACACAGATCCTCGTGTACCAACATCCGAACCGATTTCCCGAAAGAGCTCCCCGCTCCTCCTCCACCCTGTTGCATGATTTCGTTAGATAAAATTTCTTCTGCGGCAGAGGAGCATGTGCTGAGTGTGCTGGTTCCACCAGTTCCACTCTCAGCAGGCGGCATCATCCTAATTCCAGAAGATCCCTGGCAGCATCTTCCACAATTAAGTGGTGTTGCAGCAACCTAGGAATCCCTGCCTCCCAGGGCAAGACTTCCACTTCCAGAGGGTCCGATCTATACTTGCCAAGTGCATCTTCTTTCCCAAACAAAGGCCAGCCATGTTCGTCTTAGTCGATGTCTTAGGATCGGACTGCCTTGGGAATTAACCGCAGTTCCGGTTGCGCGGAAACCAGCCGAGAGAAAAGCACTGTGATCTGAGCCACGCATCAAATCGCACCGATGCCCATGACTCGCTTGAGTCGCGCACGAGCTGTAGCTTCACTTTGACATGCGGGGCCGGGCTTGCACAGGCATCGAAGGTCATACTGTTGATGATATAAATCCTGCAGTACCTTAAGGACCCTAAACTATGGGAAATTATGGCATATTCCTTATTATGGGTCATGCAGGATTTATATCACAACAAAACGGAAAGGTACATGCTTTTGCAATGTCTGAAGAACCCGTCGGTCGCCGAGACCACCGCGATACGTGCAGGAGCTCTGGCGCCTCGGAGAACTCGGAGAATTGTGCAGACTCCTCTTCCAGATGGGATACATCTTCACGTTCTCGGACCAGTGGATGCAGGACTACTGGAAGAGGGCGTACATTACCAGACATGGAGTCAATGTGTCCAAACAGCAGTGCTAGCTCAACACCCTGCACCAGCTGCTTAAAAGCGGGCTGTGCCAACTCGCAACACCTGGATGAAGCTGCGATTGGTACCTAGGCCCAGAACATCCCATATCCATACGATAGGCGAGCCGGCTCCAGCCAGTCTTTCACCGGATAGCACGGATGATCCCAGAGCTGCTGAAGGTCCGACACAGCTGATCGGAATCAGAACCTCCAAGCATAACAACTGTAGCAGTATGGAAACTTTGCTGTTAAAACCGTCGTGCTTGTTTCGGGACCATGGAGCACAAGCAAGAAAATTAGAAGATAAAGGTGATAAAGGCAACAATCTGCCGTGTGGTAGCAGGTGGCAAGACATGGGAATCCACCTGCAGCGACATGCGGAATACTCTACAGTACTACAGTAAGCCCTTGCGGATGAATGTCAAGCTCGGACATCGAGAGCTGATGCTGAAAGCCGGCTTGACATAATTAACCAGCAACACATCGCAGTACAACCTAAACAGTAATGTGGGACTCATGGGCACTCTGATAGTCTTCAAGTGCCTTCAACATCTGGGTTGGGCTGCGTGTGCTGTGAAACGAGGCACGGCGCTATTCGGAGTTCCCCGAGCGCTTCCAGCCACACCATTAAAAAAAAGCTGACCATCCACAAAGAACTTGGTAGAAGCTAGCTACGTGGCGAGGACGGCAGGTTAGGAAGCTGGACTCCAACAGACTCTCAAGTCATGATGACTGCACATCTCTTCCATTTCCTACCATGCTCAGCGTGTTCACGCCTGATTCGGCGGTTCTTCAAGCATCCGTGCATTCTGTGCAAAGCACGGGAAGCTCGCGCAAGCCTTGGCAGAAAGGATGCATATCCTGCATCTCTTCCGTCTCTGGCTGATTCGGGACTCGTGGCAGAACCTGGGCGAGCTTCGAAACAGTTGCAGCTGAAGGAGGCTTCCGACCAGGCGAGTACACGACAGACAAACAACCGGCCATATCTGGCAATGCGTGGTTGAGGGTGCTTGAAAGTCGTCGGATGCAGCAACAGGCTGAAATCATATCTTGCAGCCACACTGCCTTTCGCGGTGGCATAGGAGAATCCTGAGGAAAACATCAGCTTCCAGGAATAACAAAGATTTCACACATGGATGTCGCAGCTGAGCACACAAAGCTCCACATGACCGCGCCAGCTGGTATTGAGCTCAAAAGAAAGCTCCATAATCAAATTCGAGGCACGCCCCACGCGACCGAAACCTGCACAGGCCTCGCCAGGGGAGCATCCTCGTCCTCTGAAGAAATCGAATGGACCAACATCTGGGAGCCTAAAGTGTAAAGCGTAGTTCATTTGAGTTGTCCTCCCCTCCCACGACACCTTCTTACCTTCGCTTGTTCGCAGGTGATCTATAAGAAGAGGTGATGCTGCAATGCCACAAGCTAAATGGCCATATAGTTGCTGGCGTTCTGGCTGGACTGTTGGCTATTGATGGCTAGTGCCTATTGCTCATACGGGCCGGTGGTCGGTGGTCGACGAGAGGGACTTTACGGCGAAGAGTGGACAGAGCGAAGCATGGCCGTGTCATCATGCCGACAGTCCCTGAAGAAGTGTGTGTCCACCAACACAGAGAAGGTCACTCTCTTCTTCGGCAGCTCCTTGTCTGAAACATGTCTCATGTCAAGCAAAAACTGCCATCTCGACTGCCATGCCATGTCAACAATGCAATTGAATTAAGTACCAGGATCCTGCACAAACTGCACCTCGTCGTCGCCCTCTGACACGAATGCGAACGTAACCTTCTTTTTCTCCAGGGGCTCTGGCTCTGGCTCGGACTTCGAGGACACCTGCACTTCGAAGTCGCCCTCGTCCGTAAGCATGGTGACGATGCGGGTTCTGTAGGACTCCGGGTTCCGCCTCGCCTCGCCCAGGGTCTTGAGCTTGGCTGAATGCGGCTAACATTTACTGTGTTTCGACCCACCTGTGGACGCTTCTCATCATAGCGCTGCCCGCTGAAGTACACGGGACGTCCAACGCTGGCCACGGGAGCGCTTGCTCCACAGCCCATAGTCACCGGCGCAGGTAGCTGACAAAAGGTTGCAACCTAATTGGAGCTTTGACCACTCGCCTTTGCCTCTCAAAACAAGTTCAATCTGACAATATGTAGTGATACCTGTCTACCTCTGCAATCTGTTACTCAAACGAATCCTGAAAAATCTGCCGTGTGTCTACATGCTCAGGCCCAATTGTGGGCAGGCAAGAGAGAGGACTGCAAAGACACCACGAACATGCAGATCAACCGCAGCGACTTCGCTCTTGAACGCTGCAAGAAGCATTCATAAGAAGTCGTCTTGCTGCTCTCTCCGTGGCCTTGTCCTTGTCAGCTGCCACAGCAGCGCGGAAGGCGGCTGCACGTCCGGGCCTTACTCTCGGTGAAATCGCAAGACCGTCCACCTGATTTCCTGCCGGCCTCAATGCTGCTATGCGGAACAAGCCCGACTCAACCGAAGGCATGCCGCCATCACGCAATCACTGAAGCGCAGCTGAAGTGCGCTGAAGATGTTGTGGCAGCCACCACGGCGCGCTGGCAGAAGGCAAAGCAATTTGAATTCTGTACCAGTTTTGCAGCCAGTTAGCCCGTCGAGTTGATCAATGGCAAGGGAAGTTGGGGAGAGGATTCGGTAATGTCTACTTCCAGCCAGCCCAGCAGATGGTGGCTTGGCACCTCCGGTTGGCTTACTTTCTGGCCGAAACGCGATTCTGCGATGGGAATCTGTTTTCGCCTGTCCGGTCTCGGAACCCGAGTATGAGAAACCAATCGGACAGCGTGGACACAGACTCGATACGGCAACAGACGTAGTCTTCAGCAGACTTGGCAGACCACCTGGCATTCTCGCCATCGGTCACAGCCTATGCATACGTTCAAAGGCAAAGATCGTCGCAGACGGCAGCTGGTGCTCTAGGCCATAATGGAGGCAAGTGTCCCGAGCAGCTCAGCACAGCGGCGCAGCAACTTTCACCGTGGGAGGTCCGGAGCGGACGGCCAAACGGCACGTGATGCGAGAGCGTGGAGCGGCGACTACTCCAGTGTACACGGACCACCCCAGAATCCTCACAACGGCCTACAAGCACAGATCGGACCTCGTCATCAGAATCGGCGAACCGCCGCCACAGGTCACTCTGCTGAAGGTGATGCACCTGGCACTGATCGCTCTGACCAACTTTGTGCCGATTTCCAGACGGATGGACGGATGACTACGTCGCAAAACTTGGTAAACGTGCTTTTCAGAAGCTGAACAGGAAACAGCTTCCAGGAGCAAGCCTTTCTACAAATGGTCTATCTACAAAGATTTCCACATTCGACCAAGGTCGAGCTTTCAGGTGCGAGCCTGCTGCGGCTGGAGGTCGTCCAGTTCGCGCCGCAGCATGCTGATCTCGGTGCAGGCACGGGCTCAGGTTTCATGGCCAGAAGTCTATCGTCTTGACTGTGATGAATTTCCCCAGCTTCTGGACTCTCTCGCTAAGAAGTCTCTGGCCTGTTCTGGCAGGCAATTTGCACTAACTTCAATGAATCAAAAGCTAACCGTTTCTTGACGGCCACAGACCCCTCGCAAAAGCAGGGGCTTCTAACCCGCGGGGGGCGACAAGTTCTAGTAGGGTAGTTCGAGCATACGAGAGGTCAAGCAGTCAGAGCGTCAATGAACCTGGAGCCTGAGTCAAGCAACGAAGTGACAGCCGAAACATGAAAATGCTTCATGAAGTGCTGGGTTGTGACAGTTTCCGGGCTGGTGGGGCTGCGCTTGCAAATGCTTGCTCGGGCTCGCAAGCTGTATGTGCTCTAGAGGAGGAGGAGGACGAGGAGGAGGAGGAGAGCGGAGGGAGGAGAGCGATTGCAACAAGAAGGATGCTACATCACTGACAACAGACAAGGGGACTTCTGACGGCTGACTGCTATGCCACGATCTGAGTCAATGCGCATCGCTGTTCGGCAGCTTGCCACCCTCCAGTTTGCCTTCCCAAAAACCTCGGAGCCCGACCATCTGCGTGCCCCACGGCATGACGTCGTCTATGTTCGCAGCGAACCTACAACCGAGACTCCTTGCAAACCTGTTGTAAAAGCGCCGATCTACTGCGAAAGGTGCGCCCTAGGGTGCCTCTGATTGCAGACAATGTCGAGGAATTGAGCCGCTGTCATTGACCGTCGTCTAAGCAGCGGAAGTGCCTGAATCAGGCGTCCGGGCACGTGAACTTCACAACTCATAATCCGTGGAATCTTCCAGGTAGCCACGCCTTGCAAAGCCAATTGATCTTTGCAGGGCCTTGGCTGAGACTGTGCTTTAGCTTTCCATTACGACCCTTCCGTTCCTGGCTCAGAGCAGTGACGAGGATGCTAGCTGCTAGATCTATGTAAGGTCGGACAGTCCATTCGCTGGGTCAACGCCAGGTTCGGAGGGGGGGGGGGGACCGAAGTAATCGGACAGTTAACTGACATGGCCCTGCCGATATCGCTTTGGCCACGAGAACACGCTCCGCCGGCTCCGCTTCCTAGGCCTGTGCTGTGCCGCATGTGCTGTGTGTGCTGCGTGGAGCCGAGGCTGCAGCCATCCAGCCGCACGATCTTCTGCAGATCCCGGCTAACATCCTATGCATGGAAGTGCATGGCTGGTCGTGTCTATCGTGTCTCTGTCTCGGGATGCAGCAGCCACGTGAAGAACCACCAACCCGCAAATGCGACTCGCATAAACAACCAAGGCATGAAGCATTCGGCCAAGATGGATGTCTCGCCCGACCTCTCCCTCATCTTTGTGAGTTGCCTTCACAGAAACATCCAAAGTCTCTGTTGGGTGAATAGGACGCTTGGAAGATGCGACGAAGCTGCGAGCATCCTCGTCTGGGTCGGCTACTCGATCACAAAAAAGGATAGGTATCGTGCGTGTGCCCACCGTAGCCCCTTCACGGTCTTTAAGCCATCGTCCTAGCCTGGGAGAGAAGCCCCTGTGGTCGAGCGGTGGCGGCAAGAAGGCTAGAATTGGAGCTCTTGCTTTGAAAAAAACACCGGCGCCTTGTAGTGGGCCCGGGATGCGGCTCCCTTCGGCCGTCTGCTGATCACCTCCCCGGCGATGGGCACCTGCCGTCGTCGAATCAAGGGTCTCCGGAAGCAATGCACATCCACCAGCAGTGCCTCCACCTTTCCGGGGCGTGGCCTGGAAGCTGTTGGTGCCAGAACTTCTGGTTCTACTGCATTTCCTATGCCGACTTCACAGTGCCCATTACTGACGCCAACGCCAGGATGCTGTAGCTTAATTAGAGGCTGGAAGTCTTGCAGCTGCCGGAATATCGGAATAACGGCATTTTGGCAATGCCTGATCACGAAGTAAACATGTCTGGGTACCGCACGTCATGGCTCGTGTCGCCAGCACACATGGGCTCACTTAATGCAGCCCCAGAACAAAGACGTTCTAGCTCCCAGGTTTTCGGGGATTTCACAAAAGCTCTTGGGATGCTCGGTAAAGGGGTTCGCGGACTGCGGGAAAAGTTGACATCTGCCGCACCAGAGCCCCAAGTGATTGATCTACGTGATGCAGTGGTTCTAGAATCTGCTCGAGGGTTTGTGGCAGATGCCAGTGCTAGACGTTGGCTCGCTGCCACCGTTCAACAATCATTCCGCTCTATCCAGCAGCTGGATTGGGGCTGATAAGTTCCTCATGGATATCCCTTTCTCAGCTTGAGCACCGAGTAGATTTTTTGAGTTTTGTTGTGAGAGGCTTCGCGTGCATTCCTTTCGACAGTACCAATACTCAAGGAGCATTGAAAGAATGAACACGTCAGCTTGCTCGAGAGCCGTTCAGCCAATCAAAAATCGTCCTCTGATTCGCTTGCGTGGCGGCTGAGCTTTTAGCCAGGCGACACTCAAACTCCCGCTCTTCAGGAGAGCAAAAGCAAAGGAGGAGGGTCCCGTGTAATGGATGAGCTGCAACGCTGGAACCGGCTCTTCGCGACCAACTTGGAGCCGGCTCTCACTGGCACTATCTGAACAAGTTGCCCAAGCTCCTTGCAGACAAGCTCTGGCAAGATCGCACTGGCACACCAACTGCCAGAACTCTGGAAGAACTCTGGAGAAAATGCAATGAGAATGTTCAACATGTGCCAAGAATGCAGCAAGAACGAGATGTGAATGAAGAACACATTGGACCGACTTGCCTTGCGGCATTGATGGCGTTCGAGGCCAGGTCTGCCTTCCATGTGACGGTGACGGGTACAGTCAGAACTTTTCTCCTTGGCTCTGCCTGGCACTCTGCCTGGCCTGGAGCATGTTGTCCTTCACGTCCGGGCCCGCAGCCAAAATGCCCGGGTGCCGAGTGACGATCTCTAGGGCCTGCCGGCTCAGCCGCTCGCTTTTATTCGCTTTTGCAAAGCTGCACCGGAGATTGGCGGATGTCCTTGTCTCGGTCGGCGCCGTCCACCATCGCTTTGAAGGTTTTCTGCGAGGCAAAGCAACTCTCTCAATGAACGCTCGCTAGGGTCACAGACTTGGCAAGCAGGCTATTCCCCAGCCATCACAGCAAGTCAGCCCATAAATCCAGAGCGGAAACTGCTTCAAACTCAAACCACTTGCGCCAAGCAATTGCTCTGGCCCACAACGGAGTGCCCAAAGGAGCATCGCATCTTGACTGATATTGCAGCAGCATCGGCTGCTGGTGGCCTATATGCTTCGCTTGCGATGCTTGCAAAGCGTTCCTTCAGACACCTAAGTCTACCTACAGCACCTACAGTATCCCACGGCTTTGGCCATGGAGAAATCTGCGCCGCTCAAGGTCGCCGAATGTATGTCGGAGCAGACCAATCCAAGGCCCACGCTTGAGCGCTGCGGAACTTAAACAGTTACAGCTGCAGCCCGATGCTTCGGCAAACCAGAACCTGGGGGTTCCAAGCATGATAGCTACAGTAGCTGCAGGAATGATAGTCGTTCAGCACCTCGTTTTCACTACTGGCGGGCTATGCCGAAGCATCCGGAGCATTGCGTCCTTTCAGGAGCCGGATGGTCTTCTTACCGACCTGCAGACTTGGAACACCACGCAGAGCACAAAACTCACCCAATTTCGACTCTGGCCTGCTGGACCTGATGGTTCTGTGGGTGAAGCCGCACGGCCTCGGGCTTCACGGGAGAAACACAGAGGGACAGCCCTGGGATCCTGTGATCCCGGCGTCTCTCAGAACACGAACCGCGCCGGCCGTGCGCAGCGCGGCCTGCAAGCGGAACTCTCAGAATCGACAGCAAAGTACTGTCGTTGCGGTCCTGGTTTCCAGGGTACGTGGCCAGGTTGTGCAGAGCACCCAGGCAATATTCAAGCACTGAGAGATCGTGCCTTCGAGATGAGCTAAATACATCGGCGCATCCGTGCTCTGTCTGGTTCTAAAGCCGTCCATGTCCAAGTTTCAGCTAAGGTGCACGTGCAAGCGCATCGTTTTCAAAATCATCTCTCCTCCACCCAGCGAAGCCAGCAAGGACCTCGCAAATCTACTTGACAGAATGGCCATTTACACGGTAGGCTTGCGGCGCTTGCACCGTTTCTTTTTGCAGCTAGGCTTGGAATCGGCCCTGCTGCCGACACGGGACACACATAATTTGTGCCACCTCCGTCGCTCTTAGCCAAGCGGCTGTTCTTGGCTCGTGGCTGCAAGGTTTGCCTTAGTCAAAATGTGTCGGCACAAGCTTGGTGAACGCATACACATCACACGCCTATCAAACCATCTCAAAAGGCGGGTTGTTGCTTGCCGCTCCTGGGAAACCCATCCAAGCAGTTTCCACCCGTTTTATGTCAGAAGGTGGGTGGCGTAGAGGTTTCGAAGGCCATCCCTGAGCAATTTCTCAGCCATGTCTCTAAAGCCGCACAGGCTTTGAACTGAACGAACGCATTGCCTCAGCTTCACAAGCTTCCGAGGCGAAAACGCAACTCGGCCTTTAGAGCTTTTGAGTTTTTTTGACCTTTCAGAGCAGCACAGGAACCGGGACAACCCCAGGCTCAGTCAATGCGGAGCTTTTCGGCTGTGCTGAAACGTCTCTTGCGGTTATGCACCCAAATGCTTGCCAAAGGGCTGGGATGCATCTGCATGGCTCGTAGAATCGCCTTACCAAGAGTCGGTCTAGGAAAGAGGAGTTTAAGACATCTAAGGCAAAATTTTATGGGGCTTCGCCTCCAAGCCCTTCTCTTGCACGATGCTCCGACGAGTCGATGCTGTGGCTGCCAGATGAACCTCGCTTCTTTGGCCGACCCCCACCTCCCGCCACGAAAGGAGAAACTTGGCAGTATCTCAGAGCTCAGCCAGTGTCCCACAGCAATATCCCTGGACCTTGCATGTCAGGCAATGGCAAGTTCACAACCCGGAAGTGACATAGCCCAATACTTCGGACTCGTTCTCGTTCAGCTCCATCGACCTGCAGGCTGTTCTGGTCTCCTAACCCAGCGCCACTGTGAGGCCCATCGCAGCCCGCTGAAACCCCACGCGCCTCAGAATTGTCGGAATGGCATCCTGCACACTTCTCTGACACTTACCCCGAGTTGGACTTCAAGAGCCGTGTCGTCTCAAGAAGTTGGGAAGTGGCCCGGTGTTTGCACGATTGGTGGCGCTTGTCCCATGTAATTGGCAAGGCTTCTTCATGACCGGTGTGGCCAAAATTAGACTCGCTGCACCTTTCTGAGACTTTCGTGGCTGTTTTGCCTTTCTTGCCCGACAACTTGGCGCAGAACGGCCTGCAGTCTCACTGCATCCTCAGCCCGTGTCGTCTCGAATCGGTGCCGATGCGAAGTCATGATCATCCATCACGCATGCCATGTGCCACTCACCATCTCACACCGCGCCTTTGCTGCCACAGCTTGCCGACTCTCATCATCGGTGCAGAGGTACCGCCTGGAGACGCCCAGTGCTCGGTCACACTGGCTGACACTGCAATATATACTGCAATACTGCAGGTGCAGAGTGTGGCTCGCATCAATCCGATCTGAGTGGGGTGCAACGACTCGCAGCCGCGCTCTTGCACGAAGGCCTGGGTAAGAGCTCTCCGTCTGGCTACTCCACGATGGCTGCCACGACGACCACCCCGGCAAAGAAGCTTATCTATCATAGGACTGTCATCTTCACCTATGACCAAGACATGCAAGCGTCCATGTGAGCTATCCGAGCCAATCGCATTTTGTGGATCTGACTGCCTGCCAAACTTCGTACATGCTGCAGCTCATGGAAGGGCAGAGCTGCAGCCGTTTGCAGCAGCAAACATGACAGTGCTGCTGCTAACCCCATGCAAGATGGCAGCAGAACCGCCTGAGGCAAGCACATTAGATTCACAACCTCCTCAACCACCGAGTCCATTCCAGCCTTGGGCGATTCCCCAAGACCGATCCTTCCGAGAGGTTCCAAACCCCAACAACTGCGATCAGCAGCACCAAGCATCGGGCAGCTTTCCAATCAGTCCCAAACTTTTCGAGGGCAGCCTGGATCGAATGGCCAGGGCACGACGCACTCGATCCTTCGCCAACTTCGCGATGCGCTAACAGCAGAGCTGGAGGCAAGGTTTGTGTATCGAGGTTCTGACGCTTTCGGTCACGAAGGACTCATTCGGAATAGACCAGATAATGTTCAAGAACGTCATCAACAGCGGTATTCGCAGAAGGCCAAAGCAACCCGTGCTGCTGCCGCAACTGCTGCCGTAACTGCCGCAACTGTTGTTGCTGTGGCTGCTACTCTCTTCATCTCCTCACACTGCTACTTCCACGCTTGCTCATACTCCAGCTCCCACTCCTACTGCTACTACGACTGCTACGACCACTGCGCCACAGCTGCTGCTGCTGCTGCTACTACTACTACGACGACGACGCCGACGACGGACGACCACCACGTCTGCCACCACCAACAGCCGTCATAGCAGGAGTCGTGGCAGTGGCAGTAGCAGCTGTAGGTGGAAGTTCAGTGCAAAAGCGGTAGCCGTCGGCAACAGCACCAGCAGGCAGGCGGGGGGGCGGGCGGGCGGGCGCAGCAGGAGAGGTGGTTGCAGCAGCAGCCACAGACATGGGTGATCTTCTTCAGCCGCCCAGAAGGAGTCTGCGTCTTCGGAGCAGAAGCTCAGCCGCCGGTGTCTTTCCACACGCTCCTTCAGCCTCCAAGCCTAGACTATCGCATTCCATCCTTGGACGCAGTCTCCCCTGTTGGAAGGGCCTTTTGAGCAGGGAGAAGCATCCGAATACGATGACAGATGTCATACACGTAGGTGATGATGATGATGATGGTGGTGGTGGTGGTGGTAGTGGTGGTGGAGGTGGTGGTGGTGGTGGTGGTGGTGGTGATGTGCTGGTGGTGGTGACTACGGCGATGATGGCCGCAGGGCCTTCCGGACCCAACACTTAAAGTAAGCCATCAAAATTCGAAATGCCCAACCGATGCCATGATGCCGTTGCTGTTATGGCTCTGCATCATCGTCGTAGTGCTCATTTCTCTTAGCTCGCCCTTCGCATTTACGTTGACAAGCCAAGGCTGGAAATTGTAGCTCTGAACCGGCCGCATAATGCCCCGTGCATCGCAAGCGCGCCCCATTGAACTAAGAACAGAATGCATAGAAATGCCTTGGCTGCGGCAACAGCCGGCAACTTGAAGTTGGGTGAGCCTCACAGTGCGAAGCTGCATTAAATGGCTTCCTGAAGAGGTAAACATCAAAAAATTTTGCAAGCGCATGCCGCTCTAGGGAAAACTTACACTCTGGCGACTGCGACTAACAAGTACATGTGAGTCAAAGCTTCGACGTTCCAGGCTCGCATGCGCAACTGACCAGAAGCCGCTGGATTCGTGCCTGCGTCTGCATCCGCATCCTCCGCCTCGTCCTCTGCATCCTCCCGTGCTTTGGGGATCGGCGACGCCGCACTCTGCGGCCCGGAGCTGGGCGCTTTGGGGATCTTCGCAGCCCACTCCTGGAAGCAAAGAGCTCTCTGGGGCGTGGCGGAGCGAAGACGAGCTAAGTAGCCGTCCTGTCTCCACTGCTTCAGCCAGTCTGCGTGGGCCTGTCAGGCCAGGTGCATTTATGTGCATTTGGGCTTCTCTGGAAGCGCAAGGGTTTTCCTGAAAAGCCGAGGTGTCGAAGAGGGCGCGCTGAAACCAGGGCATGCCGTCGTATTCGGCGATCTGTCCTGAAAGTGAAAGCCGAGTCGAAGTTGGAGATCCCGAACGAGGGCGAGAGGATGCGCCTTCGACCAAGTCCTTGCGATCGGCTAAGGTTCGCAGAGCGGAGGGCAGCAAAGGCTCCCGGTCCGGCTCCGAGGCCGAGGCCGAGGCCTCGGCGAAAGAAAAGGGGAGGCAGAGCTTTAACTCGCTCCTTTTGTGATCCGCCTGGGCCCCTCCCATCTCGAGCAGGGCAGCTGCCTGCAGAGTCCAGCAAAGCGCAGTCTGCTTCTGCCTCTACCAAGCTGAGTCGCGTGCCATGGAAAGCTCAGCTGTCACATTGCTTCGCCACACCTCCAGAGCTCCAGAACAAACCAATGGAAACTTATGGTGCTGAGGAATGTCGAATGGAAGTGATATGGCAAAGCTAGCAGCAGTGCATAGCAGTGCACTAGAATGACCTGTTAGTGTCTTGCAAGACAGGGCGCTTTACAGGTGTTAGAGCACTGGCTGGTCGTGGGAGGCCACTTCCGAAGCTGTGAGAAGTGGCTCAAAGCTGGCCGCTCCACTCGACAACAGATGAGCAATGTAGTCACTTCTCAATTGCCCTTTCTGGTCTGGGACATGGCTCATTCCATGCCTGCCTCAGTACTGCGAAGGCGTAGAAGGGCTTGCAGCAGCACCGCTGCAACCAGCACCTGGGTTGCAGAAGCCTGAAACTTGCGTGGGAGTACATTGCCTGAGGTGCGGGCCGCAATAGCACGATCAAGCGAAATCATTGCTCTTTGTCAGGCCATGCATGAGCACATCTTGCCGATTGTCCGTGAAGAAGCGCAGTGCTGCTTGTAGTGATATTGTAGAACTTATCGCTCTGTAGTGATAATGTCGAGTCGTGAAGCTCTAACTCTGGGGGCTTTGAGCTACAGTGCTGCATCCGCCCATTATCCTACCTTATATAATTTGCTGGGGGTTGCTAGGTTCTGCTTCTTCGAGACCTGGTGAAGTGGGCAAGCATCAGCACAGACCGTTATAGCCATGAAAAGGACTTCCCAGCTGCCCCTGTCGCTGCCATGATCCCATTGCAATGTCTGCATCATGCTCGGAAGCCGGTCGAAGAGGCACGACGGACAGGTCATTCAGCTTTAAAGTTCTGCTTGCTTGCGACTGCAGTTCCCAACCCCCATGGACGGTGTGCCCACCGGACCTGCACGTAGTCGGCATCAATGACTAGAGGAAGCGCATCTGTCTGCATAATACCCACCGCCTGCAACGCGAACTGGCTTTGATGTGTTCTTGCATCTGATTGGCTCTCGCCAGAGATATTGCACGGCATCGGACAGATTAACCTGACAGACTGTTCGCCGGGACAAGTGCAGTTTCCATGCAGGAAGCAGATTTACCCGCAGCGGCTTTCTCTGGGAATCTGCGACAAGTCTCGTGAGATGGCAACAGCCTCCACCCTGCACTTGCGTGAACACTCTCAACAATCAAATACAAGCCAACCCGGAACTCAACAAAGCTGTGGATCAGGGAAGAGCACATCGCCCGACGCCGAGCATCACTGCAGATTGCATGCGATGGCCTCCTCACTGGTGATGCCGAAGGTGTTACGGAGTCGCCTCTCGAAATCCCCCTCGAGACACAGGAGCCCCCAAGCCTCCGGCACCTGCCAGTGCCTCCATCTGTACTTGATGTCGTTCTCACCCACGGGTGTGTCCATGTACCTCGAGTTACCATCTGAACGGACTTCCCCACTGTCGTGGGGCAATAGAGGTGGCATGTCTTTACACTTCGCGCGAAAACTTCCCGACCCATGCCATGTGGCTGAACATGATTCAAATGGCACGGCGCTACTTAATAATCATTGGACGACTGCCCTCTGCGCACATACCACGTTCTGCAGCACCGGTGTACTGCTCCTGGAACGCCTCGCATCGCTCTGCAGACTGGACATCCAGATGACATTGCGGAGAAGAAATAGTGCGACAAAACGGGTTTCAGTGTGCTTGGTCAACAGATCCGGCAAGGCAATCTCACTTTGCAAACGTCATGTCAGCCAGTGGCTTCTAATCAGCATGAAAACACCTCCTCTCAGCGTGCCACCCCACAACCCCTGCCACCCCCCACCCTTGGTCCACACCCCCGCCCCGTGCTGAATTCCATTTATTTACTGGCTTTTCGTTGACCACAGGTGCAGTGAAGCAGGTCTCGAAGTGTTCACGAATACTGAATCAACGGGAGCTCCGGTGGCGACCCTTTTCAGCGTATTGGGCTGCAACTGCTGGTTTAGGTCTTCAGCAAGCATGACTGGAGCTAGAGTGCTGCCGCACAATAATCACAACATGACAGCACGTGCCTCCCAAACCGACTGTGCTAGGGCTTCCTCCTCGGGGCCCTGTCAACGAGATGCGAGGATTCAGGACAACGCATGCTTGAAAACACAAAGCTGGACTGCGAGCACCAGCGAAACGAAGATGCAGTGTCGCACTCTCAAAGCGGTGGCAGCTGTCCGAAATCCAAATAAAAGCAATGAAGCCATCGTGCATGTTCTGGCGATGTGTCGCGACTGCTTGATCAAGAGCCATCTGACGAGCTGCAGAAGCGTCAGGGCTGCAATAAGCTCGGGCTTTAGATGGATAGTACATGCTGTGAATAGATCCTTGTGTTCCAAAGGCATTATCATCACAGGCCTCTCATTCGGGAAAGGGAAACCAGACTAACCAGTGGTCTTTCTAAAGCCCGCATTGCGCAGCTCACCGCCTAGCACCGCCGTCATGGCGGTGGAGAGCCTGGCAAGGTGGAAATGTTGAAAGGGGCTTTCTTTGCGTGTCGCAGCGCTTACGGTACATCGGTCTGCCTGATTGAGCACTGTTTCTTCCGCAGCAGCCGGTTGCCACAAGTGAGTGCGGAAGTCTCAAAGGAAGCCTTGCTCGACTCTGCAGTGCCAGGCCTGCAGCTGTCGCGTGGCCCAATGTGCGGGGCCCTCCTCTCAGGAAAGGAGTTGGAGGTCTAGGCTGCTCTGATTGGCCAGCACACAAAACAACATCCTCGATCTGTGAAGCGAGATGGACGCCTTTTTGACAATGATAGTGGGTTGTTGCTGATATGTTTAATGCCTCTATGTACCTATTCGTTTACTTATTCATGTTGTCATTACTTATGACCGCAGATTGTCTCTCAAAAATGTGATGATTGTTGTTGTTGTTGCTGCTCGTTGTCGTCGTCGTTGTGGGTCGTGGCTGTGGTTGTGGTTGCTGTTGGTCTTGCCGGTGCAGTTGCCGTAGCCGTTGCCTTTGCCGTTGTCGTTGTTGTCGTTGTTGTCGTTGTTGTCGTTGTTGTTGCTGCTGCTGCTGCTGCTGTTGCTGCTGTTGCTGCTGTTGCTGCTGTTGCTGCTGTTGCTAGGGATTCTCTTTTTACAGGTGCTGTCGACAATATTCATGGTATCCTTAGTGTTCCTCTTACTGATTATTGTTCTTGTTGTTGCCATTGCCATTGCCATTATGTTGCTGTTGCTATCGCTGTTATTGTTACTGCTACTTCCGTGAACATTCTTGTTCGGGTGTGCTTTACACCTACATCAAAGACAAGTGCATGCTCTTTTCATCGTCTTGATGCCGCCCCACTCGATTGTTTGCTCCAATGTGCACGCAATGCATCAGGAAGCCCTGACAATCCACCTGAAGTGAGGCGACATCTTCTTGCTGCTGTCTGCCCTTTCTATGGCAGTGTCCTGCTGAGCAAACTGCTCGTAGTTGATGGGCCAGCGAAGAGCGGGAAACTGATCTTTCAGCTCGGACTCCAGGCCTCCAGCTCGTAGCAGTCACGCAGCTAACTCCGAGCTTGACTCTGGGAGTCCCCGGCGCTCTGAGCTGAGTGGCAACACAGTGGCCAGGCCGGCTGACAGCTCGAACCTGACACGAACAAGCCGAATCATAAAGCCAGCTCTGAAATCCGTCTGGAGGAGTCTCTGCACGCCAATGAGAGAAGCCTTGACAGGGCCTAGACTTGCCGCAATCTAGTTGTGTCTGTGAGTTGAGGATAGGCTATACTCCCGCAGCGGACTCCCGCAGTACCTGCGCCTGCCGTACCATACGGAGCGGATGTAAGCGAACTTGCGGAAAATGCTGAGACTCGAGCAGGCTTAGCTTCCCAGCCCCGGCAACATCCACGAGGCTGAACCAATCGAAGGGAGCCTTTCCGACACCGAACCGAAGTCTATTTTCTCGCTTCTGTCAGAAGTGGTCTGGCAACAAGGCCTCACGCAGGCTCGGCATCGGGGTGACGGAAGCCGTACCGCCATTCCGGCACAGCGGACCTCGAAATCGTGCCGCAGAAGATCAACAAACCCAGATTCGAAGAACAAGTACTCAATGAAAGATGTGACAGTTCTTCTTAGGAGCCCCCTGATTGCCCTTCGACGCAGCGCGAGACTTTCTTGCGTCGGTGTGAATGAATGAATTGCTGCCAGCATTCCCAAAGCGAATATGACATGGATACCTATAGACTTATACATTGACAGCGACAACCGGAAAGGATCAAAACCTTTATCAGTACGGAATTAGTTAGCTCAGCGAAACTACTTACATGCAGTGCTTTTGCTCAACTTGGACATTGCAGCCAATATCAAGTTAAATATAGGTTGCAACTTTCTCCTGAATTGCACGAGACAGGAAGACCACATGCAGAGCAGCGGCTTCACTTAAAGCTGCCCATGTTGCCGGTGGGCATCAGTCTGGGGCGTTTTCGGAGGGCAACCGAGAATGAAGGCAACCACCAGAGCAATTGTGTACAGTGTACGGAAAGTGGGAAGGAGCATCTCGCTGTAGGTGTCCGATCTCTCTAGGGCTTGCCAGCAAGCTTCCAGATTATCCAGTTTGTGGTCTGCTGTTGCATAATGGAATACCGCGGGACGCGACTGCACCATTCAAGTGGACATGCCATAATACCAAACTTCGCCCGCCGTTGGTGGATCGACGTGACTGCCACACCATTGCAGGTCCCGAAGCTGGGTTGCCTGTGACGACGGTGAGTCCTGCTGCCACTGCTGAGCTTTCCTGCATGTCATTTGCTGTCATTTCCCACATTTCCCGTTCAAACGGCATAGCCACGACACGAGCATGCCTTCAAACTGCATCATTTCACCCCGCGAACTTCTCTTCCCAAAACGTGTCGATGCGGAATTCGGCCCTTCCAATGGTTCGTTTCTGTTGCACCAGAAGATTCGCAGACTAGCACCGACAATTCAAGCGGTTGCAAGCAAGGGAGGGAGGGAGAGAGAGAGAGAGAGAGAGTGTGTGTGTGTGAGAGAGAGTGAGAGTGTGAGAGAGCACGCCTGAGAAAAGCATGCAGCAGAAGCTCACTATGTCACAGATACAGCAACAAGATCGTCAAGATTGGGACATGCGGCATTGTAAAGGTACGGCCCAATGGAGCTGAGGTCGCAGAGCAAATCGACTCCTGCGAAGAAACTCTGCATGAGACCGCCACGATTAGAGGCGCACCTCTGATGTCACTCTTGTCTGCTTATTGGTTTCAAACGTCCTCAGCGCTGCAGCTCCGAATCTGTCCAAGGGCAGGTTCTGCTCAGGCATGTCCTAATACCACGAGCGAGGGTTTCCTCCGCTTCTTTTGCTCAGAGCTCGCCCGCCTCCGGCCGCTGCGGCGGGCCTCCGCCTAGCCGCACAACTACGCGTACCAGGGAACTGGCATGTATGTATGTATTTATGTATGTATGTATGTATGTATGTGTGTATGTGTGTATGTGTGTATGTGTATGTGTATGTGTATGTATATATGTGTGTATGTGTGTATGTGTATGTGTATGTGTATCTATATCCATACCTATATCTATATGTACATGTATATGTATATGTTTCTGTATATGTATATGAATATGAATATGTATATGTATGTATATGCGTATGTGTATGTGTATGTATATATGTATATGTATATGTAGGTGTATGTGTATATGTACACTATATTACATCATATTATATTATATTTTGATATTGTATTATACTATACTATATCATACTATATTATACTGGATTATGCTAGATTGTACTAGATTGTACTAGATTATACTACATATACTAGATATTACTAGATTATACTACATTATACTAGATTATACTATATTATATGAAATTATATTATGGTATACTATATTATATTCTGTTATGTTATATTATGTTATATTATGTTATATTATTGTATATTATATTGTATCAAATTATATTATATTATAACTTTTATATTATATTATATTATACTATATTATAGTATAGTATAGTATATTATCTATATGTATATGTATATGTATATGTATATGTATATGTATATGTATATGTATATGTGTATGTATATATATATATATATATGGGCCCTGTTCCACAGAAAGGGGGGCCAGGGAGAGGGGGACTAAACTTCGAAGCTCCAAAGCCCCAGCCGTTCCACATAAAGGGAGGGGGGCATGATCACATGCACTACGGCCTGACCAGCCAAACATTCCACACGCAAGCTCAAGGCCCAAGCCGTTCCACAGGCGGGATGGGGGGATGACCAAATGACGGGATACCATTTGGGGGGAGGGGGGTGAGGGGGCGGAGGGGGGGCGCAACCATAAAAATGTGGCATATGCGGTATTCACGCACATGCAGTGTCTCGATCGCTCTTGCGGACCAGCAACAAAGCTTGCACTTGAAATCGCTGGAGGTGTTCCTTGTGCCAGAACTGATGAGCCATCTGGACATCTGAAACTCCGCTGCGCAGGATTCATGCTGCTCAGCGTCTCCAGCGAGCAGCGGCCACAAGTCCAGCAGCTGAACTCTCCTCCACTGTACACGATGAACCTCGGCCGAGGAGTCGCAGGCGTGCTCCAATGACTAACGTGCAGGGTCACATTACACATACCTCGCGAACTTCTCAACTGACTGCAGTGTTCCAAAATCTCGTCCAGCAAGCTCAACAGAACGCAAGAGCCAGGCTTTGATCGCAAATCCTTGATGTTGCCTCAGAAGCGACCCGTATAAATCAGCAGAGTCGAAGAGCGTACACTCCCCAAAGCTCCGGGCGGCTGCTGACCGTCACATCCTCCAGTCCTTCCTGCAGAAACTCCTGGAGAAGGTGAGCTGATCAGGTCTGCACTTGTGTCTCAGACACTGATGGAACATTCCTACGGACATCATTCCAGACCTCGTGGGTCATCCGCTTCAGTGTGCGCCAGGCTCCCTTCAGAAGGCAGCCCAGCAGGACGCCTGTTCTGGAGTATCCACGGGAGTCCTCCCTCCTCCCCCTGTTACAAGCTGTGGCTGCAGATAGTTCAACTCACCTCGACATCTGTCTTGGGTGCACAGAACGTCTGGCAAAGGAGGGTCAAAGACTGTCTGACGGCCTTATTGGACCTGAACAACCATCCTTCTCACTACATTTTGACGTTTTGGAGCATGCGAACTCTAGGACTCTAGGAGTTCTGTTCCTCCCCGGTATTTCTCCTCTCACAGACCAGCACACTGCGAAAACAGGAGTCCCGGGGAGCATGGCTACCACTCGTGCGAAGATTCCGCACACAGGCAAAGCCGAAGCACAACTGCACGAAGAACTTCAATTGTTTGGCCTCGCCGGATGACCAACGCCTCGCCTTCCTTGTCAGTTCTTTGCATGCTGAGACTTGTCTTATCTCCCCTGGAGTGCATCGACGCACGATCACCGCAAGCGGGAAATGTCTAAAAGCAGCCACGACAGAGCCTTGAAGCGAAACTCCATGCCGGCCTGGCTTCGCGCCACGCATCGTGCAGGACTGTTTGGCTGGACATGTGACCCTACAAGTTCGGTAGATACATACCTGCGACCTTCAAGAGCTGCTAAAAGTAAAGACTTCGCATGAAGGGTACAACATGGTGGAACCATGCAGACAGAGCAACTTGGTCTGCCGCAGTCCTCCAAGTGTCTCAATCGCTGCAACCTCAGCATGCAAGGCCGCCGTATGCAGAGTTGCCATGCCAGTTCGGTCAGACAGTCGAGTGCGGCCTCGAAGACTCTTGAAAACTGATCTTGGTCAAGCGACTGCGTGAGAACGAGGAAAAATTCTCCGTCGCACAGTCGCTGGCCTGTTTCGGACCAAACCTGGTCACGGAACGAGCATTGCCGAGCAGCAAGAGCAGCGCAGGAATCACTGAGCCGAGCTGCCAAGTCTCCTACCCTCCGTCCTGCGGCATCCATCACTGAAGAAAGGCCATCCTTGGCAGGTTCTGCAATTCTCAGCGTGCAAGCCTGCACATGCTAGTCACTGATAGTGGAGGACTTATCGCGAAAATGAAACGATCGCCCTGGTTCTGCTGAGATGACTTTGGCCCAACTGAGAGCTGCTCGCAAGCTTCAGCATGTGATCATTGCAGGCGGGCTGCGAGCATCCCTATCTGCATGTCCTGCATCAAGAAAATCCCTGTGGCGCCCTCATCCCCCACCCCAGAACATGACCCATCCCCTGACCTCCTGCAGCGGCCGGAGGCCAAGTGTCGTCTGCTCCACCAACATCCTCGCTGCATGGCAGAAGGCCACAAGTTGCCAAAGACTCGACTCCTTGGTACCTGTTGGTGGAGGAGGCAGGGGAACTCGGGACAGCAGCAATCCCGATGCCAATGCCGGCGAAAGTCCGCTTGGCACAGGCACGGCAGAAATAGTGGCGGCACAGACGCTTCAGGTTCACCAGAAAAACACCTTTGCTGATCTGCGAAGATACCATGGCACGGGCACCGAACTGGCGGTGCCATCCAGCAAACTCTAGAAAAAGCTTGCAGTCAGCAAGTATCAACAGACGCTGCAAAGCCTATTCGCGCGCTCCCGTCGGGGACGAGTTGCTGGGCTCCGCGTTCCAGACTGGCTCGAGGCAGATCTGAGCGGCGTTAAAAGAACCATTGTCCTTTTAGCGATTTTAGCGTTTCCATACAAGCGTGGCGGCAGCGTACCCCGCAGCTGCCGAGCTTTGCGGAGTCTTCGCTCAAGGCCACCTTGATTCCAAGCGCACTCTATATGCAGTCATGGCCCCTTGGCGAGTGTCTGCGAGCCTCGGCCTCACCGGGGTTTTGAAGCCAGGCTGGCACCTCGGGCTCCGAGAAGCCGAGCCCATGGCCTTCCTATCAATTCGTTAGGGCTGTTAAGGCCCTGGCGGCTCGCTCTTCTGGCAATGCGGGCTCGACAGAAGGGGTCGCCTTCGGACGATGGCACGCGCCAAGCACGAGCCGGCCATGTTAGAGAAGACCCGACCCAAAACAGAGACCGAAGGCTCGACATCGGCGATTGCGGCCTGCATCCGTGCCTTCAACTTGGTGCGGGGCCAGATGTACCTGTGAAGCCAATGCGGGCAACCCTTGCATTTCAGGGAAGAGGTGAGTACCTGGACTGCTGCAAAGATGCAGCTTCAGCATCGGATGGATCGGACCATGCCACGGGCTGCGCCAGGACTGCGTCGGTGGGAGAGGACCTTCCTGAAGAAGGGTGCAAACGTTCTGACGACTGAGCGCGCAGGGCGCATTCTAGAGGAAGGCCAATGGCAATGCAAACGCTGCGCCTCCACCTCTGCGTTGTATGCCCAAACTTCCGCAGCGCCTACAGCTGGGCCTAGCCACCAGCCACGCCTCCAGGGTTACAGGATGAGCCTTCAGGCTGCTATGGAAGAGATCAGGTAACAAGGCTCTAGCCAGTTCTCGCCGTCTCGCTCGTCCCAGAAGTAAATGAAAGGTCCTCTTCACGAATCGTAAACAACTCCACATCGCCGAGTCTTGGGAGAGAAGTTGAGAAGATTTGCTTGGAAAACGCCGAAGGTTGGGAGAGCGTAAATGACAGGAAGTGAAGAAAAGCCGCACGCATAACTTGCCGAGGCAGGCCTGTGCCGCTTACATGCTGAAACACCGGGCGACCATGGTGCTCCTGAGCACTTGATGCCGCTGTCATCGATTCAAGATTTGCGCGAAAGCAATCTCTCACATGCATGAACTTCATGTCAGGATTTGCTGACCTACGACTTTGCAACTGCAGCATAGTCATATGGACAGCTCTCTAAATTAGGGTCCCGTTCAGGGTCCATTTTTTTAATACCGGTGCCGTACTATTCTTGGGACCTATAAAGGGACCCTAATTCAGAGAACTAAATATCCATATACCTCACCCAAGATGCAACTCAATTTCATCTTCAACAGATATTGATGCAGCAAGGTGCTCCGCACAGGACATAGCTCCCATTCGCCTCCACCAACAGCTCCACAGAAACGCAAAGAAACTAGCGCAAAGTCTCCAAGAAACGATTTTGAAGACCAAGCACTCCAGAGTTTGAACACCGAAGCTGCCTTCGTAGCATCCGGACCACGAGGTCTCTGGGGGAAGCCGTACAGGACCAAGTCACCTCCGGAGGCTAGTGCTTCACGACACGCACCGGAGGCTCGGGAGAGCGCTTTGAGGCACCTCGGCCACTGGCCAGCAAGGCATAGAACGGAGCCCAGCAGCAGTCTGCCAGGTCCAGGTGGGACAGTCCAACGGCTGGCCGAATTGCTGTCCCTGGACACTCCCTGCCTGTCTGCTCGGAGCAGCCATTGCCCATGGCGCTGGGATCAGGTACAGGGTGCACTGCGGGGGGGTTGATAAGGCTTCAGTTTGTCAATTGCCACAGCTACGACTTAGTCTGTGAGTGTGTGCGTGTGTGTGTGTGTGTTGTGTGTGTGTGTGTGTGTTCTTGTTGGCTTCTGTGCCTGTCTGTACCACTTTGGGTAGACGTAGGCCTGGAGCAGGCAGACATCATCAGAGCATGTGTGCTGAAAACATGAGCCCCGGGCTTGTGTAGCTTCTGAAAGACATGACAAACCTCAAAAATCACACAACCCTTCCATGAAGCTCCCCAATTGATTTTTGGATCACATTTGAGACTGGAAGCTTCCGCCGGCTTCCGCGGCCTTTTCTGCCAACGTTTTCCGTAGTCTGTCACAATGTACCTTCAGCAAATTATGTTTTTTTTTTCGGGTCACCTGGCTCCTCCAAAACTGACTCAGACTGCCTTCAATGGACACTATCTTCCGGCGGACCATCGGTGCTTTGGGCATGAGTGTTTCGACCGCTGACTTCTTGATCAAAGTTTAAATCGTCACGGATAGTGGTCCAGATGTGCGAGAAGGCATTTTCCGGAGCTTCGACAGACCTTCTGTCGTGAATCCCTTCCACGTACATGCTTCCACTATACCGCCCCATTGCACACATACCATTATTTCGCATCACGGAAGCTTCGTTTGGTACCTTCGCTGCGGCTCAGATGAACCATCTGCTGACCGAGATTGCCACTGCAAAGCGACAAAAACTGCATGGTGATTGTCAAAGCTTGTGCCTGAATGTCAATCTCACCGGTGGGCTTCCACGAGCCTGAAAACCAACTCAAGAATGCGAAGTCCCGGAAAACCGGCCTCTGACGTGTCTCCCACGGATACTGCGCACGGCTTCGAGATGGTTAGAGACAGAAAAACCGTGAGAGCCACAGAGTCAGAGAATCAGATGCGGGACTGGGACAGAGCGAGGAAGAGAGGGGAATGAGATAGCGCGGGACAGGCAGAACTAGAGCGGCGAGAGTGAGTTGGAGAGAGAGAGAGAGAGAGAGAGAGAGAGAGAGAAAGAGAAAGAGAAAGGGAAAGGGAAAGGGAAAGAGAAAGAGAGAGAGAGAGAGAGAGAGAGAGAGTGTTTGTATGTGTGGGTCTGAATATGCAAAATATGCATGTATGAGTATATGCATGCATGCATGAATGTATGTATGCATGTGCGTAGGTATGTAGGCAGTTCGTATTGTGTGTATTGTATGTATGTATGCATGCATGCATGCGTCGGTGGGTCGGTCTCTGTCGCTCTATCTCTCCCTCTCTCTCCCTCTTCCGGGCATAGGGGACGGTGTGAAACTAGATTTGGGCTCCCCTCCTCTGCAAAGAAATGCAGTGACTTAACTTAAGCTGAGTAGAGGCAGCTGGAGGTCCGCTACCATGCGACGGTACCTGAAGTTGCCTACGAGGTGACCTCCCCCTAATCAGAGGAAAAGACCAGTAACTTCCGGTGGGAGGTCCCCCTCGATTGGTGAGAGGGAAAGAAGACCCCACACCCCGCCTGACTCCCATCCGAACGCACCCCAAAGCCTGAAGCGCTCGCTCACTGCCTGCAAGCTACCTGCCTGCCTGACCCAAACTTGTTGTTTCCAAGATCGCGCCCGTCTGCTCCACACTTAGCTTGACACATTCGCTACAAAGGCAGGGACCATCTGGCTGTAGGCAGTTGCCGACGCATTTACCCTGACGGACAGGATTTCCGTGGCCCGAGAAATGCCCATTCATGTCTTGTCTGGTACCGTGGCCAAATATGCGTTATCAGATCACTCGTCTGCGCTTACCTCGACTTCTGTTACAAACCAGCCTCAGCATGTAGCCGCACGCGATCGCTCCGCCTGAAAGGCGCAGTCTGCGGGGACACATTGTTGGAGAACTCTTCGACTCTTTGCCGGACTCCACCCCACACGACAGCAGACAATCCTACATACCTGCCTCACCTGACATCTCTCTGTCAACGGCCTGCTACTCGGCTGTGGCAGCGTGAATGCACCTGGGCATGGGCAAGGGCCGGTGTGCACCCCGCACCAGTGTGAACCGTCATCAACAAGACAACTTAAAGGTACGGCCGCATACGAGCGCAGATACGGGCCAGACTTGAACGTCTTCGACTTCTCACATCTTCTTCGATGGGTACGAATGGTCCAGGTAGGCCATGAAATGAGGCAAAACCATGAGTTAGCCATACCGTTCGCAGCATTAGAAGCCGCCTTTTTTTTTTTGGAAATCGAGATTCCACGCGTTCAGTTGCCGGTGGAAAGGCAGATTTGCGGCACATGGTTTGAACATTTGAGTCGGCGACCGGCGATGACGAGGCTGCGAGGGGTTCCACCGGTGTGTGCCGTACCGAAGCATAGCAGCCGGCCGTGCCGAGCCAGGAACTGCAGATCTGTGGCAAGTCAGAAGCTCATGCGCAATTGCCCTTAGCAAAACTCCGGTCTGGTCATGTTGCTTCCACGAAATTGTGCAAGCCTGCTGCCAAGTCGCAAAACTTCGTCACGCAAGCAAGGACTGCAGCCACCACCAGAGGCAGAACCGCGGCACGGTTGACCTCTCAGTCGAGCTCGTGACAATGGAATGTTTCGGAGTGCTCCTTATGCGATCTCAGGACGGGATAACGTTTGAGTGCTGCGGACACTTTGTGGACTAAGGTGGCAGTCTAAACAAAGACAGCTGGTTGAGGGCCCGATCCGCCCTCAGGTCGCAAGACTGTCCGGAAAGAGCAATGGACAGCAGTAATCACAAGCACAGAGATACACTTTCTTTTAATTTATGCCGCGTCTGCCGCGTCGAAGAAGCCATGAGTATGTGAGTTGGGCGGACAGGAACCGTTGCAATTTAGGTGACCCACGCAGTCAGTTTCTCGGCTCGCAGTAAAGTTGAAGGGCCGAAACCAAAACACGAGGAGGCTGCTGGTGCACAGTCAGAGATTCGAAGCCTGGCCTGCCGTCTGGCCATCCTCGCCACCTGCACCGTCGATGGCCAGTGAGACGTTACGTGCGTGCAAAGATGGTTGTCACGCAGAGCGGTTGTGGTAAAGGTACCAGACTCCAGACTCAAACCGACACACTGGCAGGTGGATAGCCAGAGCAAGTCGGCGTGCCTACTTGCACGTACCTACACATGCGTATTCACACACCTGTGTAAGTGTAGATGAAGATATATGCATTTATTTACAACAAGACATATCTATGCATGCAACTGCAGATACATATACAGAATATACAAAAACATAAACGCAAACACATACTATACATACATGCACATACATACATGCATGCTTTCATACCTGTTTATACTATGATATACACACAAACATGTGTGTGTGTGTGTGCGTGCGTACATGCTGTATGCATGAATGCCTCGTGCAGGTTGTCGTGTATTTCCTAACCCATACACATGCCTTGCGCGTGGGATATGTGCATGTGCCCTTAGATGTATGTGCGTATACATACACATAATATGTATGTATGTATGTATGTATGTATGTATGTATGTATGTATGTATGTGGGTATGTGTGTATGTATGTACGTATGTATGTATGTATGTATGTATGTGCGTACGTATGTATGTATATGTGTAGGTATGTATGTATGCATGCATGCATGTATGTATGCGTGTATGTAAGCATATGTACATACGTATGATGTATGTATGTAGATTCTTATCGGCATGTGTAAACCTGTATATGTATATATGTGTATACGCATAAGTGCGTACGAAGACTCAGATATGCATGTGCATGTTCGTATGTGTATTGTACACATATATATATATACATGTATATGCACACATGTATCTACAATTGTGTGCAAAGGTACATTTGTCGAAACAAATGTAAATCTGATACATACACATATATATATATATGCATATATATATATATTATTTATTTATTTATGGGGTATCATATATGTGTACGCATAATATAGTCATGTTGATAATAACCATAAAAATCAAAATAATGAGAATAACAGTTTTCATCCCGATAATATATGTGAGTGTATAGGCATATGCATGTATGCATATGTACATGTGTGCATATACATAAACATCATACAAAAAGAAACTGATACAACTACACAATTATGTAATCAGTGATATTGACTTAAACGATAAGACTGTATACCTATACACATGTTGAATGCACACACCGCTGCAATCTCACATGCTCACATGAAAGGTCGGAGTTTGCAAGACCAACAGACTGAATATCCAGCTCGTGACGAGTGCGGCCTTTGTAAATCCAAGGCAGCTCGGTAGGTGCGGCGGCTCGGCTCCTCGGCCCTGGATCTTGAGCCGCACTGGCGACACGAAAAGCTGCTTCGAGCAGCCCCTGCACTTCAAGCGCCCGTTTTTTGCGCGGCCACTGCTCCGGGAGGTCACTCGCGAGTGCAAGGCCCGGGCAAGGACAAAGCCTGCACTTGCCTGTGCAAGTTGCCGGCTTTAACATAACGATGGGTGAGACTTACTGGCTGTGCGCAGTCACCGCAGATTTGGGGGGCCATGTGCGGCATCATGGATGGTGACTGGTCAGCACGGCCAGGATTAAACCGGACCAAAAGAATCAAGACTCCCCGCGCCGAGAGCCGTGGCACGACACCATCACTGCACTCCGGGTGGCTGGCGAGGAACACGCTTCACCTTGCAGAAAAAGCTTCTGGCAAAAAGGACTGCAATCTCCAGTCTCGGATTGTATTCAAGGTCGGTACAATTGCCGGCGGTGGCGGCGGCGGCGGTTGAGTAAGATTCCAAACGCAGGCAGTGCAGTCCTGAGTCATTCAGGGTGACAAACCGGGCAAGCCTGACCTTGAATGTTAATGAGGTCTGGAGTTGCCCTCGTTCCTCGGGAGTTCACGCAAGTTTTTGGCGTGACTTTAGCAACGAAAGGCGTGAATCAGCAACTAAGGCCTCTTTGATTTGCTGTACATGTTCATACTTCTCTCGGAACCCCGAGAGCCCCATCAGCGCACCACAGGGCAACGATGCAGCACGGATACAAGTACATAAGAAAGGCATGGCTCCCCAATAACGGGAGCACGAAAGCAAGAAATCGGCTGCCACCTCCGCGGATGCAGCTGAGTGATCTGCCCAAGAAGTTGAAGCAATGACATTTTCCTGCGCATCGCATGCAATGTTCTCTGGACACTGCAAGTGACGTTCGACACTGAGAAGCTTCCTCGAACAGACTCAAGTCAACACCCAGAGTGAACTCTGTGTGTTGGTCGAAGTGTTGGATCCTCGGCTCACAGCCCAAGCGCTGGCGACCGCATCACGTGACTGTCTGTGGCTGCTGCATTTGACCCATGGTCATGTCGAAGACATTCACAGCCGTGTCGTAAGAGCAGGAGACCTGAAGAAAGTTCCATGAAGAGCCTGGCCTGGGCCCCTGGAGTAACTAACTTGTCATACTTTCACTCTCGTAACTTTCAGCCGCCCACGATTTGGGTCTCGTTGTACGGATGACACTTGACCTCGGACCATCTGTACTTGAGGAAGCCAGCCGTCGAGTTGAATTGCAGTGCACCCATTGTAGACTTCCCAGCTCGGGGTGCAGCTCGCTTGACCGCCAGCTGATGCCCGTGCAGAATCTCGCACAACAGCACAACAGAGCTCACGGCACATGGCTATCCATGTCCAAGAAAGCCAAACTGGCAGCTCTGGGGCACACTATATACATAACAATGTTTGTCCCACCAAGCGCTGGAGACTGAGCACACAGAAGCATAAATATCGAGCTAGGCGTTGCCTGCAAAGGCTGGCCAAAGTTGCGCAAGTCAAACGTGCGGATGGTCTTGTCAACACCTTATGAGCGCGGAATGAAATCAGTAGCAGACATCTGTGGGGGGGGGGGGGGTAATAGCTCGCACACACCCCTGAGCCGGCTGCTACCTGTGACAACCATAAACTCATTGTACTTGTTCCTTGGCATTTGCCAGCTCTGGATCCGTAGAATGACATGCACGTGGGGAGTGTGCAACCTTACAAGCATGCTATGGCGAACTCGCCCGCCCATCCGCTCAAACATCACAGACAGAGGTATGGACCAGTCAACTGTCAGGATCTCATGTTGGTGAGCCTGCAAGATGGTCTTGCATGTTGCAAGATTATTCGCTATGCGCAGCAGCAGCAGCATCCCATGCAATGCGAAAGCACGTCTACCGCCAATGCCTGAATGCTCTGTACGGGCATCTCGCCCGCATTGAGATCCTGTTCTGAGAAGTTGTTACGGCAGGTCCTGACAGGATTCGACACTTCCCGCACCTGGATGTGGAGCATTGCATCCCCACCAACGCTCGCAAGGCACGCTGGCCTAGTCGACAATCAAAGTGGCAAAGATCAGGCACGGTCAGCTTGAACGTTGCAGCTACGTCAGGTTTCAGCGCTTTTGCGGCTTGTGCTGCCTGGCCGGGGACCAGATTGCAGCGTAGGCCAGGTTCTGATGCGCGCGGAAAGTGCTGACGGAGACCTCCCAATGCCGACGGCTGTTCGGTGCTTGGGGACCCATGACGATAACAACTCAGCTCCTGACCCCGCGCATTGCATCCCACACTTTGACAGAGTGGTCCCAGGCTGCCGAAGAAATCTCAGCGATTGCAGCGTCATCATGTTTTGTGCAGTACCACGGGTTACAAGCACGTGGTCCCGGTTCTTTTTGCTCCTGTTTCGATTTACATGTGTCGGTCTGCTTAGCTATCGGTCTTAGGACCTGGCAGTAGTCGTTCCTCATGGCTTGGATGACAGGGCCAAGTTCAAGCTCGACTGGGGACGCCCGCGAGATGCTTCTCGTTGAGGTTCCAGTCAACACCATAGACCTCGGCCAATGGAGCCAGGACTGAGCACCGTAACAGCCCAGACCTACGGACCTGCTCTCTGACACGCCCTCCAGCCCCCTCCCATCCGAAACCCAGTGCGGCCTCAGCTGTGTGCTCTTCCAGCGACATGATGGGACCCTGAGGGTTGGTCCAATCCTCGGCACAAGTGCTGCTGCGAATAGACTTCCGGCTCGCAGATTTGCTGAATCCAAGGGCTGTGCGAACAGCTTCAGGGTTCCATCTGCCTGCCCCGTAAGTAGGACGTGCTCGTTGGCCTGCACAATTTCGACAGACCGCCACAGTGCCACGGATTTTACTTTGCTTTATATCCGCCCAGGACGCAGCTGATCTCAATGACCAACGACTCCATGAGCAGTAAAGCACGATCAGTTGCCAGCCGGATCTGCATAGGTGTGCAGCTCAAGTCCAAACCTGGCCTCGCTCCAGGCAACGTCGTACACCGCCTGATTCGTCATCCACTCGCAGACCTCGGCAGCCGAGTCCATCAGCACTCTTCATCCTCCAGAAGCACTGCAGCAGACGTGCAGAACCTTTGCTGAGGCCATCGCCGGCTGTCCACCTGAGTTCAAAGAGCGAAAGGCGTCGCATCATTTCTACTCCTCGGAGCTATTCGGCTTCTTAGCTGCAACATCTGGAGTAAACCAACCCGAACACCTGAGTCAAGAACATCTGCAGCGGAAGCAAATCAGGCGCCGGAAAGAAACGGATGGAAGGGCTCCATCGCTGGTTTCTGGAGAGTTTAAGTATCGTGGTGCCGCGATGGTGAAGCACGTTAGAAGATGTCGGTTGCAAGCGCACATAACATGGAGAAGAACCCAGGAGTGTGCAAGAGGCCTAAGGACAAGGCCGGGTGCAGCGATGTCCAGCACGTGGAGCTTGCCATTGCCAACAATTCCGAAGTACCTTGACATGACGTGTCTCCAGCACGAAGAGTCGGGACTGCTCCGTGAAGAAACAGTGCGAAATGAAAGCAAAGCTCAATGAAACCACCCTTGCAGGTAACCCAGCTGAGGACTGGGCTGGCCAGTCCCTATTGCCAGCAGGTTTCCACGGAAGGGTGAAAACCTGGGGGTGAGGGAGCGACACCGCAATCCCCCAATGTCCCCTATAGCACACTTTTATCGCTGCAGTCCTTTCCTGGGCTGACACCCTGTTAGCCTGGTTGACACCGCGATTCTGTCTCAAACTCTGTTTGTCTCAAAGGTGTTGACATCAGACAGTTCCTTGAACCCGCACACTTGCTATCAACTTTGATCAGCCTTCTGCAGCATGACTTGGGCCAACACTCGCAGCTGTAGCCGCAAAAGGGAACGCTGAACCAACTCATCCTGGCAGCGCGAGCAGAAACAGCGGGGAAAGGCTGAATAGCTTTGGGATTCCTGCACCTGCATCGGACCCGCAAGTCCGATCTGTAAAAGATGATCCACTTTCTTGTGACCAAACGCGCAGACTAGATTCAGATACATGTTGTCGACCCTACGCGATGCTTCGTTCTTGTGGGCATTGCTGCCTAACAACCTCACAACCATGCCCACCGACAGAGACTGTAGAGATTGTAGTCAGGCTTCAGCTCTATGTGTTTGTGCATGTGTATGTATATGTATGTGTATATATATATATATAATTATATATACACATAAATATGCACATCGACGTTCCCTGGTAGTGTTGTTGCCGCAGCTTCGCTGCATAACCTTTGTGTGTCTTCGCGCTTCCCGTGAGCGCTGCATGTTTGTGTGGGCATGTCGGACTGGATCGTGAATACTTCACCGCGTCCGAAACTCACGTGTGCGCCAGCATGCAATTCGAAATGGCATCCCCTGTCGCCGCCCTTCGGCCAAGCAGAAAGCCAAGTACAAGACCCCAGTACACTGCGCACAGCTTTTCTTGCTCCAAGCATTTCGGATGTAAGTCACTGACTCACAGCAAGTGCCCGAGAGCCGCATTTGCCCACAGCCAGGGAACTCTGCCCACTGCTGGCCCGCGGTTCGAGACACGTTGCCCGATGATGTACAGTAAGGGCTCGCACCAATGAACCCCAAGCAGTCAGAGAAAAAAGAGGACGACTAGTGCTGGGTTTCCCTATGCATTAGACTTGCGGATTGAGGATATTGAGTCTCCAACTGTTGGGATTTCCTGCAAGGCTTTGGAGCCACCACGGCTCTGGTCGATGCAGGTATTCGTTCCAGACTGGGTGCTGGCAAAATTGGTGCCCGGCTGCCTTCGGCAGCGAGGTTACAATGGTTACAAGACTCCCCAGGAAGCCAAAGAAACCGCCACGAAGGCGACGGCGCGGATCCAGCCAGAGGCTGAGCTGGAGGTGTCCATGCTGAAAGCAGAGACGTCCACTCCCATGCTGGCGAGGACATCTCTGGCGGAAGAGGAGGTCAAGTCCCCCCGAGGCTCGCATGCCGGAGGAGTCAAGACGGGAGCTGTGGATTGGACGGCTGAGGCGAGAAGCTGGGTGGGGTTCTGCACAAGCTGAAAGGAGTCGGCAGATTGCGATGGGTCACTGCACAGCGAAATGCGGTTCTCCCCTAAGGCACGCAAAAAGATCGAACGCCTTGCGTTTTGAGCAGGATAATGCAAGAAGTAAGCCAAGCACATCTCGTCTTGAGTGAAGTCGCCAAAAGCCGTTGGCTCCGTTCTGCTGGAGGTGTCATAGCTGCATGTCAGTGTCAGCTCATCGCCTTTCTTCAGCGTTTTGATCGAGGAGCCCTCCAGCGACTGATGGTTAAAGTCGTAGACCTTCTCCCTGCGCATCTCGCCAATGTACTCCCCATTGCGACTGACATGGATTGCGAGCTTCTTACCAACAAGGTGCGCATGGTGCATCACACCAAGGACGGTGATCTCATCTGCATTCCACTGGTTGGTGCACTGCGTTGGGACCACCGCGCTGGGGATGGAGACCTCAGCTTGCCCAGGCGGCAGTGGGTCGCGCTGCATCGGGCTCGCGCCACCCACTACACCGAAGGTCTCTGCATCGTGGGTCCGCAAGCTGGGAGCCAGGGCGACATGCACCCCGCTGCTGTCACTCACATTCGGGACCAGGCTTGGATTATAGTAATGGACTTGCAGAGCATACCAACGAGCTCCATTCCCAATGGGCACACCTACGTTGTCGGGCAGCACCAAATCTTCTCCCCCAACTGCCCACGGCCACTTGCTGGTCTGGCACCCTCGCACCATGCCTTCACATGTGCAGAAGTCAGCTCTCGAACGGAATCCCTCACTTCATCATTCCAACGCGTATGCATGAAAATGCACAGCCTTCTTGAAAAGTGCGTTCCTATTCAATTCCCTGAAGCTCTGAGGATCCAACGCTCACAGTTTGGGATGACATGGTTGTGCGTGAAGTTGTTGTCCACGGCAACTTGGTCTGCGCACTCGAAGAGGATCATGTGATGCACAAACTCTTTCGAAGCAGATGAGAGGACCGGCGCGAACTTAGCGGCATGATGCTTGGACGTGGTGAGGAGCCCTGCAGGCAACGCCTCTGCGAGGTCAAAGATACCGCAGATGTAGGGGTTCATCGCATCGCTCCCGCCTGCCGTCGAAACGCGGAAACGCAATTACTCTGATCTGCAAGTAAATACATGCTACCAGGCCTTCTCCGAGCACGACGGGCACGTCCGGCATCATGAACGTGACTGAAGGGAAAGAGCTCATATCTGGAGGGGGCGCCGGAGGACCGGAGACCAAGTTGGTGTGGAACTGTCCCCGCTCCTTGTGGTAGGAGAAGGCATGAGAGTAGCCCAGAGCCCAGTGCATGAACATTCCTACGTCCTCCATTGCGTACCTGTCACCAGCTTTGCATGAGCGTGTGGGGAGTAAGACTCCCCAAGAGGTGCTGCCAGCAGATTCATTCGCAAATATGAGAAGCACCTCCTGTGTCTCCTGTAGATGTGGCTCCACGTAGTCTGCGGAGTAGCGCTCTTCGGCCACCCAGGCTCCGTCCACCTACAGCACTGGATCACAGTGTTCCACAAACAAAATCGCCCGGAGATCTGAATCTGAATAGCTGCATAAATTCCGGAACCCTCAGAGCTTCGATGTGAACAAATAACACAGCACCTCATGTGGAGGAGCGAGGGGAGCTTTCTTTAGCAACTTGCCAACCTGGCGAACGACCACCTGCTGAGCTCCCTTCATACCGCCGTTTCCGCCGATAGCCAACGCACTCCATCCGACGTGGTTCTCTGCGTGCAAGCCCAGCTTCATGTAGTGACCGTCGCCTGTGGGCCCAAATAACCAATCCTAACCGCCTCTAAGTGAGGCCCTTACCGACAGCCGTCCCTAAACAAACCATCGCCTGCAGGTCCGAAGTACATGGACAGACTGTCAGTCAAGACCTGGCAGAACGGCCAGCTTTCTGTGCTGAAGTCGGCGGGGCTGTAGCAGCTCGCAGAATGCACCCGCTGAAAGCTGGACGCCAGGAGCAAAAACCAACGCATAGCCATAAGTCTTCAGGCAAGACTTCGTCTCGCGCAGTCTAAGGGCTATGCGAGGGGCTCTCGGCTCCCTGGGGCCAAAAATGTCTTCGCTTTGCCCATTTGCAACAGAAGGCTCTAGGGCATCTAGGGGTGGAAGGAGTTGGGGGCTGGCCCACTGAAAGGATGACCACAGTGCAGACCATGCTGGTGCAGCTTTGATTAGGGCGAGAGCCCGGCTCAGAGTGGAACCGGCACGAAACCAGATGGTCTTTAATGGTCTTTGAAAGTTAGTTTCCCCAGCACCAAAACTGTCGTTCGAAATTGCACCAAGAACTTGAGCTAAGTACGGCTCTCCGCAGGAACCCTGTGGCAAAGTCCCGAGGCACAGCAGGAATACAGGAGCCTCTCAAGCTCTTTGGCAACTGATGGCGCTCATGCCCATATCCGTGTCTGTTCTCAAAAAGAATAGTCAAAATGGTGCCTAGCTCTATACCCATGCACTCCTACCAAGTATTAACATGGTGTCTGACTGGTAGAATCTAGCTTCGTCACTCGAGAATTGCCATGTGCATGTGGATCTCGCCGGCGGCGACTGCGTCTGTTCATCTATTCGACAGCGAAGCGGCTTGAGCCGAAGCACGAGGATAGTTGAAGCACCTGGAGTCCCGATGCCGAACTATCAACTTGCGCAGCGCAGCAGGGTGTCACAGCGACATCTAAATTCATCTAGTGGTCTGAGGAACACGAACTACAGCCGTCGCATGCTGAGAGATCGTTCTGTCACCGTACCGGCAATCACCGCGGATCCTTCCTTTGAGGTGCGCCACGACATCGAGGACTGGAATCTATACATCACAACTGCCGCAGCAGCAAGACGAAGTCAAAGTGGGCTCACTGCTCTGCTGTCACAGTCGTCCCAGCAGAGACTCCTCGGTCTGATTGCTGTGCAGAAGCCATATCAACTGAAGCACCGGACCGCTAATGGCAAGGGACCGCATCAAGCTTGCAGCCGGGAAGCAACAGGTTCCGATGTCCTAGTATGGGCCCCACCCTTTCCATCCTTTTCCTTCCACAGGGATCCGCTGTGGCATGTGGCTCAATGAAGTGCTCTGCACAGGCTTTTAAGGCACAGTGCCTAAATAGGCCACAAGGCACATTCCGATGCTGGCATCTTATGTATCCGTCCTCCCGGCCACCAACCTGGCTGACACATAGAGCGAAACTCCCTCTGTTGGTGCGACCTGGAGTCCTGTGTAGAATCTACGGAGTTGCATATGCTTGACTGGAGTGCACAGCCGCCAGAAAGATGAAAAGCAAAGCCAATCAATTCACCAAGCGAAACCCAAGCGTGGCAGCAGGTACCTCCCCACCAACCTGCGGCGAGCGGGTGGAAACGACATTGTCAATATGGAGTCTGTGAGTGACTGCGACAGATCTTGTGCGCGATTGATCCTTCTGGAGTATGTCAATCCTAGAAAGCATGAGCGCACCTTTGCCCATGTCTTTCCCACCTTTCTTGCCTTGCAGCAACAGACCGACGACATCTCTCGCGGCCAGCACGTCAAGTCTTGACACCAGCAAGCAACTAACATGGCAAGGTAAGGAAAAGGACTCCGATGGAACAACAGGCAAAAGATAAGCATGACAGCAAAAATCGCGCTGACATAGTGTGGATGTGCGGCCTCAATTCTAGCTGATCAGTCGACACTGGGCCTCCGACCCATCATGCCCCACATGCCCCAACCTTTGCCATTCCTCAACACTGTCAGGATGCAAAATATGCATTACACACTTTGCTTGGCACTGAGACTAGGAGACTAGCATCACTAGCCGAGCCGAGCCGCTCATCGCCTTTCCCCTTCGTGGCCTTCTTCTTGTCCACCTCGTCGGAAGGGCGACGAAACACGCAAAGATCTTAAAGCGGGTAGAGATGGCAAGGCACGTAAAGACCCCAGTTTGGCCTTGATGGACCGGCCCAGAAACTCCGAGCCGTCCAGGGCTTTGGCGATCTGCGACAGCCAAAACAAAGGAAGACGTGGCCGTGGCAAATGTGGCAATTGCGGGCTGAGCTCTTTTGTGGGCTTTGCTGCGCGGGCTTTCTGCTCACGCAGGTCACCAGGTCGTCTCTTTGGACCCTCTCGAGCAGGGCCAGGCGGCCAGGACCGCTGGACCGCTGGCAAACTCCAGAAAAAAGGGAAGGTTTTGAGCTTCAGCCGTGGCTTGGCAAGAAGCGCACTTTGCACCGGTTCATCTTCAGAGGATGGGTTGATCTATGCTGTCAATCACCTGCATTTCCACCTCCGTTCTGCGCGGCCTGTATTCGCTCCACCGCCTCAGAGCCCGGGCAACGGAGCCAGCACCGCCACGCAGGGCCCACGAACTCTCAGAACTCTCTGAGGCTCAAGCGCGTCGGAGTCATCAGAGCCTCGAAGGTTGCCTTCGATGAGAAGCTAAGCAAAGCTTCGAAGCATCTCCAAAATGCACATGTTTTGCCAAGGCGTAAAGCTTTGACAAGCTGCTCCCCGAGTGGATAAGCCTCCGCCGCTCAACCATCAGATGGTACACACCTGTGCCGACAGCAGAGCTTTTTTCGGGAGGCTCCGTGCTGTCAGACACGATGCACAGACGCCGCAGCCCGTCTTGCTGTCAATGTGGCGTTTGGGGTTACAAGTAGGAGCAACCCACACGGAGCCCCGCCTGAGTCTGTCCTTAGTGCCCGTTACTTGTGTGACCCTGGCGCTGTGCCCAAACTGTCATCTTCCCTTTTCTCCCGGTGAGTTTCACGACTGGCATTCAGACAGAGTGGCATGTTCGTAAGAGCATCCTGGACAGCCGCCATGGGCATGGCATTCAAGCCAACACCGACGATGGAGTAGAGCATGCTCAGTCCTGCAAGGATTTGCTTGACAGTGCTATGTCCATGCTTGGTAACCAAAAACCACTGTACCTCTGAGCCCACAGTGCCCTCCTGCGCCTACTGGCGAGAAATCGAACGAGCACCACTCTCCCAGGAGGAAGATGCAAGTGTAGTACCTTTGCTCACACTCATGCATGGAGATCGGAAACGACTTACACAAGTTCTGAATGCTTCGTGCTGCAAGGTCGAGAACATGTCCGTCATGCCCTGCTCTCCACCCTGCAGCCAAAGGGATGCTTCCCGCACACTTTCGCTTTGGCCGGAGCCCTCGGAGCCCATGCGGCCTCCGCAAGATACCAGAGAGTGGCACTCAGGACCCAGAACGTTCCCGAGACCTCAGCAACTGCACAACGGCTGACGGCTGCAACAAGACAGCCTCAGTTATCCCCCATTTCACCATCGCAGCCAGCAAGGAATATAGATAATTCCATAGAAAAGTCAGCAGTTCTTCCATCGTCGGCTAAATACCAGTAAGCACAAGGTCAATAAAGGATAAAGGGATAAACTACGTACTAGCTTGCACACTGACGCTGGAGGCATGAAAATGTACTGTAGTGTGTTGGAGTAGCTAGCAGGCATCACGGCTATTCAATGATCCCCAGGGTCGTCAGCAAGCTTTTCCGCAGAAGCCTGCGCGCTTCAGTCCGGACTGCGAGCAGCAGTGATAAGAGGCTGTCACCCTGACCCGCAGATGCGCAGGCACCCACAGCAAAGCCTCAGAAGCACTTAGGTCACTTAAGCTTACATATGTCAGGGCCAACCACAGATATATTGTCACATCAGGGGCCTCTATATGTAACGCAGATGCTGTCGTGAGCGCGTGCCAAGCGGCTGTAGGTGAGCAGATTGCTGCGGCAGCTCTTCGCCTGCAAGTCCTCAAGCAAATACCTCAGTTCTGCTCTGCTGTGAGCCTCTGCCACTCAGCCTTGGCCCTTGGGCCGAACTGTCGTGCTTGCCAAGGTACATGGCTTCAGGCCACTGGCTCTTCATCTCGCATGCACTGATGGCAACCTGAGCCAACAGGGGCGACACGCCTAGTGTCGTGCGTCAAATCCACGGACTGGGTTTGGGCTTTTGCCGCATTTTGCCGCTTGGCGGCACTGCAGGTGATCGTGTTCGCGGTGAGTCTCAGCTCCTGCTCATGGGCTGTCAGATTCCGGAACTGAGACGGATAGGAGGCCTCTTGGCCAATCGGGCTTGGACGTCCTGCAGGTCTGTCAGCAGAAGCAACGGCTCTTCCCAGCTGCTGCTCTCGGCGCAAGCGCTGAGAGCAGCGTTGTACCTGCGGCACGGCCAGCATATCTCACACTTGACCCATAGCTCGCGGCTCAAAGCCCTCAGAGTGGTCCGAGGAGAGGGGCACGTGATGATGTTGGTCTCGAACCCGAAGGACAGCAGATCCGCGAGGAGAAGCAGAGATTTCTGCCACTGGTAGCCTAATTTTTCCGAGCGTGACATGCAGTGAAGCCGGAAACGTGAACTGGACGGACGGACGGATGCCAATCCTATTCTGCCAACTCGACTCCCTGTGAATCCGAAGGAAGTTTAGCCGTCGGAGAACCCGAGGCTTCCGTGCCAGAGCCTCAAGGACTATCGGGGGGGCTACGTGGGACGCCGGATAAATTCGTGCGCCGTGTCTCTTCCAGAATTTTCCAGAACAAACACTTCGTGCCCCACACTGGGAAGAGAGCCAACAAAAATTCTCAGTAGCTCTGTTTGGGCTCACTGAGCCCTACTCATGGGAAGTAAGTAGAACTTCGTGCCCAGGAGCTTTTCGACGCCAGCTATCATAGGCTGCCCGCTCTTACACGCCAAGCGTGACGTGAACTTGAATGTTAAGTATATCCGTTTGGCATACATGTCACACTTTCGCTGACTCGAACTAGCCAGATTTCTGAATCCTCAATCGCGTGATTTTCCCACCGGAAATATTCTCGAAGCTACCGGGAACTCAACGCGCGAACGCGCATTGTAGCCTTTACAGCCTCGCACCACAGCTCCACTCCTCTGCCTGTGGTTTCTGGAAACCACGCGGATTCACCTCTAGACTCTAGTCGATTTGAACAAGACCCAGATCCTGGACCTCCGGTTACTCCGGTTTTCAAAGGACTTGCCTGCATGCCGTGCTTTCGTTCATGCCTATGCACTGCCAACCCTTTCGTTTTTCCAGCTTGCAGGTTTTCCTCAGGTTCGCAACCAGCTTTCAAGCGCTCAACCAGACATGTGCTGCGCAAGTGCCAAACTAACATAAGCCAGGGCACCCGCTTCACATGCACTGATCGCAGCACTGTAGCTGATCTCCTAAGTGGATCGTTCGCGATGTGGTACTGAGGCATGCACCTTCGATAGGTGCGCGGATTGATGCCAAGGAAGCCAAGCAACATCCCTCTGCAGGCTCAGGATGTCAAAGTCAGAAAGGAGCCTTTCACCAAGGTAGCATTCGCCCGATGGAGCGCTCATGTAGCTACAAGGCTTTATCAAGCGAGCCGCTGCAAGGCCAAGCGCCACTGGCCGCCCTTCTGGCATGCGGAGATAGATGCATTGTAGGTGATGTCGTTGCCACTTAGCCGCCGTCTGCAACAGCTGTGAAGACAAGGAGGCAGAAGACACAGCACATGTAGACAGCACAGGACACACTCAGTGCCTCCGGCCTCTGCATGTCGACCAAAACCAGCAAGGCCTCTTGCCAGCGCCCGCACTTTTCGCAGGCGCTGATCACGGCGCTGTAAGTTATGACCTTGTTCATGTGCTGAAGGTCTGAGTCTAAACGCGCCTGTCTTTGAGATGCCGCACTGCACAGGGAAGCTAGCCAGGCACCAGTACAATGCCTGCCAAAAAGCATCGAGCTCCAGCTCGTCTTGAAGCTCTGCCAGACACGACAGGGCAAGCTGCCACTGCCCAGCTTTCTCAAGTCCACTCAGCATACTGTTGTATGTGACCAGGTTACCTGGCAAAAGAATCTCAGCACCCGTCATCCTAAGCACGGAAAACCATCGCGGCACAGGCCTTGCACGTGACGCTGCTGCATGTCCCCGAGCAATTCGACCGCGTGGCGCCACTGCGAGGCACGTCCGCAGGCGCTGACCACCGCGCTCCTAAGAGCCCGAGCGCGTTGCAATGTCGAGCTCGCTGGGACTGGAAAGGGACTGGAAATCAGATCAGGCTCGATGGAAGGAGGGAGGTGAAAGACTGCAAAAATCAGAATCCATGTAAGCATGTGGAACTTCGACCGTGTGTCCTACTCGGCTTGCGTTCGACCCAAGGGACATGGCAGGCTAATGCAGCTGAGGATCAAGGATATCACGTCCAGCTCGATCGTGGCATCGTCGATCTCCTGCAACAACTGCCTTAGCGATCCGTTTTGGCGCGCGCAAGAACTCGACACATCCCAGACAAATGCCAGGGTACCATGACTCTTGCCAACGCCCTGCCTTCTCGCAGGCACTAATTGCTGCACTGCAGGTGATCACCTTGCCAATCACTGCTGCAACGAGAGCCTTAATGCCAGGCATTTGGAGCTGCTAAGGCGCGTTACCGAGAAGGCGTTGCCCCCGCATCTCTGATAGCCTGGACAAGTTGAAGCTGATCCGAAAACAGCATGTTTGCAATTGCGTCGCTGCAAAGATGCATTTGCCGTTCACCGTTAGTTACTCAGGCATGATGTCATGTCGTGGCCCTTGGCAGCCCAGTCTTGCCAGGCAGCAGCTTCAAGGCCCATTCCCATTGCTGACCCTTCCTTGAATCAGAGCGCAGGATCTCCAAAGCTAGATCTGCCACACACGGTCTGCAACAGCAAGCAGGATGCCAATCATTCCCTCAAGCTTTCCGGCACGGATCTCTGCAGCACTAATCGCGGCTCCATAAGTGATAACGGTAAGCTGCATGTCCGTCTCCTGGACAGCACATGAGCATTACTCAGTGGCTGCACTCCGCCTCTCTCGGAGCCAGCATCACGCAGCATGGAAGAGAAACTCCAGAACCGTGACGGAACTGCAGAACCGCGATGGTGCCTGCAGCTGCCGGAGTAGTGCAGCAGCCACAGCCCACTGGGAACCTGGCAAAACCGACAGACCGACAGACATACGGAATACCCCTGCCTGCTGAAGCATCCACCTCGCCCACAAGCGCTGATCGCAGCGTTGAATGAGATGACATCGTGGTCCAGCGCGACCTTGGCAGTCGATGTCGGACATCCAGAACAAGTGCCACCCACTTCAGGAACTAATCCCAATTGACACCCGTCTCCCCGAACCTGCGGCAGCTCTGCCAGCAGAGCAATAGCCAGGGGCCACTGAGAGCCTGGCTGTGCAAATATTATGCAACACCACGCTGGGTTTCGCAGAGCCGACACGAGTTTTATGGTCGACTTTCTTTTCGCGCGATCACCGTGCGGTACGACGGTGGTCTCCTGAACTGCGACTTGGGCAGCTGCTTGAAACCTGAAAAGCAATTTGCTGCTCTCAGCTTACAAATGCATCGGACGCGTCAATCTCCACAGGCGCTGGGCTGAAGCCTCTGAAAGCAGGTGCACCGCCACGAGGCAACTTGACCCTGCTGTGTCCGCAGCACTCATGGCTATGTCGTAGCTCACCACATCGGGCTTCGTCTTAGCTAGAGGCATTGCTCTTAGCACACGAAGTGCAGGCTCCCAATTCCACTGTCGAACAGCTGCCCGAGTGGCAGAATTGAAACTGACAATGTCTGGAGGAATTCCGGCGCAAGTCATGTCGGAGAGGAGCTGCAATGCGTGCTTCCAATGGCGGGTCGTCTGGCATGCACTGATGGCTGCACTGAGGCTAGCCACGTTAGGCTCTTCTTTGGCAGCTGCCATGTTGAGAAGCGACTGCATGGCCATCAGCCACTGCTTTCCTCTCTCAAGGGCACTGATGGATGTGTTTCTACTTATGACATCGTGAACGATGCGGGCCACCTCCATCGTAGCGAGAAGGCCCAACACGAGCTGCCATTGACCACTTGTTGCGCAGGCGCTGATGGCAGCAGTGAAGCTCACACGGTCAGGCGTGACTGCCTCGGAAGGCATGCTCCAGAACAGCTGCATCGCCAGGACCCATTGGCCAGCCTTCGCGCATGCGCTAATCGCAGCATTGAAGCTGGTGGAATTCGGTGATATGCTGTCATCACGCATCCTTGAGAATACTTCCAACGCCTTCTGCCATTGCTGACTCTTCTCGCAGCTGCTGACAAGCGCGCTTAGCGTGATGATCGTCCATGTCGATCTGTTTGCTTGCATGTCCTGGCACACCTGTAGTGCCCTGGACCAGCCGTGTCCTTTCTCGCATGCACTAACCGTCGTGTTGAAGGAGATGGCGGTGGGCCGGACCCCGGCATGATACATCAATGGCAGCATCTCGAGCGCCGCTGCCCATTGAGCCCCTCGTCCGCATGCACTGGCAGTAGCGTTGTATGTGATGACATTTGGACGCAAAGTGGCTTGAGATGCTGTCGAGAGTAGCTGAATCGCTGGCTGCCACTTAGCTTTCCTGGCAAAGGCGCTGGTGACTGCACTTGCACTGATGATGTCAGACATGGCCAGGAGCTGGGACATGGCAAGAAGCTGGAGAGCTCGATTCCATTGCTGACCTTTTTGACATGCGCTGATTCCAGCATTCAGGCTGATCGTATCCGCCGACAGGGAACGGGAAGGCAACACCGAGATACAGCGCAAAGCCACTTGCCATTGTCCCGCTTTCTCGCAGGTGCTGATGGTGGCATTGAACAGAGCCAGTTTCGTGTCGAACCTGCTGGCAGGCATTTCTGCCAAAAGCACTAGGCCAGCATCCCATGGCTGAGCCATGCTGCGTGTTTGGCTCATGAAGTCTAAGAGCCTGCCTTGTTGCTTCTGCAGAGTCTACATTGCTGACTCTAGGAGCCGTGCATGTCCTGCAGGGATCATACAAGCTGCGTTTGAGATCAGAGAGGGCACAGTATGGTATCATGAGGGAGGCGAGAACACCTTTGCCACTGACCTTTGCGGAACCCCAGAGCTGCCTTTTTCACAAGCGCTGATCGCGGCATTGTAGGTGATAACCTGCACCGCGAGGGCTGTCATCAACTTCCATTTCTATCTCCATCGACAGGCGACACGAGTCTGGAGCCAAGAGACCTGCAGCTCAAGCCGCTCGGCGCGCGCATCTTCGAGCAAGGCCACCGCCTGCACCCAGACATTGCCTCGGCTGAAGCACTCTCAAGGCCCCATGAGTGCACTGAGCTAAGCAATGTGTACTGACTCCTGTGAAACTCGGTTTTTTTCAGATCTCGGGGGTGTGTCTGGCTCCGCGGAGCTGGTGAGCTTTGTCGGCACGGTCCATGCTGAACAATGTGGGAGGCCGGTCAACGCTTCGCAACGCGTCTGGCGTCAGTCTGTCTGCAAAATACCGTGGATTCCAAAGTTGTTGATGAACTCCCCTTCCAAGACCTGCAACTTGAACCATTTCACAAGATGGGGAGGCTGCCTGCAGCTCAAAGTTTTCTTCGCCGGGATCTCGCGCTTCTCCGATGACACAGCCAGGTGCCAATCACAGCCATCTCGTGAACAAAGAATTTCGAAGTGCAGCAGGCTCGAGATGACATGAGCGAAAGAGAAGCCTGTGAGGTATACCGAGTGGTGGGGAAGCATCCACACAATCCACCCCTTGCTGAATCGCAGGGGCAAGCAATTGCGAGAATTGGCGGCGCAACCTTGCAGCATGGCAAGTCGGTTCCCTTCATCAATAGATCTGTAGATTCCATTAAGGATGCAGGGAGTGCCGAGAATGATGGACACCCAGTAACCCAAGAACGTGTCCGTTTTCCCATTGTTCGCGTATCGGCTCCACAACGTCTGCAAGACATCCGTGCTGTGTTCGCCTGGCTTTCGCTTCTGCAGGTTGGACACTCGACTGTCGATTAATGGCTGCACGGCATCGTTTTCCGTTGCCGATGCCTTTCTCTTGCCCCAACCTTGCAGTATACTCATCAGGTCTGCATCTTCAATGCATAGCAGCGGGGAGTCCAGAACCTCGTTCAACAGCCGAGGATTGAGCACTGGACGAGTTTTTAGTGCCTCTTTGGGGTAGATCAGGATCTGCTCCAGAGCCTGGCGCCTCAGATCCGCGACCTGGAAGCGGTCTGCACATGCAAAAAGTTCACACGCCACTTCCGGCTGAAGCTTATTTTGGACGGCCCGAAAGCAGAGTGCCGATAGCTTGTCCACTTGATACTTGTCTGCGAGTGTGCCAACCTCCACCAGAGTTGGGATGCTGCCTTCTACGACTCCAGAATAGAGGAAACGCAAGAATGTCTCCACGGCAGCAGCAGAGAAATCTTTGATGACCATTTGGGCTTGGGCAGACTCTGCAAAGGAGTTAGAGTTGATCATTTTATCAAAGACTTTGGACCATTTCGCGAGCAGGACGGACCAGACTCTGAACTCAGACCGACTTATGATCGCCCCATCCTCGCCAGAGTCTTCCCCAGCGCATTCTTCCACCGTTATGGTGAAGTCCCCACCCTGGCCAAAGCATTCTCTCAGGACGTCAGCTGCAGAGGCCTTATCAGCTTCAAAGGCCATGGCTGCACTGCACAGGACCTGGCCGATCCTAACGAATGACTCGCTGGTAGCCACTCAACTGAGAGCCTGCATGTTCCGTGCGAGCGAAGGCCTAGATTTCATGTCATGCGACGAATGCTTTGGATAAAGCCGCAGTCTGAGACATACGATGTGGATAACTTCATCACCGAGACAGTCTTGGACAGCCAACGCCAAGAGCCGGAGCCGCCCCACACCCCGACAATCGATCCAACGTAAGACACAGCATCAGAGAACGTGGTCCGACCCTGAACATATCCGACCACTGGCTACAGCCACTTGCACGAAAACTTTCGGGGGCTTCGGTGGCTCAACTGGGAGTTGGACAGCCCGAAGCAAACCGATTCAAGGGAAACTTCCTTCGACAACTACCTGGCCGGGCGGCCCTTCTCGCATGCGCTGATGGCAGAGTTGTAGCTGATGATCGTTGGGTTCCGCGTAGTCGGCATCCTGCAGCAGCAGGAGCCTTGCTCTATAACCGCCCTGGTCCTAGCCAGAGAGTTACCTTCAGCATGGGGACTGTAGTGGGCTGCTTTTCTGAAGTGTCTGTTGAAGCATGGTCATCAGTCTACAGCAGACCAACCCGAAACCAGTCATCTTTTAGGCAGTCGGTTGCTAGTCTGTCAGGGCTTGGGGTGAAGTTGCGTGGTGGGTCTTCATGAGTCGCCCTTCATGTTGGAATTTCGCCGCAGCGCTTGACCTCGTTTGCACAGCATGGAGAACTCTTTAAATCTCTCCAGGTGTCGTCTTGAGATCGGAGAGCAAGCGAAGAGCTTTCGTCCACGATGCCGACTTGGCGCAAGCTTTGATGGCCTGAGCCCCGTTCACGCTTTTGAATCGAATCAAACTCACCAGGGGTCACATCACAGAGGCGATTTCTGTGAATCTCGGCTCAGAGCTGCATTGTAGGCGATAACATCCGCGCAGGTTCCTTCGCAACGGGGGGTCCTGAAGAAGCTGGAACGTGCTGCAACTATGGATCTGTCTCATCTCTTCGCTTTCAAGCAGTCTCCTCGGACCCGTGGCATGGCTCCAGCGACTCCCATCAGGGGTCGTCCCCAAAGCATGGCACATCTGAGGCAACTTTGGCCCCGGGTCATCTTGACCGAATGCAAACGCCTAGTGGTGCTGAGAAACATCACACCAACAGCTAGCCAATCTGAGGTTGTGTCTAACATCCCGCACAAGCTGCGTGCGCTGCAGAATGCTTGTCGATTGGCCAATACAACAACACACGGAACCCGTTCAGTAACAGCCAGCGTGAGCATGATGCTGCCGTCTGTGATCACAGCTGGGTCTCGCGCGAAGCTCATCACGATCACGGACTCCCGAATCTCAGCGAAGCCCATAGGGACCACAGTCGACATGGATTGGCAGCTCATGCGAGACCTTCTGGGAGCTCAGCTTCGGCCCATACCAGGTTCAGCAATGGGCTGGTGCCCAGAATTTGCCTGAAAATAAGCACGGCTCCAAATGACAAACTTCAGCTTACGCTCGCAATCTTCAGAATTCGGCTCTCTTATAAACGTCTGCGGCCAGGGTGCCCAAAGTTCACGATGAAGCTGACTTGAGCTGCACAGGCCCGCTTCAGCCTCAGCTTAAGGACATGCAGACATGCTCCAAGCAGGACGCACTAGTGATCACTAGTGTCACTAGTGCAGCGCCAGGTGCCGCCGTTCGTCACCTGGCTTGGCCTCGGCTGTTCGACAGTCCGGTTAAAAATCCGGAAAAGCTCCACAAGGCGAGCTGGAAGTCGAGTGTCGAGGTGGTAGAAGTAGAGGCAGAAGGCCACAAGCTGCAGAATGCGCTGATAGCCTCGGGGCTCTCGGCCGAATGCAAGCGGACACCGCTGCACGCTCCTGCCGCTCTAAGACCTGGCTTGTGAAATTCACAGCTGCATCGTATTTCAGACCGACTGCTCCACCACTACGGAACCACCGCGTCGACACGCACCGAATCCTTGTCAATGTGACATTCACGTGGAACTTGGATTTAGCACCTTGCACGTGTTGGGCAGCTTGTGCAGAGTTGGACTTGCCGCGAAACATCACGCCGTTCCTTCGAAGCCAAGCTTTTCTGTTGTGGCATGTACTCCCACGAAAAAACTGCCAAATCGGCGGGACTGGGTTGGATCCTGTCAGCACAGGGCTTGTCGGGGGTGATTCCTTGACCTGTCTCGGGCGGAGTGTGGCCGGGGACAGGAGGTCAAAGGAGAACGGGCCGCCCTCTGAGATTTTCTTGGCGGCTTCGGGACTGCAATCTTTCGATGAAAACCTGCACGCTTCAAAACTGAAAGACCGTAATTACGATGACAGTGCATGTCGATGCCTTTTGCAACTCAGGACGGGACTTGAGACGAAGAAGAGCGCGGAGCAGCGGTAGCTGGGGTTCATGAAGGCCGTGCACCCGCGACCTTTGAAGGAACATTGGCTGCTTGTTTGAATGTCGAAGCTTCGCTTCATCCACGTCGCCCAAGAGGTTCAGCGCAAAGAACAGGATGAAGGGCAGCATGATAACATCCCACGTCATCGCCTGTCCAGAAAAGTAGTAACGATAAAACTCCGGCAGGGCTATGGGATGCTTAATTGAGAGTTTTCTCTTAGATCAATTCGTGGCCGATTCCTGCAAAGGATTGCCGATTTTGCTTCTTCTCTTTCTTGATTCACTTCCCGTTTAACGCCCTTGCGCACACGGATGTGGCCATCTGGTCGCAAGCTCGGTGCTTGACAATTTGACTCTGTTTCGACGCTTCTGTGTCGTGCTCTCTGCATATGTAGGGCATCACTGAGCCTGGCGATTTGTCACAAGCTAGAAGGCTAGAAGGTCGCTCAAATTCCAACAACACCGGGCCCTGCAATCATATCTGCGTTGCGAATCTACCTGCGTAACACACAACCCGACTGCTTGTCGCCTCTGGTTGAAGTTGTGGGATAGTGCGCAGACTGGCCGCACCGACATGGAACTGAGCTGCAGCATGCATGCCAGCTCGTCGACAGCGAAACACGGAGCAATCCAAGGCAACTCACAGGGCACGCTTCCCTGAGCTTGTAGGCTGCTCGGAGATAGTGTCGGAATTGGGTTCCAAAAACAGGATCGTTGCAGACTGCATGAATCAGTTGCACACTTCACGCTGAAGGAAAAGTCCGTCAAGATTGCAGCGGCTAGCTTTCAAATCGCTGAGGGGGTTCGTTCGCGGATTTTGCTCGTCCATGACGGGCTCTTACCACCTTCTCCAAAACAGGGAAAATCGTCATTCAATTGTATTGTCTTCGCCGCAGCCAGGTCACGACAGTCGCTGTTCCCAACACCTCGTTAGCATCAACAAAACAACGGAAATGTCGACATGAAGCTTTGTGCAACTCGACTTCGTACCGGCACCAAACTGATAAGCGCGCCACGAAAAGATATCTCCTTGGCAGACAGGCTTCAAACAAACGAGTGGCAACTTCTTGAGCATGCCTCCAAGGCAGCCCAGCAAACCAGACTTCCTGTGAGATCCTACAATAGGCCGGCTGCCGCTTCCGCTGACTCTCGCCTGGTGCAGAATTACCCTGAACTTGAGGCAGGTGTCTCATCGGAGTGCAGAAACATCAACAACCATGCCAAGCCTGGCAATGCATCGGCAGTTGGTGCAAGTTAGGACCGGCTGAAAGGTCGGGAACACTACATGCAGGTGCATTGCGCAAGTGCAGATCGCTAGAAAGGCAACCAAGGAGCGAGGATACCTCGGCTGATGCACAGCACAGGCCCCTTTTGCCTTCGGTTATCTGCTTGAAAGGGAGACCTCTGTAATGGGGTCCTTGCGACTTGCGACGCGGGAATATGCAGCTTCAGCACAAGTTAAACAAGTTGTTAAGCATTTAAGCCAGAGGCGCTTCTTCCTGGCCAGGCCCACAGACGTCATCTGCTTGGAGTGCTCCGCCAGGGCGCGCTCCGCGACACCCCTCCAAACCCAAAGCGCCGGCCCCGAAAAGGGTTGCAATGAGCACCAGCAACCTCGCTGTCAAGCGCCTGAAGCGGCGCCTGAGGATGATGCGGCGGAGCAGTCGGACGATCTTGCAAAGCGCCTGAAGCTCAGAAGGCTGATGGTGTTCTATGCCTTTGTGGGTGTGCACAGCGAGGTTGCTCGCATGCGCCTGGTTCCGCTGTTGCGCTGCCAGGATCCGTCTCTTTTCCAGGGCATCATGGAAAGCCTTTGCTTCAGCATGCAACTTGCGGCAGACAAGGCGAAGCACTACGAGAACGTCACCGTGACACTCACAGTTACCGCCTCAAGCCCGCAATGCCGAGGCGCTGATGTTAGCATGGCTGCCGGCATGGTGACGAAAGCCCAGGCGGAGAACAGCGAGCCTTGTGTGTCTTCAGTCTCCCCCGATCCGTTGTACCACGGGGCAGTGTCGCCAACAGCCACCGTAGCAGGGCTTGTCTTCGAGATACCGTACCACCCTGCCTAGGTCCTAGGTCCTAGAATCTTCTTACCCTTCTTGCCTTCTTCATTCATCACCGACGAACATATCCACAGCTGTCTCAGAAGGTCAAAACCCAGGAACACCCGAGTTTGCATGAACTGACAGTTCAGTTGCTAGTGGATGGCAAGCTGCACTACCGCATGCACAGAGTCTGCGGAGGAGCGACAAGCGTGGACGAGTCGGACTTTCACAGGATACTCAGTCATTGGATAATCGCCACTCATGTGGATCAGCCTTGGATGGCTCAACAGTTTTGCATCTGCACATCGAACCCCTCTTTGTAGAGTGCCTATCGCAATCAAAGCCGACAACTATGTGCAGCCGCAGCAAATCGCTCCTGCATTTTGCCTAATCAGGGGCCAGCCGAGGTACGTAAATTGCATTGCAAACCTGTGCACATCGCTGTGTTGACTGTTGCACATTAATCTCAACTGCAGCCGCAGCTTGTCAGCACAGTGTAGAAAGGCTGAAGGCATGTAAGCTTGGGGCCAGAAATTCGAGTACCAGCAAGCAAACGTCTTGTCTTCACTTTTCACTTCGAACTCGCCATGGAGAAAGTACCAGTTGTACCTAACGAGGTTGCAGCGCGAGGCATGTGCACTTACTGCCTTGAGCACAGTCGCACACTCCGAGCTTACATCGCAAATGCAATCGAGCGACGCAGCCAAGATAAACCAAAAGCTCGTCAGCACATAGCAGACTTGCAGCATCTGGTAGCCGCGTCCGGCAAGTACCTGTCGCGCAGGGCATCTTAAGCGATGCACAGAACAAGCTGAGACCTGGTACCTCCAGAAAGTCGCCAAAGGCAGGCACATAGCGCTCCAAAGCAGCGAGCCGCCAAAGGCGCAAGGTAACAGCGAAATTCCGCAGCCGGTAGCTTACGGAAAATCCTCCAGGTCACGGAAGAGTTGTGAAGTAGCCATTATCTGGTGAAGCGGCCGTCTGCCTCCCAAGTACACCAAAGTGATCGGAAGAGAGCCTTGGCTCGAGGATTTCGTCAGAGGCGCCGACGCATGCCCCCCACATGCCGCGCCCGCCCGCCTGCGATGACCAGAAGATCTGCCACACCCGTTGGATGCAAGAACCTGCGAGCAGGCGTTCCACATAGCAAATCAACAAAAGGCGAAGCGCTGCCAGTGCTGGGAGGCTGGGCATCTTCCAAGGCTGCGGATGGGACCAGCACCGAGCCACAAACTCCGCCAGGAAGCAAAGCAAGCACAGCCTAAGTGGCTTTCACGTAGCTGAAAGTCCACAGCATCGTCTAAACTTCAGAGATCTTCAGAGCCCGGTGATGCAGCTAACCCACGCTCAACCTCGACCCTCTAATTTTCGCGAAAAACCTGCGAGAATTGCAAATGCTCATAGAACTCGTGCAGATGAAGAGGCATTGAGACTGCTGACAGCATGTGGCTGTATGTGCTGCAGCTCGCAGCACGCAGAGTGAAGCCCAGACCTCCCAGCTTCTGCTACATGGCTGCAATCCTTAACTTGAAATTCGCCTTGCGCTTCGCCTCTGCGCCTCCCCCTTTGGGGTCGATAGTGGGCTACCGAGCTTGACCGGACTTTGCACAATTTGCACAAGGCAGGCCAACTTGCCAGGTGCGCTCTGCTACTAATCGCCCTTGCGCTCGCCCTTGCACAGTAACGGTACCGAAGGAGGTCCTAAGCCTGCATCCACAGATTGAGGTGCACTGTGAGTGTACGGCAAAGACAAGAGGCGGGGGTTTAGATCAGCTCTAAACATAGGCATCATGAAAGCGGCACACCACTCTTGGCCGCCTGTGTCCATGTCTTCAGCTGCCGCAGCCGTCGCTTCGCAGTCATCCTGAGTTCGTCGTTCAGACCCGATCGTTGTCGTTGAAGTCTCGGTAACACTGCTGCATCTCTGCTGCTGAGGCTCAAAGAAGGTCAGCGTTTCCTTAGATCGGCTTGCGTGGTTCTACTGGCAGCATCTACGGTCTCAATTCCTGGCTGAGACTGGCTGCTTTCAGCCCAGAATCCACGCAGGAGGCAAAGCAGCAGAGTGCAGTCACGGCAACGATGGCGTGCTGAAGCCTTGGCTTTGATACTTTGGTGGTTGTGCACCCCGCTGCAGTCCAAGACAATTTGCTTGCAGCTAGGTCGCCACTTTGCACCTGCCCCGTTGCCTCGAAGCGATGTGTCGATGATATGCAGCTTCTACTTGCATCTACTCCGAAAATCCTTGACATGCAAAAGTTCCAGCCATCAAGAAGGCTCACTTTTCGGAACTTGAGAGCAGGGCTACGAAAGCTAGACGCAGTTCGGAAGAGCAATGGAGCAGAGAAGCAGGTCCACGGAGCAAAGCAAGCGCTTGACTGCGTCTAGCTACACCCCACCCCGAACTTTGACCCGGAGATTCAAGGAGAACATTCAGGCTGAACCGAATCTGAACTGTGCTCCCAGTGTTTACGTCATCTTCAAAACTGCCTAGCACGGTCTAGTTCGGGCTAAGCCCACACAGAAACGACTGAAAGAAGTGAGCGAAACCACCAACACTCCAACCCGTAACGTTGCAGCACAAATTCGACGAGCAGAGCTGCCTGGATGTCGCTTCCCCATCAGCAGCCTCCCGCTAGTCGTGATCGTCTTTCTAGTCTTAAGAGGGAGGCATCTGGGAAGAGGGTCAGCTGAAAATCCGTTTCTCTGGCATGTGATATAAGTGACCGCTGAGACGTGGACAGCCCACCAGTCACTGGCACACACTGAAACATAGTCATGTCATGCGCTTTCTTGTAACTCCATTTTTGCATGTCGCAAGCGAGCCTGTACCAACGGTATTTACGAGATCCGGGCTGCAGTCTCATGAGATGCTCGTCGTCTACCTGGCGGTCGAGCCATGGTGAAGCGTGGGCTGCGATGCAAGTAACCTGTCGCTCTTGCCAGTCTTCAAGGCAAGCGACGTCATGAACGTCTCCTCGGTGCAATACGCAGGGCACACAGAGTCTAAGTGCGCAAAGGTGCCCAACAACTTTTAGCTGTTCAAACACATGATCGTTGCTATCAAGTCTGCACCCTGAGGCTTTGTGGTCTCGGCATGATCGTGGACATGGTGCCCAGCGCTGAAACAAACCACTTCCGCAATTACGGTCATGCTAGTCACTCGTCTGGCCAGCTATCGGCCGAGCATCGATAAACTCCGGAGGCTCGTTCCTGTGCCAGTGTGCTGAAGACAACCTCGGCACGGCACATGCTCTGGCTTCGGACAGAACCACCGCGCTGCACAGGCATCATAATGGTCATGAGTGTTGCTGGCAAGGTACGGACATGTTGTCGAGCTCCTCCTGACAACCAGTATCAACAACGAATACGTCTTGCTGCTATTTGCCGCTCGTGCCCCGACGTCCATGTCATTCTTATTCTTGGGTGCAGGCGTCCACGGGCCCTCAAGAGAGGGACCCGTGCCGGGCGAGTTAACATGAAGTCAGCAGTCGCTGACATCCGTGGGGCAGAGCCACCATGCAAACTGGACCCGACCCTTCTGTACACATGCTCTGTCCAAGGAGAGCTGCAGCGTGGGCAGCACGACCTCCCTTTTGGCCTTAGCCGCTTCGTCCGGGGCCTTAGCCCACTGGCTTTTCCCCGAGCCCCCAGTCGCAAGAGGCGAAGTTGATTGGCAGCATGGTCAGCTCGCTCGTTCAGTCGCTGGCAGCGAGCAGCAGTCAAGGGGCCGGCGGAGTCCACGTCATCTTTCCATTCAGCCTTGTACCATTCCAGTGGGCCTGGATGAGGGTGGCCACTCTCGCCTTGATCAAACTCGATGGCAATTGCCAGCAAGCGCCCCTGAAGGTGAAATTCTTGGTGCTGCCTTTGTGCACTTGCCGGATGATGCAGAGCTGCTGGTACAACGGTTCGAGGATGGCCCGGTTTGATCCATGTCAATCGTCTTGGGCACGCCCTCGAAATCCCAAACCACCAAGAAGGCATCCACAGAGCCAAGCAGCCAACCGACTCCCGATATAGAAGCATCCGCCGGCATCGTCCTGGAATCCTCGGGCCAGTTGGCCGCTGATCGTCAGTAGGGCTTGCCTGACCGGAGGAAACCTCACAGCCTGCGTGTCTCATGGCACAACGGCGGGCACGACCGGGCACCTGCAGAAGCTTTGCAACGGCGTCGAGGCCGCCACTTGACCTGACGCTGTGTCCAAGCTTGCCGATCCACATGCGGCTTCCAGGCTTCGGCTTTCATCCCACTTCTTAGCCGGCACTCTCGCGCAGGAACCAGCTGTTCTTCGACGGTGTCCCGCTTTTGGGCGGCGATTTCCCAGCTGAGTTCTGGTTTGGGCATGTCGATACGTGGGAGCTTTCATCGAGCCCCGGGCCTGAAAAACCCAAAAAGGCACGGACTTCAGCGCGGGTGCTGACCTCCCTCTTGTCGCACATGCCAGCTGTCCTAAGGCGATCTCTGGCATCTGCAGGCTTCCCCAAAGCAAATAACCAGCCACCTGATCAAAGGTAGTTAGTGGAGCCTGCCTATGATTCTTGTTCTGTCGAGAACTTTTTTGGTAACCCGGCGAGGGCGACATGGCTGGACGAGCCGACACTCACCAGTGCAGGTGGGACCGCTTGGAGGCAATCAGTCTTGAGCCCACCTGAAGTCCAAAGCACACAGAGGTTGCAGCAGGAGACCAGGCCCGCATCGTGCCACGACAGGCATTCCAGTATATCAGCTGTGTCAGTATCAATACGTGCAGCCCTGCAGCCTGTGCAAGAAGCACCGCCGTGCCCGAACCCCGACGAACTTCCGTGCTCTTGCGAGGAGCATTGGGCCTTCCAACCGGCTTGCATAACTGAGATTTCTTCTCGCAGCATGCGACCTGACAAAGGGGCGCCCCGGCCTGGACATCAGAAGCTGAGCATGCATCTCATCCAGACCTCACGCATTGTCGAGCGAAGACTGTCTATGATCGCGCGTGCTTGCGAGACTCCAGCGTTCTCGGAAGGCTGCACCAAAGACACCCATGGGCACAGTGAAGACCTTGTCGGCATAAGGAGGGCTACACGCCGTCAAAAGGCGTGCTCAAGTGGCGCAATTGCCTACAGATGCATTGCCACGAACTACAACACATCCTTGCAACCGAAGAAGAAACGGTCTTCGAGGTGTTCGAGAACAAATGATCACTCGCCTAACGTGCCCAAAGCCAGCGGCACTATGGAAAATCAGAGCCCCGGATATGGCATGGCTGCGCCAAGATTCGCCGACACCCACCAGCATGATGAGCGTGTGAACGGCCTTCCCCTTGCATTGTAGGCACAAACACACACTTCGCTGGCGCGGTTGTTTCCGAATTACAGACAGGCACCTGGGCAGAATGGTCGTTCACAGGAGCTTCGCTGGTGAAGTCCAGTCCAGTCATCCAGAAGGAAAGAGGGAGGGTGCGGAAGTGATCCCGAGTACCTCGCACGTTCTCCCGGGGCAAAGCACCCATCCAGCAAGAAAGGTACATCTGCTTGCTGCATGGGAACCTTCGTCCGGGTTGTCACGCTCGGCATAATACATAAGTACAGACCCTGATATCCAAAGAGCCGTTGCCAGAATGAAGGTGATCCTCTCCGGGCAAGGGACTGGAACAGGCACACGAACCGTGTCTGGCAGCTGGCACATGGACTGAGTGTCCTGAAGATAACATAGTTCTCGGCGAGGACTTGCCGGAGTTGTTCGAACATGCCTCCAAAGAAACCTGGTGTGCCACATTGACAGAAACTGAAACTCGCCCCGTCTGGCCTGTGGAGAGTCGGCGTGGGGTGGAGTCTTGCAGCTTGGACACTGTCCAGTTTGATCCAGCGGAACATGCACATACCATGGAATGCCTTGCCATCAACTCCAATTCAGGAATCGTGCCGTCATCTCATCCTTTTGATCAGACCCCAACATTGCATGACCCGTTGCGAGCTGTTCCCTGCTGTAGTAAGCTTGTCGCTGACTGCCCTGGAACTCCTCGCAAGGGCCAGAGCTTCTGAATCTGCCAACTCAAGGCTTTCTCTGTCTGACTCCTGGCAGCTGCCGTGCAGCAGGAGGGAGATGCACAGGAAATACGATGGTAGCCACGCCAAGAGATCTGCCTTGAGGTGCAGCAACTTCCCCCAAGTCAAGTGGCACGGCGATGTGCAATGGCTCACAGAACTGAGACGAAGCCGTGGGCACCGTACGAGATGGACACTGCTCAGCAGGTACTCACGAATGTGCCTTGGTTAAGAACGGAGCCCCTGCAAGTCTGCTGCGCAGGCAGAGGCGGGGCTTCTTTACCTTTTTAAGCAAGTGCTTGTCTTGCAGCTGCAGCGCGCAGCGCAAAGCAGGCGCTGCGACCAGTGCACCTATCAGACTTGAGCTGCTGCAACAGCACAGGTGCATACTCCACATCCACAACTGCGCTGATCTCATGCAAGGCACCAGAAAAGGCAAGGCAAAGATGATGTCCAGGTAGCGACAAGGCGCAACCCTGTGGAAGTGGGATGGATGCGGAAGCAACCGGTCGAAACAAGGCCACCATCCAGGACTGAGATCAATGCGCAGAGGCTTGCCATCCATCCGCACCGTATGCACGACCTCACACATCTAAAGCTTCAAAAGTTGGGGCAGTGGTCGGGACTTCGTCACTTAGTCTTCCACCTTCAGTGTGTGACTCCCGCACAGGCTGCTGGTACACGCGCGTCAGGAGAACAAAGTTGGCAGTCGATAGTAACTGGGCTTGAAAGCACCCTCAAGTGATCATAAAGTCTCACAAGACCTGTACTCGTGTGCAGCTGTGACCAAGGCACCGACCACCAAGCCAACCATGCATGCTCCCCAGGCAGCAGAGCAAGGTGGGGGACGACGCTCCTGCACTTGCGGCGTTGAAGTGTTTGGGGCCTTGGGACTTTACCACCCCCCCGTTCGCCCCGTCCTCAGATCGAAGGGGAAGCCCGCGAGAGAGTCTCGAGGAGATGTGGTCCTTACAGAAGCCCGCTTAACAGAACTGCACTACACGACGATACTAAAAGGAAAGCCAAGAAGCCTGAAAGGCTGCACCAAGAACGCCTGCAGGAACGCTGAGCAAGGCCGTCCCCACCATGCAGATCACCTGGTTCGGGTACTTAGCACTCAGGCTGCTTTCGACAGGACCGCCGACATGGAGGAGCGGCACCATGGAGTTCATCCGCCCAAGCGGTCTGGAGAACTCGTCGGCATTCGGGAACTCACCTTGCAAGACCGCGCCAAACCGTGACGGGAGGTTGGTGGCAACCACGCGCGCAAGAAGGCCACTACTCATGTGTTAACCACCTTGGCGGCATCCTGGTCACCCTTCGTCACCTTCGTCCTCCAACTAAAAGGGGGATGCATCAGGACTTCACCTGAATCTGTGCCGGCAAGGGGCCATGGAAGTCAATCAAAGCCTCGGACTGCGGAGGCATCTCAGGGCGCCATGCCAAGCCGCAAGGCAGTCAGACCAAGCACCACAGAGATGGTGGCTAGCTAGAGCCTATCAACGAGCCACTGTGCAATTACAAGCAGCATAGTACATGCCAGACGGGATGGAGACATACCGGTGGTAGCCTGACACAGCTCAGATTAGGAACATGCAACATCTAAACAGGAGACATGATTTTGCACTTGCCACTGGAAATGCATCTAGGTGCCGAGCCCGGCTCAGATCCCCAGTAGAACTCCTCATTGTCCCGCTCGGTCCTGAGCTGCTTGCTGTGCATTCGCTCTAACTTCGGCTCAAAAGCAAAAGGAGCCTTTCAATGCTGCCAGGTCTCAAGAAGTGGATGGTGCTGCAAGCCAGCCACATGGCACCAAGCAGGTAGACCTAGGGCCGCCGGAAGCAGTGCGGGCATCAACGTTGAGCGCAACTGCCGAGGAGCTGAGATTTGAAGCAAACCTCGGCTACACAAATCTTGGCGCAGGCACAAAGGACTGCACTCGACCAGTTCTGGACAAAGTGCTCCAGTTCGACCAGAGAAGTTTGGCCAGAATTCCCAAGCCTCCAAGGTGTGCCAACACTTCGTTAGAATGGATGCCCCCGTACATAGATCCTGCACTCTCATGAACAACAGGCCATCACAAAAACATGGCGCAAAACCCAATGCCGAAGCACATACCCTTCGGAGAAGCCCGAGCGACCTGCTCACCGAAACCTTCAAAACGAAAGTGCTCAATCCCGAGGTGGCCGACGTCTCGGAGACTGTTGACTCTCCAATTTCCACATCCTCTTCGCGTCCTCACCGCGCCTTCTTCGCTATGCCCGGCTCGCAGCGACACGTCTACCATGCGCGGCATTCGCAGCCAGATGAGGTTCGGGAAGAGGTCGGCATACTGCAAGAAGGACTCCCGAGCTTGCGGGGCGGGAATTGCAAACAGCACGCGCCTGCGGCAAGATGAGATCCAACAGCGTCGGAGTCATGGCAAGGACATCTGACCAAAGAAGCGGTGAAGTGAAGAAATACCGCCTCGGTCGGAATTGCGCAAAAACAACGCTCCACTCGGGCACACTTAGCTTTGCAGCCCAGACGCGTGCGAGGGAAGGTTGAAAGGCGCAAGTCTGCTGTGTAGAGCCGCAAAGACACGGAGAAAAGCAACAGGATGGCAGTCCTTGCAAGAGATCCTTTTGAGTGCCCTTGGCACCGACCGGTACTGAAGTTCCCAGAGGTGCTTCCAAGCATCAAGTTCTCCAAATACCAAGCCGGCTGTTTCCAAGCGTCCTAATCTATCAACGAAGCTTGACTGCGCAACTGCGGGGCCAGCGTGATTGCCAAGTCTCGAAGTAGCGCTTGCCCTGCTCAAGCTCACACGTGGAGTCTGCAAAGTCAAGAATGGATATAATCCTGAGACTGGTACCCTTTCACACAAGCACAACGTTAACCAAGGCTCGAGACTTATAGAATCCGACAAACATTGTAAATCAATGTGGCTCTTGTACAGAAGCCTCCATGACTTCTGTGATCGACTGTAGAGTTCGCCGCGCACTGTACATCTCGGAGCCAAGTCGCGTTAAAACCTGAACCAGCTGCGAGTCAGGAGTCTTGACTGTGAGTGCGAACCGAAAAAAGATGCTTCTGCGAATTCATGTGACTGAGCCGAGGGCTCCAAGAATGAATTCCAACATCTGCTCTCTCTCTGGCGAAAACCACGTCTCTGCCTGCTCATGACACGATGCAAAAGCTTCTTGCAAAAGCAGAGGCTTAGCAGGTGGACCGAAAACGAGCCTTTCGCGACGAATTGTGCGAGAGACGAGACTCAGCCTTGACGAAGCCTCAGAGAACACGCTTGGTCCCCGACAGCCCAACCGCCGTCGACCGACAAGAAACAGACACACTGCAGACTTGCATGTGACATCATGCGCGCCGGTGGCACTCTTACAGAGAGCTCGGGTGTCCCTGAACGCTGGATCCTTGTGCTGTCGACCAGCATCGTGCAAGCAGCACCGATGCACCACCACCAAACTTAGCAAAGCACAGGCCGGGTTTTGCAGCCGTGGAGAAGCTACATTGATTCCTCTCTGCTTGTCAATGGCACTGTTCGACTGGGACCGAGGTGTGGACAAAGGCCATTAGGAGCCATCCCGCCTGCATCCACACAGACTGAATCCTCAGTGTGAGAACACTTAAAAGATCTACGCTGCATCTCGCACGATGGCTCTTCACATGCGAGCTGTTCAAGGAGTCAGGAGTCGCATCAAGCCGGATGACGAAGTCGTCCGGACCTTCGGTTTGTCTTGCAGATGGTCACGAAAGGATGCCACCATTCTGGCGTGCGTTCAAGGTGCTTTCTGGGTTCTGAGGTGCAGGGTATGGCCCTCTGTGCTGTGGACACACGTTGAACCTTGCCGACGGCAGGGCGGCATTTCAATGCCGGGCACAGGTCCATACGACTCTGCAATCAGAACCCAAGAAGTGTCTCTTTGCCGAGCCACCATCTGTAGACACAATTGAAATCGTCTGACTCGTCTTCTTTGGACGAGCTGGGAACGTCGGTTGTTGACCTGGACTGCAGGATGCCACCACAGAGCGCGACACATGGGCGGAGCGAGATGCCGCGATGCATGCAAGTCAAAATCGAGTCACGAGGAGCTGTTCTCGCTCCCTGGCAGCAGCTCTGCCATGAGTAGAATTTGGGGCACCTTTGCGATGCAGACAAACATAGCATAACCGCGCCATCAAGTTTTTTTAAGCAACTCCTTTTGACTCGATCGCACAGCGTTACGGCTTCTCCAAACCATTGAGGGGCAGCATCTGCAAGCTTCCACTCTCACTCATCACAGATCGGCTTCACCTTCCCCTTGTCCTTGTCCGATGCAGCTTTGCAGTAGTCGCGGAAGGCATCCCTCATCACGGGAGGAACGACATACGTAGAGCCTGGCAGATCAGAACGTAACCAGGTCAAGGTTTTCGACCTTTCAGCACAGGCCTTGCTTCTCCAAGGCCATGGCGGCCACTCCACCATTCCGCGCTTCTTCGTCCTGCAGAATTTAAGTCTCGGCATCCGTCCTGTTCCCATGTCCCTTCCCTGATTCCGCCCGGCTCTGCACTGCCAAATGGCATTGCAACGAAGCATGTGTGACCGCAGGAGTTCAGCAGATAAGTTCTTGTTAACACATCTGTGTTCGAACCAAATTTGCAGGTGACGCTAGACTTGGGTAAGTTGGACTTAACAGACCCTGTCACGGACTTTCGCATTGTATCGTGACGCAAGGTCTCCTGGATCTTGGCATCAGGGTGGTCCAGCAGTAGTTTGATTCCAGTACGAGCAGCCTCTGATGCCTGCGCACCCAAACACATAGTATGCACGAGGCTGAGCCTGAGCCTCACTGTCCGCCCTCCAAACTGCCTGGAAGCCGATATTGATCTGGATCAGCTTCCCGCCAATCTGCAGAACAGCAAAGCATGCTCGGCAGACAGAGGAGGGGCTGGGATGTGCATCGCTGTGCACGCACGTGCTGCAGGCTGCTCCAGGCCTGTTGCTTCGCTGTCGAGCGCACGGCCTCTTCTGCTGCGTCCAGCGGCATCGCGGAGAGCTCGCTCAGAACTCCTCCCTGGAGCCCCCAGACTGGGCTGCTAAGCAGAATGCAGGAATGTGCGCCCGTCCTTGTTAACGAGGAAAGGCAAGTATGCGTTTGGCATGCCCATGAAGTAGCTCTGAAGCCTGCTCCTCAGAGACCAGAGCACACGTCTCAAAGGAAACCAAGGCCCTGCGGCGAATCCGGAAAGGATGCTGCTCGGCTTTTCGAGTCACTTGCAAGCCCTACCCCCGGACAAGTCCATCGCAATGGCAAGAAGCACGACACTCGAGACTTCCGTCCCGTTGTGGCCGTCAAGGATGCCAGTAATCATGGCTGCCTGAACCGAACCACGATGCTGAAGCCTGTTTGACATACAGTAAGCTCACTGGCCTCTTGGTTCGCGGTGTACGGCTGACTAAAGTCAATCCACGCAACATCACCTGCACATCAGGAAATTGACTGGGAGTATGCCAAGGCTATCCAGGCAAGGCTCACCTGGAGACGGGAAGCCGTTCGAAGCCAGCACCGAGTGCACCTGGAGACAATGGACACTGATGTCCCAGCTTTTCTCAAGGATTTCAAATCAATGGTTGTTCCCAGCACGCACTCCATTTCCAGATTGGAGGTCTGTAGCAAAAATAGACAGATCTTGCAGGATGCTGTCCACAACCTTATCAACAGAACACATCCTCTTGCAGAAGACTTGACACAGCCAATAGAGAGAGTAGCCCCCCAAATCTTCAATGCCTTTCACCGTCCTTCAAGACAGCTGAAGTCATGGCAGGAAAATGTCCTAGCCACATGCCCAGGGCCATCAACGGACATAATCTTAATCGCTTGGAGTTCCGTCACTTCAAGGCCCGCGGGCGAGTCGAAAAAAATCACACGCGGACACAGACACACAAGCGCACTGTACTAGATGTGGATGAGCATCGAATCACAGCAACCCGCGTCCTACTTTAAACGGCTTTGTTGCCTGGAGCTCCCAATGGCCGCTGAAATAGTGCGCATACAGCGGCCGCCCCAGAGGTAGAGACAAAGAAGCCTCCACTAGTCCCTGGTCTAGTTGCTCCCGTCATCTCAAACAGCGCTTGGGTTACAGTCTCGTCGAGCTTGGGTTGGTGTGGAAGCATGCCAGACTGCCAGAACTTAGACTTCGACTATGATCGAACGGAGTGACCATGCCACTACTAAATTCGGACACCCCGTACAATTCTCGAATAATGTCCTTAGTTGCAGTCTCGGGCACTGCACCCTGCGTGGAGACCAAAGGATGAAGCACCTAGGAAGTTTGGAGGGGCCAGGCTTTCGGATGGTGTCTGGGAATGGAAAGTAGATCGGAAAGCCTGCTTGCTACGTTTCGCAGAACATCTGAATGACTCTTTCACTACCGCCTCTCCAGGGCGAAGAGCTGAGCCCTTTTGATGCTCCAGCTACTGGCGAAAGGCTTCCGAGGCACCACAACTTTGGCCTTGTCGGATGCGAGCTCGTTGCCCCACTCGAGGAGCAACTTCCACGTGCGTGAAAGTAGTATCAGAATCCAAGCATGAAGATGACTGCCCGGCAGACCACCTTGCCTTCATTGCGTCAAGCTCATCCTGATTGAGAAAGCCGTTGCCCAAGTCCACCTCGAAGCTTCAATTTACGTCTGCAAAGCTGCCATGCGAGAAACGTTTGTTACAGCAGCTTTGCAGAAGGATCGCATCATCAAAGAACAGAATGTCAGCTTTCTTCTCTCCGATCTCGTTCTTGATCTTGTCTTGGCCTCGAAGTTCAATTCTGGCAGATCTTGCTTAAAGCGTCAGTCCGCTCTCACAACTCTCAAGCTCCGCCCACCTTCAACAGTTGATTTGTCCATTCACCGTGCCGAACGTTCCAGTCCCTCTCCGTGCATTCAAACGAGCGACCTTCCTGCAGCAGTCGCAGCTGCTCTGCCTGCAGGCATTGCGACTCTTGGGAAATATTTATTCGGGAGACGAGATTTGGATAGCGGGGCACCTTGACTGCTGACCTGCCGTCTTCCCCGTAGCCCTTGACGTAGTCGCCACGGTTCTCCTTTGTCATGCCAACCTTCGGGGCTTCCCAGGCCAACACTGCAAAGTGACTGGAAGCCCGCCTGGTCCATGTACCATGACCGCAGATCGAAGCTCGCCTTGGACTTGTTGAGGTCCTCCATTGCCAGCCTAGTCACCACGGCAAAAGCACAGCAGATTCCGTGCCAGCTGTGCCAAGTAGGTCCATTGCAGATGGGCAGCTTGATCGTGTCTGTCTTGCCGACCCCACCAGCTCCCACGACCACAATGTTTTGCCCTTTCGGAACAAGGTGGCAAACGACAGCTAGGCTGCTTGTCCTGTCCAATCGCACAAACCACCACCGTGCCTCTCGAGAAGCCAAGCTTCAGTCGGCTGAGTACCTGGGAGAGCTGCGACCATTGACAGTTGAAACGTACACGCCAGTTTCATCATCGATACGGAAGTCGGATCGTCATCCAGCATCTGTGAAGCCTTGAAGAAGCGGCCTGCCGATTTGGGAGCTTTTGTAAGGAACGTCGTGTGTGTTTTGTTATATGCTGACTCCGAAACCGGGGGCCTTTCCGCATGTCCCCGAAAAGGGCGCCATCGCCTCTGCCAGGAGAAGGCGAAAGCCATGTCGTGGGGCCCATCGTTGCGCCAGCCCGGTTTCCCAGTGGCCTTCCAGTGCTTCGAAGGCGTCGAAGGCCTCCATTAGCTCATCACGGAGCTGCAGCTCTTCCTGGAGCTCCAGCTCGAGCTCCTGGAAGCTTTCTACTGCTCTGCTCGGCTGCGCTCAGCTGCGCTCAGCTGTGCTCAGCCGTGCTCAGCTTCGCTGCGACGTCCTGCTGGATCTTTGCGAAGCTTTCACGATATGCTGCCACGGAGAGGGCAGCACATGACAGCAACACTGTGCTCAGCGCCGTTGGAGCAGAGTTTAGCAGGCACATCGTGGAGTTGATTCAAGATTGAGCAATGAGAGCTGCGGTAGTGGCCTAGAGCCTCGGGCAATTGACAAGACAGCAGTTCAATTCCATCTCATCCTAAAAGAAACACTCCTTTATGACTACCACCACCACGACTACCACTGTGAGTTGATGCATGTAAGCCAACGGCCGCCGCGGTGTTCGAGGCGGAGCCTACAGCCATGACAGAGCACTACTAACGGTCCCCGCAAAAACCTGAGAAGCCCGGCTTCCCACCTGCATGGAGAAGGCAACTGCAAAGCAGAGCACGCTGCATTGCCGCAAAACATGGCCCCTGCAGGCGGGTTCCTGCTGATCCCTAGGTAGACTGGGCAGTTCTCCAGCGAATGATTCAGGACACCTGATGCAGGCTGCAGGCTCATCGCCCGATTTTCTGGGCTCTGCGTCACGCATATCTTGCTCGTGTTTGCCCGTCTCAGTCTTGCCATGAGACATGAGCTACAACTGACAAACCTTGATAAAGGTAGAGCTGCAGGCACGACTCATGTGGGATCCTACCCTACAGACTCGGACAGTCAACGACGCGCCGCGACTCACCGACTCTTGAGCTTCACATTGGACCTGGAACCTAGGTGCTACCCAGGAAGATGGCAGCGCGAGGCAGTGGACCTCCGCCTGAGACTCCTCGGCGAAGTCCACGTAAGCATGGCCCAGCCTGTCACTGGCACCGGCAAGAAACCCACCTGTGTGAAGTCTGGTGCCCAGGCCTTTCACCAGACGCCTTGTCAATCTTGATACAAACTCGCTTCACCTGTCTGAAGCCGGAATCGGTGCATGCTGCGGTAAGTCTGCTTAGTCTTGCGCTTGGGATGTCTTGACTGGCGTGAACAGAAGTAACAGAAGTCGTAGCACGCACAGCAGCTGACGATCCGAACGGCCTCCCCGCACTCCTTGAAATGCTCGTACAGCCTTACATTGCATTTGAAGGTCGTGGGCCAAAACCACCATGAGCGATGGATCAACTCGCCGGGATGCTGTTCTGGCCAGATTTCGTCCTCACCCTCCAGGCCACCCACATAAATGGAGCACTCTGGCGAGTACCTCCAGATAGACATGTGACGCATGTGGAGGGGACATGAGCTCATCATTTCATGCACTCACACTGACTGAAATTTGCGCACTGCTCCCGCATCGCCAAGGAGATGGCATGCGATAGGCCGGCTTCCTGTTCTTGCTCCGTTTTACGAACGAGAAGAAAGCTGCAGGCGTGCCTCCGGCGGAGGTTGCGCAGGTGGCACAGTCTCGCCAACGGGGATGGCCTCATCAGGTGACTTGAGCTAGCGAAAAACCTTGCAGGCAGACTTCTGACTCTGCACCGTGCCAGGTCTGCACTTCGGGAACACGATCTTTTTCCCACTCAGCTCTGCCGGCTCTACCCCCGAGCTCGGAAAGATCCCCGTTGCGAAGTATGAGACCGAGACTGCCAACAGGTCGCGGTAACCCGGGGTGACATCTGCAGCAACGAAACATTGAAGATGAATTGGAACTGATGGCAAAGGATGTGGCAATAGCAGTGCTGCCACATCAATTCTTTGGTGTGAGTAGTCTATAAGCTGTTGCCAGACAGTCAAGGAGTGGCGGCAGAAGCTCCGGATGCGCACTGGCGCGGCAGGAGCAGATCACAGACCCGTACGTGACTGGATTAGCTTGCAAGTTGCAAGTTTCTAATTCTGAAAATAAACTCAGAGCCCATGTCCATCGCAAGCCATGCTCGCAAGCCATTAAGCAAGCATTATAAGTCGCGATCGTCGCATCCACCGACGACTGATCCATACCCGCCAGGATTGTCACAGCCTAAGCAACAGGGGTACGGATGTGGGCTACCCAGCTACTCGGCTACATGTTTTACAGGGGTCGTGATGGTTCTTGAGATGAGACTATTTCCAAAGCGCAAGCCTGCCACCATCGCCGTCCTTTCTGGCATGCGCTGACGCTTGCGTTGTAAGCCACAACGTCGGGTTCCATGGATTTTTGACGTAGCTCGTCGAAGACGAACAAGGCCCAGCTCCATTGCTCGCTCTTCTCCTGAAACCAAAGACGACCACGAAGTAGTCAGTAGTCTCTAAAGCAAAGTCTGTGGAGTTTGAAAGTGCAAGGAACTCTGAATAAGCTCCAAGACTCACATGCCATCATCACGGCACTGAACATCACGACAGTGCTTTGCACGCATGCCTCTATGCTTTGCTCCACGAGTTGCAGCGCCTGCTCCCACTGATTGCCCTGGCCACAAGCACTGATGGCAGCCCCGGACGAAGCTACAGACAGCTCCAGTTGCTCTTGTTTCTGTTCGCACAGGAGACGGAAAGCGCTTTGCCACAAGCCTTCTTCTCCACATGCAGCTATGGTCGTCGCATACGTTATCGCCGTCGTCGTGATCGTCTGTGTTCGCACGTCCCTTCCTAAGTACAGTGCTTGCTGCCACTGCCTCGCCTTTTGGCAAGCAGAGATCGCAGAATTATAGGTGATAGTGTCCCGGCGTAACCCTCTGTCTAGTTCCGTCGACACCTGCAGTGCGCGTTGCCATTGAAATCCCGCTCCACAGGCACCCAGACAAGAATTGCATGTTACGGAAGATGGGCTCATTGCTCCAATCAGCAGCTCTTGCAAGAGCTGGCAGGACCACTGCCACGCACTGCATCGCCCACATGCACTGATGGCAGCGTTATGCGCAATGACGTCTACCCGCATGCGTCGAAGATGCAAGTCTGCAAGAAGTGACAAGGCCCAAAGCCACTGGCCGGCTTTCTCGCAGGCTGTGAGCACTGAGCTGCAGGCGACAATGCTGAGCTGCACACGCAGCATGCACATCTCCGCAAGCAGATGAACGGCAATCCTTGGACGGGCGCTCCCGTGCATTAACCAGCAGATGGAGACAAGCTGCTTCTGAAAAAGGCACAACGTACATGCTTTCTATCAAGAAGGTGGGCTTTTGCGCATGCTGAAGGCTTGCTGGGCACCGAAACGGGAACAAAGTGAAGTTCAGACTTTGGCCTGTCAAGGTGGAAGTTCACGGCTGATGCGCAGCACAATCGAAGAAACCTGCATCGTGCTCGCCAAGAATCTCCCATTCCAAGCCCTTCTCACAAGCGCTCAGGGTCGCCCCATAGGCCACCGTGTCGCTTTGCACCCGAAATTCCTTCTGCAGCAAGACAATACTATCTGGGAGATTGTGAGATGCATCCATGCAGACCTACCGACCATAGTAATCCATAGCAATTATACCTTCTACTTGCAGGCTTAATCGTAACCGGCATACCTGCCAGGCGGTCTACGACGACCAGATCGAGCATCGAGCTCAGTCAGCCGAACTGACGAACGGCAGCGAGATTGTATGGGCCTTTCGCAGCCGTAGCCGAAGGCTCCAAGACAGTGTCACAAGAAAAAGCACGGTCTAGATTGCTGTCCTGTGCATGTCGCGTCCTCCGAGTGTGGTCGGCGGTGCTCCCTCCCCCCTTGTAAGCTCTCACACCCCGCTGGCCCCGGCATGAGTAAGACATGGTAAGATGCAAGAGAGAAAGCATTCACATGCTGCACCATGGTCCTGAAGCTGCTCGAGCAGATCAATCGCCAGAGGCCACCGACTGGCCTTGTCGCAGGCATTGACTGCAGCCGTAAAGGTAACCACGTTCGGATGTAGCAGGTTCTGCCCCAGGCTTGAGAACAGTACCAATCCTTCCGGCCAGTGTTGGCCCTTTTGGCATGCGCTTATGACAGCACTGGACGTGACTATGTCGGAGAGAAGGCCCCGCCACAGCAGGTTCTCCACCAAATGCAGGGCTTGCTCCCACCGGGCGCCCTTCTCACATGCACTGATGGTGCAGTTGAAGCTGACCATATCCTCTCGAAACCTCAACCCCCGGATGCATTGCAGCATTGCCAGTGCCTGCTGCCACTGGCCCCCCTTCTCGCAGCTAGTGATGGCTGCATTGCATGCAGCAAGGCTGGCCTCGTCATCTTGCACCAACACCTCAAACAGTACAAGGGCTTGCTGCCACTGCCGGCGCTTCGCGGAAGCTCGTATAGCCAGCGGAGAGGACATGCCTTCTTTGTGCGACATGCTGCCGCAACCACTACGAATTCTGCTGCTGGCCATACCTTTCGGGGCGAAAGCAACAAAGCAGAAGTCCTCTGCCGAGACACGATGTTTAACTGTTTAACGCCTTCTAGGCGGACGGAAAGCTTGCAGGCAGGCAATCTGCTCTTATCGAGTGAGTTGTGTGTCGCTGCCAGTTTGAGCCTCGGCCTCTCCGAGTGTTGCTGCCTCCTGTCAAACGAAATAGTGATAGACTATGGACACTTCTGCTCCAGCACTCCAGCTACAGAGATGTCGCATGCACCTCTTCCGCAACCATTGCGAGAAAAGATGCTTTTGACCAATGAATCCCGGGCTAGCCGTGCTTGCTGCTGTACCTAACGCCTGCTAGACTACAAGACTTCCGTGTCCGTGCCAAGCTGGTCTTGTGCACCGTGCTTGCTGTGTCTTGCGGCATGGCAGTCTGACTGCTCCATGTCCCTGGACGGTCCGAAAACCAGAAGCGCGCTGCTGTGATGCGAACACTTGCCTGGATCTCGTCATGAAACTCATGCGGAAGCAGAAAGCCCATGGCACGCCTTTGATGTGTGAGTGTCTTTTGGGGGTCCACGCTCCTTGCCTTGCAGCAGGTGAACCCTGGCCCTAAACCTGCCGAGGGGACAAGCGACAAGCGCATCAGCGCGGGGCGTAGAGCAAAGCCACTCTTACGAAAGTCGGCCCTCGAACCCATGGTCTTGGGACCTCGCATCGCCATGCGCTTTGGCAGCTGCACGTTTAAAAAAAAAGCTCGGACTGTGGATTCCCAGTAGGGCTTCGCTACTAGCTCTATCAGCGCTGCAAGGCCTAGCACAGCCTGACAACTTTCTACAAAATCCGAGCATGTAGTGAGCCGTTCCAAAGCAAGCGTGGCAGATTTCAATATGAAACATGAAGCACCGTGTGAAACTCGCAACCGAATCAGGATACGTCCTGCGCTCCCGCAAACTGTGGGGACATGCTCCGACCTGCGACTCGTACATTTCGATTCCGATGACTTATTCGTTCGAAGGTCGATGAGCACCAATGGTGAAGCGTCGTCAATCTCATTTTGAGGCTGCTTTGAAGAACTGCCGCCTCCAGGCAAAGTACGGAAGCCTCTAAGAAGCGACAGGACGTTGCGTTTGCACTTCCGGCCTGCTCAGAGCCTCACAAGAGGGAGACCGTCTGGAGACTGGCTCTTCAAGTAGAGCAGATACTGGCAAGATCGCAAAGCCAAGCATGAGAAGCTGAACCGGAAGCAAACATGCTCAGAATTTAGGTAAACAGTGCCTAGGCTTGTGGATGGCATCACGGTTGCAGTTTCACATGTCACCTTCGTCCGCTCGTCCCGGCATACATCTCCAGATGCACTCATCGCACGCCACAAAGCTCCAGAGCGCAACCACGTCAAAAACCACATCTGTTAGTCCACGCAAGGGTTTCAGCGGCTTCTGGTTGGATGTCTCCAGTGCGTGGTTTTCCCATTTCGGTGTGCCCGCTAACTTCAGGTCCAACCTGCACTGTCTGGTCAGCAATCTATCTGCTGCTACATGCTGCTGCCCTTCTGCCATACTCGCCTTCCCATATGACGATGTCGCCAAGCGACTGCTATCCACCAGGTTCAGATGCCAACTTAATATTCATCAGAATCTTTTTCGACAAGATTCTCCCGTCTCAGATTCGCCTTCTGATATCACGTTGTCACACGTTGGCGGTGCTGAACAGGTGTCCGCTCAGCCGGCATGTCATCTTACAAAAGCGATCATCACGCAACAACTGGCGCAAACCATCCAACAAGCCAGGTCTCCTGCATGCAAGATTCTCTCGTCTCAGGGGTGCTGAACAGGTATCTGCTTAGCCCAGGTGTCTTCTCACAAAAGCGATCATCACGGGGCAGGTACGTCTTTTCTGCAAAAAGCGTCGGCAGTCGGTCCAGTCTCTGCTAACTTAGAGAAGCAACCATCACACGATACATGCCAAGAAGTGGCAAGTGAAAGCTTGCAGCAGTCCGTGCTCCAGCCCGTCCAAATTCCGAGCCTCTTCGTCCTCCTCCCTTTTCTGTTTCAGCCACTCTGCTTCCTCGGTGTGCATCGCAAGCTACCATCAGCCTGGCTTGAAAACATAGGCATGGCTGATTGGAGGATCCTTGGCCGCCCCGCGGTTGGCCCGAGCAACGTCGTCGAGTCATATGCCACGTCCAAGTTTAACATGTCGGAGACTCCTCGAGACTGCAGCGAACGTGCCGCAAGCAGACAATGCTTCTGCAAGCACCAAAATGCAAAACGACTTAGGCTTCTGAGCTGAGCGCCGATGTTGCTTACAGGAGTGACCAAACAGCCTGCAAGCAACGGGCTCAAATAGCTGCATCCTTGGTCTATCTCTCCATTTACGCTAAGCAAGCGCGCCCAACACGCAGCTTACCAGTACTTGTGTAACGCTCGTATGCCACCATTGCTAGGTTGAAGCGAGTCGTACCCAAGCCTCCACAAACCGATCGCTTCGGTGAGTCCAGCACTGGAAAGATCGGAGTTTTGCTTTCCTGAAGCTCGGACGTGGTTGCACAGGTGCGTACAAGTTTCCAAACCGGTCCTCTGGAACGTCAGAGTCCTCCTCTTCCTTACCAGTCTGGGCAAGCATAGCCTTTGTCACCGTGTCCTCCGCAGCAACGAAACTGGGGTCAACCGTCGTGTGCACACGAAGGTATGAAGAATTGTACCAACGCAGGTGCTTTGATGCTGTATACAGGTATGCAGGTCTACACATCTCGATGCCGGTAGGCATGCAGGAAGCACAATCTGCCGTAGGTAGCTTCTAGGTTAGATGCTGCTACAGACTGCTCATGCCGAGCGCGTGTCGATGCATGTCTGAAGAATAATGACAGACTGAGTGGTCGACCGACTGACAACTACATGAAGATTGTGGCATTAGCAACAGCGAACTGTTGTTGCCAGCCGCTAGCGAATCTGCGCGACAAGTGCATCACATGGAGGTCATGAAGATGCAACTTCCTTTCTCAACGAGAAGGCCATTGGAAGGACGGTATGCGACAATCTTAGAGGCATCCTCGATGTCAAAGGCAATCTGCTCAAAGATGTTGGTAGGACATGCCTGCGGGTTTCAGTTGCGCACTCTTGATCACTACCTGAGCTTAGCAGACTCTCGCGCGTGTACGCCGAAAACCTGAAGTGCCAAGGATGCCTGCAACCCGAAGAGAAGTGCATTCGCAGCTCTCCGAGCTACATAGTCTTTTAATCCGGGCGCGCTGCACGTGAACCAGCGAAGAAACAATTGGAGCCAGCGACACAGCTCTACAACACATCTTTTGGGGGGGCTTGTCAATTTTCAAGCCTTCGCTGGGCTCCCGAAATCGGAGAACACTTGTCCAGGGCAGCGCCAGCCCTGCACAGGCCCCAGCCGGAGGCCGTCCCCGTGTCTGTGCGAAGCTTCGCTTATCAACTTGCTTTCGATGGCTTGCGCTCGACGGGCAGCCTTGCATCTACAGGTGGGATGCCAACTGACGGCTGGAGTTTTCCAAAATGTCTCCCATGTACGATGAACGAGACCTTGCAGTGCAAACCCGGTCTAAACCTCCGTGACTTCTTCCGAGAGTTGTTGTACGAAGGCAGCAAGGTTTCGAACCTCTCGGGTTGGGCCCGGTCCGTTGCGCCTCGAATGCTGGAGGCAGCGGAACCCGAGGTCTTTGAACACAACGGCACGTTAAGGCCTTAAGGCTTTGGCGAGAGCGGCGATCCTCAGCCTCGGAGTGCCCTTCGGGATCCGGGCTGCTAAGTGAAACCGCCAGTGTCGTTCCCAATGGAAACTCGACCACTTGGTTCACGCGCAATCTGGTGCTTCACGGCTGTACTTAGGACTTAGGGCAGCGCGAGCTCTGGGGCAGCTCAGAGTTGCTGATTTCGCTGGATATCTGGACACACTAGATTGTGTTCATTAGCATGTCAGCATGAACATGGCGACATGAGCACGGCTGCACACGAAGGGAGCAGGTGTGGGAGGAAGTGGCCTGCTCAACACTTCGAGCTGCCCACCCTCAATGGAACCAGGTTAGGATAAAATGTTCTTACATTCCCACAACGATCTCCTGGTCAAGTGATGAGCGAGATATCACACACAGTCATAGCAGTGCGGTGTGGCTCTGATAAAACAGTAAATCGAAGCACTTCTCCAATACGATAGCCATACTCATCGGTTCCCCAATTGTGGAGCTGGTCTCGCATCTGATCCAGAAGGTCAGAAAGCAAGACCGTCCAAACCTTCGTTTGGAAGGCCATGGACAGCAATGCTGAAGTTTCCTATTCTGAAGTTTCCTAAATCGGTGGAGCCTTGCAGTAGTTTAGGGAGTGTAGAAGCTACAACAAAAGCTGGCAGGTCTGCTCCTTAGATGCCACAGTGTCGGGCACTAGCTCGAGTCTGATGGGTCTACCGCAGCAGCCCAGACACACGCTGCTGAAAGTATGCTGGAGAACCGGAGAATCCCCAAGCGATTGTTAGGAAATGCGCATTGCTAGTTCCCTGAAACCAATTTGGTTTCTGGGTTAATTACCATCTTTTCAAGCAAAGCCGTCCACGGTCGATAGCGAAATCTCCATGGCAAAAGACAAGCACTGAATCAAGACCGGCACTTCGCGAGGGCCTGCATGCAAGGCTGACAATTGAAAGTATCAACGCTCAATGCTTGATCTCTTGAACAGCCGACTGCTGACGTGTGCAGGTCGTTGCTGTGGTGCCTCGACTCGATGCGTAGAAAACAGGGTGCCGCTCATGCGACAGAGTCTACCTTGCGGCATGAATTCTTCGAAGGGACTTACACAGCGCGAAAGAAACGCAACTCTCAAACCTTCACGTTTTCAAGGGCAGGGGGGCACAGCAATGGCAATAACTACATCTTTGTCAATCTTGATGCTGCACTCAAAGCTGTGCTCTCTGCCTCCTGGGTTCGGCCGCGGCCGTGGAAAGGGGGCGCTCAGTTGCGCACCTCCGCAGTCGCAACTGGTCTGAAGATCGGATGTCATGACCCGGAGGATTGCTGCGGATTGGGGATATCGGATAGTGAGTAGGTGCGGAAGAGTGCGGAAGCTTCGCTGTAGCCGGGGTTGCTGGGAACACGGTGGCACAGGATCTGGGAAAGAAGCAGTCGGACAGTCGTCAGAAAGTCATACCGGAAATGAGCTGAGCGGTACAGTGGACCGGGTTAGGCTGAACCTCGTCATTGACCACGGCGACGTGGGGAACTGGTGGTGTTGGCAGCAGGGGTCAGCTTCGGCACTGACAGCGGTAGGGGGATCGCAGTTTCTTTCTGTCCTTCGAGAAAATACAACTTCATGGCGGCCACCAGCCAACAAGGATCAGCTTCACTATTTCCCGCACGAAAAGAACCACCGACAGAGCATTCGCCTGGGATCCTCCACAGCGGAAGCAGCATAGACCGCGCGGCCTTTCTGACGGAGCCTGCGCAGCGAGAGAAGAAACGCTCGAGATATGAGGCAAGACCTGAAATTCAGACACCTGCTCGTCATCTGGTTGCTCCAGGGTATCATATGGCAGCAGCGGCTCAAGCCTCAGGATCAAGGCGATGCCGGTCACGGAGAAGCGCGCTTCGTCCACATCTTAGATCATCTAAGCATCTCGCTCGCCGAGCTCTTTGCCCTGAAGCCACTCGAAGTCCCAATCCTGACAAACGAAACTACCGAACGAACATGCGAAATGCGCTGTTCGGGATCAGAACCAAACAGACGGAAAATTTGTACATCTGGCAGCAAAGGTATTTTACAAGTTCATGCAACCCAGCCTGGATTGGGTTCCCTTCCTCGCGCTCAAGCTGCGCCTTGCCACAGACGAGTCTCTCGCGAGCAGGACATTTTCCGCCTATCTCCGCAGGCCCCGTGCTGAGAACAGAACCCTCAGACTGGCGAACTGCTTCCGCAGCATCCCGTAGTCGGGACGGTCCTCGAAATCATCTTGGCTCTCGAGAACCTGTCCCCTTTTGCTCCGAGTCCTTTAGTGATTCAGCCCACTACCACGTTGCATCGCCGGTCCTTGAAGCCAAGATTTCTGGCATACTCCAAATAAGCCTGGAATGCCTCTCTTTGTCCCTGACACCTCAGTAGCAGTGATGCGTCTGTGAGGCCACCGGCATTTCGTTGTCTGTTCATCAATGCTCCACACACTCCTGTGACCCGTTCCCAGCAAGCCCTAAACTCACAAACGATACCGACAAATTACCAGGTCATTCTTTGCAGCACACACAGGAACAGATGCTCGGCAACTGGGAAGCAGGCAAATCTGAAAGCTCTGTACTCTCCTGTCGAAAGAGTCTCTTACACTGACATACCGAACCTGCCGTGCAACAATCTCGTCACAGCCATTAATGCAATGACAATCGGATCCTTCTTCTCCTTGATCTTTTGATATTTCTCCTGCGCAGAAAATTTGAACGATCAGGACCAGGAAGGACTGCAAAGCCGGACGCGGCGATGGCTATGGCAGCTATGGAGCCTTCTTGGTTCGCGCTTCAAGGCCCGACCAAGGGAGTGAGGAGCGGAGGAAATACAGCAGCATGTGCCCGATAGCCTCTCCAAAGCAACTTCGGGGTCGACATCTTCGAACTTCGGGCAACAGCCTCCAAGTCATCGCGACGACTCTGCTCGAAGCCACGATGGGCGTTCAAGGATGCATACCTGCAACCGAGCCCGATACAATACTCTGTAAATCGAGACTGCCGCTTTCCCGCCTTGCTGTACCGGTGAGGCTCAGCTTCTGGGTGGACGGCACATGCTTCTTGTCCCAGTATCTGGCACATCCCGCACGCGCAACTGCCGCTGGCAACAAGTGGCACCTGGAGCACGCAGGCCTCTTGCTTAAGCCGAAATCAATCAGGTAGAGGTGGTGCCTCAGACGAGATGTTCTTCAGACTGAGTGAAGACAACGATAGATCTGCATGTTATGGATAGCAGATTGCAGTAAAGACGGAGCCTAACCGGCACGAAGCACAGCGCGAGCTTTATCCGAGGTGCACTTTGTTGCCAACACCAAACATGAAGTTTTCCGGCTTGATATCCTGAGCTCGAGATCATGTTAGCCAGACTTCAAAAGTACCTAGTACAACTGGGGCTTTAGACTAAGTTCTTGGGCCGTAATGGGCCGTACACGAGTATGTAATGGGCGTAGGAGAACTCACACAGCGACGGCGTCTTGAAGCACAACCACACCGCAATTGAGCCAAGGCACTCTGTGCACCACTCCTGTGCGCAAACAATGCTTGTCAGGGTTCCGGAACATCCACCCTAGCCGCTCGATTTCCCCGGCTTACTTCGGAAGAAAAAACAATATCCCCTCGGACCCTCGGACCTCTGGAGTGTAGGTACTCGATTCGCGTGAGCACCTGGTGATGCAGCCCGGCTCCGTCGCTCTAGTGCTTAACCCATGCGGCTCGTTCGCAGTTGTGCGTGCATCCGGACTGCCCTGTCGTTCTCGGATGTCGTTCATCTATGCGGCTACTACATCTCTATTTGAAGTGTCAACCTACCCCACCTGCTGCGCGACCAGACATGCCGTCTTGGATGAAAACTTTCCGCCGCACCTCAGGTTGCTTGGTGCTGAGTCTCAGATCTGCTCGCTTGACAAGCTCTTTGCTGCAAATTTGAAAGAAGGCCGAGGAGCAACTGCACATGATCTTCCAGACTTTTGCCCAAGAGTTCCATGGCCAGGCAATTGAAATTGCCCTCAGAAAGCTCACTGTGCAAGAGACAAGTAAAGAGCCGCCAATCCCTCGCAGTACACTGGAGTGTCTGCATTCATAGGATCCCAGCCTCCTGGCCAAAGAAAAAGAATTTGGCAAAGCCCTGAGGTTGGGTAGGAAGCCGCAGCAAGTTCAGCATCTCACCCTGCCAAGCGCAGATTCCATGGCTGAGAGACGGCAAACCTAGCCGTGTCAAGTTGATCCAGCCTCATGCCGCAACTGGAGCGACTGGTTCTGCAATGCCTGCGAATTGAAAACCAACGATTCTCCTGCGTGTTTGACCATCGAAAGAACGAAGCATGTAAGCGAACCTCGAACTTGATGGCTACATCCTCCTTGGTGCCGGTATGGAACCCCCTGTACACCTCGCGACAGGCAGGGGGCGGTGCTATCAAGGCAACGCAGTGCCCACATGCACGCACGATGCCTCACCAAAGCAGCCTGCACCCAGTTTCTTCTGGATCTGAATCCTGAAAAAGAGAGTTTTCTTGCAGCTCGCATGTTCGAGGAGGTCATTCTCACAGGCTCGCAGGAACAACAGCTTCCCCATGCCGCTATTCACGCCAGCAACAACATTGGCCAAGATAAGCCCTGCACTGGCCATTGTTCAAGGACGGAGGCACTTTGGCTTTGCCAGAGGCCTTGGCATAGCAGGGTCGGAACAAGACGACCACCACCTTACGCGATTCTGCTCCCAGTCAAACCTGCATGAGAAATGTGCGCAAGCAGCTCCACATCTTGCACTCCTACCCGGATTCCGCATCCTAAGTAGCCCTCCAAAACACGCGAAGCGGTGTTCCAGGGGGTTCAGTGTGGAATGGCATGGGAACACAAGCATGTGTCTGCAGCCTTTGAGACAACAATCGCTGCCTCTGATTCCCGTCCCGCAGGACCGGGTAAGGTATCCGAGATGCAGAAACAAGAAGACATCCGAACGAGTGCTTGCGCACGGCGTTTGTCTTAAGGGTTCGAGCAACGAGAGCTGCTTCACTGCAGCAACCCTATTCAGACCCCTTGCAACCAGCATGTACTGAAATCGCTGTTACAGAACCAGATTGAAGCCCCAGACTCCTGGAACACACCTCGCCAGCAGTTACCGCACTCGAACATAACGTGCCCATGTGATCAAGCATCAGATAACTTCTCAGCAGCAGACACGGGCCATGGGTGATATGTTTCGCAGGCCGAGTAGCCCGTCACACTCTCACTCTACGCTGGGAATTTCGAAGTCTGCCGACAAGCACTTGCTGGCATCCCCAGACCTTGAAGTTGCTGTCAGTGCCACTGCCAGCTGCAGTTTCACACCATCCAGCGCTCCAGAGACATAGCCCTCGACGGTGGAGAAGTCCCGCCCGCGCAGGCAAAGCAGAGTTTGGTCGCTCTCTGTCAAGTGAAGCACGGTTTGTATGTGTGGTGCATCTTTACCCGCCTCATCCAGCCGAAGCTCCAGCATTAAGGATGTTAGACTTCCATCAGGCCGAATTTCAATCCGGAACTGCCTTCTTGCGAAGATGTGTTCTGCCTGCGCTGTGCAAAGATCGGTTCGTAGGAGAAAATAGGGCTCCACAGAAGCAATTCGATCTTCCTCTAGACGCCCGCATAGCACTGCCACCGAACCTGCTCGTGCTGCACGCGGCGCCAAGTACGCCAGATTCAGGCCCAGCACATCATGGAGAGCCTTTTCCTCGTCCAGCTCCCTGGAAAAGTCACACGCCGACAAGTGTATGGAAGCAGATCGTGGAAACATCCAGCCGCTCTGCGGTCCGTCTGCTGACCCTCGTGGCCCGGTTTTGAGCATCCCTTCAGTGTGGTGCAAGTATCTTTGCCTTGCAGCTAGCACCTGGAGTAAATTTGCCAGGGACGGACGCACAAGAAGGTGCTCGCAAAGCAGTCCGTCGCAGGCAAGTCCGGCACTCATCGCATGGCTCGCTTGGTCCTGAAGGTCACCCCGCAGCAGCTGGATTTGGGTGCCCTGTGCCGGCACGTTGGCTTCTGCCAGGGATTGTGCCAGTGCCAGGCTCTCCACACAGGCATCGACCGCGACAGTTCGAGCACCGAGCTGGGCACACACAAGACCCAGGACGTTGGCACCACATCCGAAGTTGAGGATTTGTCTTCCCGCCACCAGCTCACGGCGAGACGAAAGCCACTCCTGCAGAGCCTCTGCAGCAGTGCGCAAGGCTCGAGAGGCTTGCCAGGACAGGTCTGATGACGTCGCAACGCGTGTGGCACCGTCGTCAGCAGCAGACATGAGTCGTTTGAGACTCTCAAGCTCTGCACGTATTCGACAAACCTCAGTTTCTGAGGTGCTCGCAGTCACAGGATTCTTTCCCCCCTTTCCCTTCTCGTGAAGTCCAGCAAGCGCTTGAGATTCTCCACTTTCGCTCTCGCTCTCCTCCACGGCATCGAACAACAGCAGATCATCTGCTAAGACGGGCATCAGCAAATCCTCACGCTCCCAGATTGGTGACTCGGCCGTTAGCATTGCCATTGCCGATGCCTCGTGGCAAGCAGTTTCGGGCCCCAGCTTCCGCAAGTAGTTCACAAGCCGGATTCGATGATAGTCGGACCACTCGTTCCTTCCCACCCGCCGGCGCAGCGCCTTCAGTGAGAAGCCGTGCGCAGACTCCGCATGGGCCCAGCAGAGCTCTGCGCTGGCAAAAGTCTCTGGGCCAAACGGAGACAATACTTCCCCGATGTCCTCACCATCTTGAAGCACCTCTGCTTCGGAACCAAAGAATGATCCTGCATCGCTCTCTTGCTCCCCGCTTTCGTCGCTTTCGATCGTCTTCTTCTGCAAACTCGTCCCTGTCTGCTTTCCTTTCATGGCACCGGTGTAGTTTTCACACTTGAACAGAAAGCTTAGCTGGAGCCCGAGATTCTGTACACTCGGCTACACCTGCAGAGCAGGGATGTGCCTAGCACGACAAGTATGGCCAATGTTCGGGCAGTTCTGCATCCAAGGCCGCAGCCGAAGACATACCCAGCAACCTGAGCAATTTGCAGCTGATACACTTTGGAACCTTCGCATTCGCGACTGCTCTTGCTGTCAACTCCAAAGTCTCTGACGCACTCGCGCCAAAGCGTCGATTGCCCAACTGGTCAACTGGCGCTGCGCGACTTAATGTCTAATACGTCCGAGAAATGTGCATGTATGAACACTGGGAGTACGCCTCAGTTCAGCTCCGCGTGTTGTATAGGTTGGCTTAAAGCTGCTATGATAAGGCATGCGGCATGTGTATGTTGTGCTGGGTGGTGCCCTGAAGGATGGGAAAAGTTCAACCAGCTTGGATTACAAAGCTAAAAAAACCGGCTTTGACCTACCGCTCCCCCCCTAGGACTTGGTGGCAGAGCAATGGAGCAGCCTGCCCTTGAGCCACGAGCAAGATGAGAGTGATACCTCCAACTCTACGCAGCGTGACAGCACACCTCATCCGAACAGCCCATGCTCACTGAGTCTTGAGGGTGCCGAGCTTGGCCTTGCTGCATTGCGGCACCACTAGCAGGTTGCCTTCAGTCTTTGGACGGCGTCCTTGTCTGCTAAGGTGCTTCCACCCTTAGAGCAGGTCTGCCTTTGCCACTGAGCACATCCAAGGATTGCTCTGAGGCCACCCGCGCTGTTCCTGCTCCAACTGCGGCCCAGACTTGCTGCATCGACAGCAGAGGTGAGGAGAAGAGCGCCAGACGCTCTGCAAAGTCAGGGGGGCATGTCTTTGCAAAACGCTCTTGAGAAAAGCCAATGTCGAAAGGGTTTTGACGTTGGTGCTACGACACTCCGTGTTGTAGCCTGTCGCTTCTGCAGTTTGGCACACCATAGCCACATTGCGAATATCGGATGGCTAACGATTGGACATGATGAGCAGGCAACTGCACATCTGAAAAGCAGGCCGTTGAATGCCATGCGTCCACTCCACCCGCCTGTTGCGGACGTCTCCACAAGGCGAGTAGCGAAAGGCAGCTGTGGCATCCTGACATCTTTTCAGCAACTATTGTCAATTGATGTCAGATATCCGCATGAAAATG